AACATGGACCAATTGGCCAATTCTGGCTCTTTTTCCCCAAGCAGCACCCTCTCCGCTGCCATGCCCAGCCAGTCCCACCTGGGACCATTGCTAGGAGGATTTTAGGAGCTTTCACTGATCCACCCACTTCAGTTTTGAAGCCTTAACAGGACCTTAACTTACATCCCAAGAGATCTGGGAATAGGAGAAGCTATGTATAACCCCAGTGTCTCTTCCCACCAGCACGGTAAGACAGAAGAACAGAAATAACAAAATAATGAGCAGCTGACAGAGATCAAGGAAGCGGTGGAGAAGCTCTCTTGGATGGAAATACACAGTAGGGAAACATATGAGAATGGCAGCTCCCAGAAGAGACCAAAGATGGTGCACAACAGCAAACTGCTCCCCTGTGAAAGCAGATAAGAAGAATAATTAGATGGCATTACGGCAGCAGCAAGGTCTGGAAGCTGGAAAGAAATCATATGGAAAGCCGAAGCGGGCACGTGCCTGGGGGAAGAAGAGAGAAATAATACAGGTTCACAGCGTGGCAGCGGGAAGGTCTGCACGCACAAGGTTTTGGAGGCAACCAGCAAGGGTCTGCAAAAAAATTAGGTATAAAATAAGAACAGCAAGATGTGTAGGGGCGTACGTGCCTGGGGAAGGAGAATGGACTGAGCGCTCAAAGCAGAAATTTGTCCCATCTCCCCTGTTTCAGTCTTTATAAAAAGGTTAATTGTGAATGAAACTTATCGAAACAGGCTTTGAAGGGAACTGTGGAGAAGGCCAGCATAAGAAAAGAAGTTTAAAGCCATTTGGATACGTCAAATGTATTCAAGATGAGAGGATCTGATGAGATGCACCCAAGAACATTGGACCCTTGGTGATTATCTTCAGAAATTCTGAAGGCATCGATGTCCCTGGAGATGAGAGAAGCACCTCTTTAAAGAGGATACTTTAAAAAAAAAAAAAAAAAAAAAGTTAAAAAAATTGAATAATCATCTTAATTTCCTGAAAGAGGCTGGAAAAAAGTCTTAAATGAGCGACTCGTAAGATGTAAAATGATGAATAAAAATCAAAGAACATGGGTTTGTCAAGAACCAGTCATGTCAACCCAATTTAATTTCTTTCTTTGATAAGTCAACAGGCATGCTTGATGATGGGGAAGCAGAAAACACACGAGGGAGACCTTTTGCGTTTTCCCACTGGACAGCCTCAAACAGGCGGAGAAAACACCCTCTAAAAACAATCCATCAGCTCAACTGGCAGAGTAACTGCTCCCGAAGAAGAGGGATCAAGGGAGAAGGAGGTTTCTCCGGCCTCTGCTACAGCTGTAGAGCAGGGGCAGTCAGCCTTCCTCCCCACAGAGGCGATGGGCCACATTTCTCCAACCTGACAGTCCACAGCTTTGCCCGAGGACAGCTCCTTCCCCAAGGAAAATTGAGACTAAACCTTTATTATGCTGATTTCTAGCATCTCATGTTGGTTTATCCTTAATTTTTCCGTGACATCAGCATCCTCCTGCGTATTTAAGTAGAAACGTTCTGATGCAGCATTATCCCATATTAACCGGCACAGGTCCGAGATGTTTTTGGTGGAGCTTCAGCCACTCCACCCGGTTAGGAAATGGTCCAAATCTGTACAAGCAGCCTGCGAAGCCTGTGTGTGAGCACGGAGGCTTTGTCACTCCGCTCTCAGCCCTCCAGACAGACGGACGGACTGACGGATGGGGACCCTCGCAAGCCCCAGTCAAGGGACTTCATGAGCTGTCAGAACGACTGCTGGAGGAACGCAGGAACAGAAGCTTTTGATACAGTTTCAAACAATGTGTAATTATCAGGTAGCTGAAAATTAGCCCATCTGTGCCTCGGGAAAAGACACTGAGAAGTTATGTGTTACTAATGGCTGAAAAGCGCTGGCAACACAAAACAGGAAATTTTCAGTAAACTTTTTTCTTAAGGTAATGTAATTACACGGCATAATCCCCAAATCTCCTGACTTTTTGGTGGTTTTTGATAAAGCTTATGAGGTCTTCATCCTCTTTTCTTTTTCCTCTCCTCATTGCAGCAGCATGGTCTTTGAGCATTTTGAGCAGTGCCAGCCGTCTGGCCGGGCCACCTAAAGCAGCAGATGCGGGTAACATAAACTGCCTTTACAACAGAATAGCTAACAACATGTATCAGGTTTTTCTAAAGCAGATTGTAAATATCCACTATGCCTTCTCCACAGCCTCGCTATCTGAATGCAAAGCACCCGAGCTTATAATACTATTTTGGATAAAATTTCTGTGCCAGTAGAGTTGGCAGGCCAGAGTCTGGGTCTCTGATCCAGGTCAATGCACACACAAGCATCAGCGTGGTTCAGATTAAGGACCAGTTTTGTTTGCTCTGCTTTTGGTCCCTGCTGATCCAGCATGCCAATAAAAAAAAAAAAAAAAGTGTGCTTTCTTTAAGTGCCTTGAGGATCCAGTGATAAGGTCTTTGGGGCTGGTGAAGTAAAACTGCAATAGCATAAAACTCATGCAAACAGTCCAGGCAGGGTAAATAGCTCATGTTTTTTTTTATTCATACTTTTGTCTGTGGAATAACTGGGAGCAAATTGCTTTTTCCTTTCCTAGTCCAAATTATTCAGAGAATTTTTCTGCTGATTTTTGTTATTCTCCCTTCTGAGAGCATTTGCTCTCAAAGATGGCCCGCTTAGCTCTGAATGGAAAGCAAATGTTGCCTTCACCTTCAGTGAACTTTGAAGCAATTGATTTTTACCAGCATAAAAGAAGAGCTGAGAAGTGACAGCTCGTGGGCTTTGCGGAGGATGAATTTTGCCATTTCACAACTGTCCGTGCGGGAGAATGCAGGCGTCCCAGAAGAAAGATGACAGATGCTCTTTCCACTCATCCCTGCTCAGCCACCAACCCTGTCCTCTCTCACACGTGGGGTCCCTGGGCCGCCAGCTTCTCTGCAGCCGCCGTGCCGATGCTTTAAGCAACCCGTAATAAGGAGGACTCCAAGGAAAATTATTCTTGCTAGCTTTTGTCTGGTAATCTGAGGTCAAGAAAACAAACTGCTTCCTCTCTGCTCTCTCCAGCGCTGTGGCAAGAAATGCAGCCAAGCTCCGGCACCGAGAATAAAGGCGGAGTTGGCACAAACACAGGAGCTTCTTAAATGAGTTTGCCATTAGCCAGAAGGGCTGCAAATTGAAGGGAAGATAAGCCCCTTAGCATTTCCCTTCTTTAATCCAAGCCTCGTAAAAGCAGAGATGACTTCCTATTCAGTGGGCTTTATACTGAGGCAGGTATTTCATTTACCCAAAAAAACCCTGGATCGGATAAATTATTAATGTTATTTATAAAGGCAATTCTGCCATTCAGCAACTTCTTTTGGATCCCTATGCTTAATCTCACTGCTTAGCATAAGATACACTCCAGTTAAAAGGCAAAATCACATTCCCTTACAAGGCCTGCAAAATAAGAGTGCCGAGGTGCCTGAAAAAGGGTTGTAGTTTAAATTCCACTATAAAGACTAATACATTTATCAGTGGCAAACACAAGCCCTGATTTCCACTTGCTTGTACCCTCCCTGTGTGCTGGACGGGGCCTCACTCACATGCGTCAAGAGCCGTCAAAGCTACTCAGCAAGAACGACGGAGATGCAAAACAGCCAGTGCTTTCCCAGTCCGTGTGAGGCTGGCTGGTGGCTGGGTGGAGCCGTATGGTGAGACAGCAAGTAACCCTGACCCCTCCTGTAGCGTGTCCTTCAGCGTGTGTCCTGCTCTGGGACACCCACAGCCAGGACCTCGGCTTCTGCAGGCTGAGCCCCTCACCCATCCCACGGATCAGGGTGTTCTCGAGGGCGGAGACGCCAGCCGAAATATCCAAGCGTCTCACCGAGCGCGGGCATGGGCTCCCGCGGTCGGGCAACGGAGTCGGGATGCTCGGAGACCCAAAACAGGTCCTCAGAGATCCCGGGAGAGCTGCCGCCACGGTGGCACCGCAGATCTTGGCCCCAGCAAAACCGGCCCGGCACGTAACCACGAGGAGCCATGGAACAAACACGAGAAGCTGGCAGTCCCAGTGCCCCGCCAGCATCGCCACTGCTGCTGCGGCGGTGGGACGCGATGGACTGGTTCCCACGGCGGAGTGCCAGCATTGACAGGTAAAGCAGCACCCCTCCCGGCACCGGGGTGGCATTTCGGGGTTAAATACCCACACTGAGGAAAAGGAGAGCCAACATCTCCTAAAAAAGATGTCCTCAAGCCTCTAGGAGGGGAAACGATGGCTCCTCGCTCCCACATCAGGACCACAGGTGGAGTTCACTAACAGGCACCTCCCCTGCGGCCCCACGTACACCCTGGAAGTTGTCGCAGCAGCTGTAAACCATCCCCCCAGGTTTGAGGGCAACGCACGTGTTGCATGCCAGGGAATGGCAGTGCACGGGAATTGCACGGAGGTTTGGAGCACTTCTCACCAAGCGTTTTCTCCATGCAATATGTATGTTCCCTGAAACCATTTTTTCAGCATTTTCCTCTCCAAAGGCTGCACGACGAACTGTTTAATTGAGCAGCCAGCGCTGGCCGATGTTTTGTTTCAGCATGATTTGAACCCAGGCAAAGTATTTTTGTTTGCTAAATTCACTCAACCTTTTCACAGTAGGGTTGCGACAGCAACGTGTATTTTTCATGGACGGCGTCGCCCTGAGGGGAGAAGCACACGGGAGGCTCAGGATCCGTTTTTTCTCCTGGGCTGGGTGCTGGGGACGAGCGGCAGCTCACGGGTAGCAGCATGGTTTGCCTTTGATCAGCCACGAGCAGGGAGGGCTCCTGCAGCTGCGCTTGAAGCTGGAGATGTCTAAGCTATGGGCACCGCAGAGAAGCACACTTTTATGTCAAAACGACTTATAATAAGATTTTAAGTTTGTTCAGGGAGCTGGAATGAAATATTTAAACACAGCATCACAGTAGCATTTTATTCTCATGAAAATGCTGAAATGCCATTTGCAAATCAGAAATGTTTTAAAATTTGCTTTGAAATAGCAGAAATTTTATGCAACTGTTTTGGTTTTTTCTTTCCAGGAAGAAACAAATGGGGGGAAAAAAGCTGAGCTATTGGCCATTTCCTCACAAATGAGATGTCTGCTTTTCAGTCTGTTTTGGTGAGTCTGTTTGGAGCCATCATTCCCAGTTGGAGCAGGGAGAATCAGCCTCAAGAGCAGCCTACGTTGTTGCATCCAGCATTCAAATTACATTATCTTTGTTGCTTCCCACTGACGACAAGACATTTAGGTTGGAGAACTCCACTGGGCATTAAAGCTGCTCTGAAGGGTTTGCATGATTTGAAATAAATGTCATAAAAGAAAAAGCAAGTTCTTGTATAAAGACACAGCTGTCCTACTTTTTTTTTATTGTTATTATTGGGGTAGTTTTCACGTTGTTTAAGTACAGTTTATTCAGCTGCAGTTCTTAATTTCCCTATGCATGTATTATATCTTGTTAAACACAAGAATCCAACTTGCTTCAGTCCCTCCTCAGGATTTGAATAGTTTCTTGTCCACCTCCTTGCTGTTCCCGAGCACCGCACAGCTCTGGGCAGGTAGCCCAGAGCCACCCAGGCATTTTGGTGTCTGGGTCTGGGTAGTGTTCGGGCCATACCAAAATTCAGTCACTGCAGAGGTGAGCTTAGCTGTTTTCAATGGGAAAAGCAGTTCTTTAGACAGTTCTGGCCAAATTTGGCATTTGATGTTCACATTGGTATCAAGAAAGGGTTACTCTGTAATAGTGACCAAAATATACTTGAATTCGGAATCTTAGCAGGATCAAAAAGCCCCAAATCCCTTAAGATGATGCCTGACTTTAAAAAAGGACCTTCTGATTTGTTCATAGTGGTTTTTAATACAAAATTCAAAGAATTGTAAGGATAAAAATTGGCAAGCAGCATAAAAAAAACTGCTTAAAAATAACACATGGAAGTGTCAGAAGAAATGTGTATCATTTATACAAAACACAAAGGATCCAAAAGAGCTGATATGGTTGAAAAGAGGAGAGGAGTAGGCATAAGAAAAATCCTTCCAAACTGAAGGTTGGTCTGAACAGAGTGTGTAGACAGAAACATGTCTCGGCCAGTTAAATGCACAATGGTAATGCCAGGCTAGTACAAGATTTTAAGGCACAAAAGGCAGCTTCCTCAGTAGCCGGCATGGGTAGGACAGACCTGGGAATTTTCTAGTCCCCAACTCCAGGGGAAGATATGGTGGTCCTAGGGCTTCTCTTCAGATCAGGCCGTCCTGTACATAAGCAACATTTAGGAAGCCAGCAGATCTCCAGCCTGCAAACATCGCTCTTCCAAGTCCTCCCTGAGATTTGAGCCAAACGAGCCGTGGTGAAGTCTCTCACAAGTTGCAGAGGCGCTGTAAAATAAGACAAAATCAGCCTCTTTTAGCGACGCGGTAATCAGGAGCTCACGCTGCCTCCAGCTGATCCCGATTTCCCCATTAGCTCACCAGCTCCCCGACGTTTCAGGCGCTGCTTTCCTGCCGATGGTGAAGCCCTCGCAGCCCTTCCCAGCACCTCAACCTGCACCAGCCCCTCCTGCCGCTCGGCGCAGAGCCCGCCTGCACACACCTATCCCCCAGGCAAGGAAACCCCGCTGCAATTTCGTGCGCCCTAAAAGCATACCCTAACCAACGACCCCTCCCACCGTACGGGTGGAACAGCACTTAAAACGGAGCGGGGCCTGGAAACCTCCCCACAACTGGGGGCCTGTTAGCTTTTGGCCACGCGTCTCCCTCCCTCACCTGCTTCTTGCTGCTACAAACAGGGCGGCAAAACCCCTGTGATCATCATGCGGGTGATGAGAGGAAATTGCATTGCTGAAGCACTTGGTGGCTGCAGCCGCGCTTCAGCTCTTGACTTGCCTCCTGGTAAGCTGCCAGAGAGAGGGAAGTGGAGGCATAAAATGAATCGCAGACGAGATTGCAGGTAATTATGTTTCTTAAGCTGTTAACAGGATTGGCCATTTGATAAATGAGAGGATTTGGGAATGTTTTGTCACTGACAAGCCATTGTGAGATCCGAGTGGAAATGGGAGCGTTTCTCTTCCGTAGCGCGAACAAGAAGGAAATTCTCCTGGGATGCTTATACACCGTGAAATTCATCTGAAATCTGGATGCCGATGCATGGAGGCAAAAGGACAAATATAGGAATCCTTCTGCTGAGAAAAAAAAAAAAAAAAAGAGCCAGGTCTCTTACATATGCAATTAATTTGGTTTTGGTGCCCCTCTGGTGTCCCCAGAGGCTTCTGTTCTTTTACGGTGCCTCCCCATCCCTGAATATGGTTTTTGGTGACACAGGGGCCCCTCAGATCCCTCCATCTGCTTTTCAGTGCTCTGAATCCCTCTGTCTCCCCTCCGGATCCCTCAACCTCTCGGCTTGCTTCTGTGGTTTATCCTTCTACTCCAACAGAGTCCCTCAGGGTGGTTTTAGGTACCCCTGGAGACCCTCCGCTTCTTTTCCAGTGCCCTCAAAGGCCTCACTGTGCCTTTTGGGATGCCCCAGAACTTTCCGTCTGCCTTTTGGTGCCTCCCCCCCACCCCTGGAAATCTGTGTGCTTTGGTGCCCTCAGGACTATCAGTGAGGCAAGGGCAGGACCCACCGTCTGACAGCCACCTGCATGGGAACAGGTCACAGGGACGCATCTTTTTAAGCCATTTGCCAATGAATTGGTCTGAAGCAGAAAGGCAGGATGAGAGCTAGACCTGCTCCCGGGAGGAGAACCAGGACTCAACCCAGGGACAGTGCATGAGGCTGCTCTGGTGTGAAGAGTTTTGCTCTGCAGCAAGGGAAGGTGGTGTCAGCGAAGTGAATTTCTCAGTTTAAAGTCGTGTTAAAAATCACCTCAGCTGTCAGCACGCTGTGGCCAGTGGCTCCGGGCATCTCCTGTGGATGCGGTCCCCTCTGCTGTGACCCCCCTGGAGCCTACATCCTGCCCGGTACAGATCCCACTTTCACAGCACTGGAGGTCAGAAAAAGCAGTAAGCAAAGAAAAAAAAAAAAAAAAAAACAAAAAAAAAAAAACACAACTCCCTTGTGCTGCTTTCTGGGGCAGCCTCCCCCAGCCAGGGCAGGTTCTTTGCAGGACCGGAGCCTGAGGCAGCCTCTGTTTGTGTGCACAAGCAAAGGAGGAGGGGAAGGCTCTCCCAAATCTCCATCACAGCTTTTCACTCCTTTGCTTTACCTGGATGTTAGCAGCCAAAACCAGTTAGTTGTAGCGCTTCGGTTTCCCTGCAGTTATTAGCATGGAAGGGTTGCTGGAAAGAAACTGGTGCCCCGCAAATCTCATTTTTCCAGCAAAGCTTGGTGAATGGGCGGAGGAGACACAGTCCTTGTTTCAGTCCCGAGAGCAGGCTGGAGCAAAGGCTGGCTGCCCAAGGAAGAAAAGCAGGATGGGGGCAACAAATCTGTTTTGTTTTCTTTGCAGCACACCCTGCACTGGGCAAGCGATCGCAGAAATTCATCCAGACAGCCTGGACATGCACACAGCCCCAACTTCTCCCCAGAGACAGGATGGGCAGCCACCTCTCCGGCGCCTCTACCTGGGGAAGAAGCTTCTGTGGCCCTGCCTGGCATTCCCAGCAGGAGCTGGCTGCCTGGCCCTGAGGAGGTAGGTAAAGCAGCAGCTGCCTCTCTGGGAGATTTAAGTAGTAGGAGACACAAGTAAGTTCCTGCAGTTTTATATTTGAGCTCTTCTCAACAGCAAAGGGATGATTCAGCCTGAACAGACATATCGGGTAGGAAGAAGCGACATGTTTTGACCTCAGCTGCATTAGCTGGTAGCAGCATCCTGGAAGGACACAGCCTTGGTGGTTCTGCCCTGGTGTCAGCTCCCCAAACAGAGCAATGTCCTGCCCGTGAGTCATGCTGCAACCAGCCAGTTTCTGTACCAAGTGCAAACAACTCCCAGAATTGCACAGGGATTCCCTTGGGGGATATAGGTTTGGTCTGTTCATACACTCTGCTCCAGCACCCAAGGCTCTTAGGAACAGCAGTCGCTGCAGAGACTGCGTTGTGTGGAGGCAGAAAACCTGAGCAGCATTTTTATCCTCACACAACTCAGGCTGCAGAGTGAGGTCTTGCAGCCACTGTCACCCCCTGCCTTGGTCACTCTGGATGGGCCTTGCTCCATCCTGGACACTTCTCTGGTGGGGCCTGCCCCCCACCCACATCGGCACTTACGCTTCATCTCACTACCCAGTAAAGGAAATCGTTCTAGAGACTTTCTTAAAGGCTTCCATACAAAAGGAAGTATTTTTTTGAGACTTCTCTTGAAGAGTAACAAGATGAAACTTAAGTGCAGAGGTGGGCAAGACCAACTAGAGTGGCAGATGCTGTCAGACTTTGCTCCCCAGCCTATATGAATAGTGTGGGCACAAAAAAGCCACTCAGGTTTTCTGCCCTCACTCAGTTCAATCTCTGCAGTGATCACTGTTCAACTGCCAATTAAATTGGGATGTCCTTGCCTTTCCAGGTGCCCTAAAATCCTCCCCCTGAATAAACACTTTCTACTCTCTGTTTAATGGCAATGTTTATGAAGCACGTTGGAACAAGGACTTCATCAGCTTGAGCTGTGTTTGCTGGGCCCTTGCTGAAACGCAGTAAAGAGCAAGCTGGGCTGAAGGGAGGATCTGTGAAGGCAGAGAAACAGCCCCTTCTGGCACTTACTCACTGCAAGGAAATAAGAGCCGCCGCAGCAAGACAGCCACGGCTGTTGGCTGCCCCCTTCTAGCTCCAACATCACAGCAAGTTCTTTCTGATGTGGGACAAGCTGAGGATGAGGAGCAGGGCAAGGTCTGCTCCAGAGATCTGTTACCAGGCATTAACTAAACACGTTGAATAAACCAAAAGTCACCTTGTCTCAGCTGTGGCTTGTTCTACTTTTTATTTCCAAGAGCAAAACCGACCCAGCATGTTGCTATAACGCTCGATTCCTGCTCAGCACTTCCTGTGGCGTGGCTCCCCGGCAAGGGCTGCAGAGAGCTGGCAAACACAGGCCCTTTCCTCTGGTGGCAGCTCCTTAAGGGGTAAATGAAGGCACACTCCAGTTTCTGCTCCTTCAGACAGGGTCTCTGGAAAACAAGGTCACTTACTCTTTGCAGCTTAAGCTGAAGTCTGAAATGGTGGCCCCAAGCAGCTGGTGGAAGGCTGGCAAGAGGTGAAATAGCAGTTATTCTTAGTAATGACTACCTAGGAAAAAAAAACAAAAACAAAAACAAAACAAAAACAACAGAAATATCAGTAATAGAAACTCCAGACACTTTACAAATATGGCTCAAACCCCTGTTTTCACCCAAGCAGGGGCAGGTGTGCAGATGTGCACACTGGATTTGTGCCCCCTTGCTCCAGCAGCCCAGCCAAGCCCCAGGGCTTCACTTCTCCACACACAGCAGGAGCTAGAGCTTCAGTCACAGCTAGGCAAGGCAAAATCTCTCCCAAATCTCATCCAAAAGCACAGGACAGCCACAGGAACACAACTGCCATCTTGAGTGGGTTGTAGTTCAAGCACAGAGATGCTTGTTCTTGCCAGCACATTTATGAAAGGAAGATGGTTTGCCAACCCGTTCCTGGGCTAGATGGATGAGAACGACTTCCCAAAGGGCTGACCCACAGTGACAGCCTTTGCCATCTATAAAACCCTTGCCAGACATGCGAACTGGAATGATCAGAAAAAGCTTTTATCTGCAACTAAGAGCATCTGACAAGGGAAGTCCAAGCCAGCTGCTACCTTTAGTCCCAGCCAGCCCTACAAGACATGCCCACAGGCAACCCCAGCCCCACAAAGACAATCCCAGCCCAGAAGCCAACTACCAGCTGGCTCCAAACAGCCCCAGCTCAGCAGCTGACCCCCTGGAGGGCAGCCCACCTGCAGCCCTCATACCCCTTGGCCTTCCGGGTGCTCTCCAGACAGGGACTGGGGAACAAACTCTTCAGCTCAGATTTAGCCATGCTCCTGCCTGTTTGACCCATATCAGCCTTTCTTGTGGGGAGAGCACGGTCCAGCTTCTGCCTCTGCAGTGCAGAACTCTCTGCTTTCACTGCAGAGCCCTGAAAACAGCCCACCACGACCACCACCTCAGTGATGGAGGGCCTTGCAGAAGTGTCTGGGATCACCGTGCCTCTGGTTAGCAGGAAGGGATCCTCTCCAGGTTCCCCTGCCTGGACCTTCTGGGCACAACCAACCTACCAGGAATGGGGTACACAGGCCCCCAAAGCCTCCTTGGGCTTTAGCTTTGGTCACTCACCACTTCAGGACACTTACCCAACACATCCTCCCGCATCCACATCCTTCCTTGCTCCCCATATTGTCAGGGCTGCACTCCTCACCAGGGATTTCTGACGCTTCACTGCAGCAAAACAGCATGGCCTCTGCTGAAAGAAAAGCTCCTTGTGAGTAAATGAGGGTACAATCAGACCAATACCGGTCTCTCTAACACCCAAAGTCCCACATCAGTCTCCTGCCCTGCAAACTCCAACTTAACAAATGCTGTTTGGGAACTGGCTCACTGCTGAGGAAGAGCCCGAAATTCCAGCAGCTTCCCAAATGCCCTGCCTGACAGGGAACAGCACGCACCACGTCCCATCTGGTGACACACTTCTTGTGCCCTGTGCAGAGTTGCACGGCCACCATGCACCCTGCCCCACAGACCCAGGGACCCCAAACCATCCCCACACCAGGACAGGAACAGGCACGGGCTCTGTCTCTCCTCTTTCCTCCAGAAGCCACGGACAGGGGGATTTTTGTGCAGGGCCAACAGCAGCAGCACATCTCAGCCCTCGTACAGGGATCCTCCCCCAGCTATCAGGACCCTCATGCCCACAGGCACCCCACTTCCAGACACCCTCTGTGGGGTCTCCGCACACCAGGGTGGGGGACAGGCTCTGGGTGCTGCAGAGCTCAGCCCCAGCAACCAGTTCTCCCACTCCAGTGCAGTGCTGCCCATTCTCATCTCAGGAACCAGACCGATGGCCCTTTTGGAGAAGGGGCTGATGCTGCTGGTACAAGCACTCTCGGTCTCATCCACCCTCCTCTCTGCCACGTATCCCTGCAATCCAAAAATGCCCACAGACCCTAACAGAGGACCAAGCAATCACACACGGAGGAATGAAACTCCCCACCTCCTGAGTCAAGCTGGGAAGAGTAACACACCAGCAATCTCTTACTACAGCCCCCACACTCTGCACCAGCTCTTTTGAAGCATGCTGAGGAGACCAGGCACCTCCGCAGCACCTGGAGAAAAAGGTGAGGGGGCCAAAGACCCTCAGCCAGGGAGAGCATGCCTCCTCACACCACAGCACAGGATGCAAAAGCCCTTGAGGCTCTCCTCCATCCTGGCAGCCATGGGCAAGAGCCTGTGGCAAGGCAGAGGGACGTCTGCCCCTGGGAATAGAGAAGCTGCTCCAGCTCCAAGGGAAGATACTTAAAATTACTGCAGTTTCCAGAGACAGAAAGAAAAGAACCAGCATGGCTACCCAATGTTGTACCTGCTCGAGGGGCAGTAGGATCTCAGGATCTCGACTGATGTGAGAAAAGGAGCCAGACAGCAAGGCCTTAAAAGGGAGACCATGCAGTGTTATGAGCTCATTTTTCACAGAGGAGGAAGAGACAGTACAGTAAAACTTGCTTCTAACAACATATAAGAAGAAATACAGGGGCTTGAAAGTGTGCAGGACAGACTTACAGACATCTGTGCTAGTCGTTAGTCTGCGCTCTTTGCCTTCAGGAGATTGTTCCCCAAAAAGAAGGAAAACCACCCCTCACCTGTAGCTCTTCCACCTGCTCCAGGGGCACAGCAGCACTCAGCCAGCCCAGCTCTTCCCCCAGCAGCCCTGGCACAATCACAAACTCGGCTCGAGGATGTGGCTGCTGCCTCCAGCCCTCGGCTGTCATCCTTCGCCTCTCCTCATCCACAGCACTGCTGGCTCCGTCCTCCTGGAGAAATCACATGCTCACTTTCTACTCTTTTTTGGTAAAACAGATGTAGAATAAAATAGAGCACTGAAATTAAAAAAAAAAACTTTTTTTCCCACCTCCACATCTACCAACATTTCAGCCAATCTAGTTTGGTGCTGGCAACCTCCAATCTCTTTTAATTATCCTTGTGGTTCTGTTTATATATGTGAGTTCCCTTGCTTGGGAAGTGGTTAGTTCAAGATTTGTGGTGTGTCTTTCCGTAGAAAGACCTGTAAGTAACCTCACTAATCTATTTATATTTTCTTTTTTTAAGCTGCTGTTCAGGTTAAGCTCCATATAGCTATCAGAACTGGGCACTAAGATTAAAGAAGGACTGTGTTTCTGAATGCTCACAAAGAGAAAATGGAGTAATTTAAAGTATTTTTTAAATTTCAAGTGACTTTTGATGCTCCCTGAAGCTTTCCATGTGGCTTTCAGTACTGACCAGAGCCCTCTGTTCGGCCTTCAGTGCATCCCTCAGAGGCTTCTGCATGCACTATGGTTTTCAAAACTTGTGCATGAATGTTTTTATGCCCCATGGAAAATGTCATATTCATGCACGGGGAGGCTCTGTAGGTACCTAGACCAATGTCTGGAGTGTTTCGGCTCCCCTAACCATATGACAACAGCAGCACAGAGAGATGCTTACGGGCACAGCACAAATCAGCCTAGTCAAAACGTACAACTCTTCCCTCTGTGCTCCCTATCCTGAGCTCTGCATATTCTCACTCCTCCACCATAATAATGTGTGCCCATCTGCAAAAAGTGTCTTAAGGCTCCATTGCCTGCTAACAACCACAACCCCTGTATGACAGATGAACCAGAAAGCAATAAGGAGGTTTTACGTTCATAGAAAGAAGTAGTCCCAGCAAACAGTGCTGGAAGCAGCAGCAAAACCTCTCTGCTGGAGGAAGGCTTGGCACAGGCAGCGCGTCTAGTACACCATCTCTCTTCCAAACACTAGTCCTGTTCTTCAGCCAAGACTGGAAAGGACAGGATGGTCCATATCTTCAGTACCCCAGCACTTGACAGAATAACTGAGACTTTCCAGTTAATCTAGTGGAAAGAGTTTTGAAACAACTTGAAGGAAGCAACATGAATATGCAGCAAATATAGTCAAAACCTGCTGTCTATTGAAATGGCTCATTAATACTGCACAGACAAAGCAAATGACTGATGCTTACCGCAGAGTTACCAGTGAACATATCTGTGCTCGGATTATCGAAGCAGTGCAGAATATTTCACCCCATATGGTTTGCCTGAAGAGGCTGTTTCAGATAATGGTTCTCATGTTGTTTCCATGGAATTTCAATATTCCCCGGAAGACACTCGCTGGAGCACTCCAGAGCAACCTTGTGTCATTTGGTGCTGCGTGAACTCGCAGAATGCTGGGTACTTACAATTAAAAGCGGATTACAGGCAAATAATAATGAAGTTCAAATTTGAAAAAAAGGGAGCGTGAAATGTTTTCACTGGAATCAGGTTAGTAAACCTAACTTTCAACATAATTTTTTTAATGGAAAGTGTCACTCACAAAATAATTTTATGTACATGGATAAAATTAATCAAAATCACTGGAAGAAAAGTAGCGCAAGATTAAGTATCCACAAAATGTGCCTAGGCACCAGAGATCTCTTGGCAGGAAGGATGGAAGGAAAGAACTGGGACTCATGCTCCATCTGCTAATAATGAAAATGAAGAGATACAGTGGTGCGAGTACAAGAGAAAGGTTCACTAAGGAAAAGCCCTTCAGATTGAAAGTGCTGTAACTGTAGTTATGAGAAAAGAAAACCACTGGGCTTTAAGGTACAAAGAACACAAAAACCCTCCTACTCAGACAAATCAAAAGGCCATGAACTCTCTCTGCTCACATCTTGTGACCTGTAGTGGGTGCTATAGAAAAACCTTACAGCATAGGATAAACATATTCTTTCCCTGGATCATCTTCTGAATTGTCAGTTAATAGCCTACAGTCACTGAAACTTACAGTCCAAAGAAAACACATGTGAGGAGAGGGAGAGGATACAGCACCACAGCAGGGCTTTGTTAGTCCATGTAGGTGTAACTGCATGCATGTATCTCTACATGCTTGTATTCTGCATGTTTACCTGACTATATACTCCATCCAGAGACAGCATAGTGGTGTGAGAACAAGAGAGAACAGCTCTGGCAGAGGAATGTGGATCTCTGACATATGGTGATGAAGCACAATGTATACGAGAGTCTGGAGAGCATGAACAGCTTTTGAAAGAGAGGGCAGATTTTCCACCTGAATTTATAAACCCCTCTTTTAGTGCTTGCCTTACCTCTGGCCCTGCTGATGTATCAGGATGCCTCTCCAGATGGAAGGAGCCCTGCGTGGACTGAGCTCTTCCCCAGGTACTGCTTCTGAAGAAGACAGCATTCTGGTATCCTCATCCCCTTCAGTGGCCTGGTGTCTACAAAAAAATGAGGTTACTGATAAGAGCACGGTGTTGTCATCCTTCATAAAGACCTTAAGTAGACCGAGTCCGAACGCACACGCTGTGCTTGTTGCTCCATGTATTTGCTGTCAGACCTGCACAGGAGGCGCTGCATGCTGCTGGGCTCTATTCCACATTTTTAACAGGCAACACGCTTGAGTGAGCGCCCATCTTTCCACCTCTATCCCATAGACCTTTCCTGGCCCCACCTGAGCCTGTCCAGCTACATTTGCATCTCCTCCTACCTTACATCTGTTTACCTTCTAAGTCCCCCCACATGCCTTGCTCCTGAGGTCTGCCAGCGCGTACCAGCTCCTCGGCTCTGCACTGCAGGTAAAATCTTGCTCACGTCTGAAGCCAGGAGTGGTGCTTGTTGTTGGACAAGGTCTCTGTGGAATACATAACTGAATGCTGGCAAGTCTCAGCTGAACATACATAGACTGAGAGACTCAGGACATGTCAGATGCCAAAGGAAAAAAAAAAAAAAAATGCACATCTTTCACCAGGGTTATTTCTTTCCTAAATTTCAAGCCCTTAATTCAAATATTAAGACTCTAGTTTGTCAAAAGTGGACTATATGGCATTGCTATTGGGGCTTTTATTTATTTATATATATATATATATATTCAATATTAAGCACATATTATAAAGATATATGTATGTATTTACAACATTGAGAAAATGGTATATTTCTCTGAATACTTTTGCTATTTTACCTGACACTTTAAAAAATATGAACAGGAGGCAGACACTCAACACGAAATCTTAAAACAGTTGACTCACGTGGTTAAAAGTTTGGTAGTGATATCAGCAAAGAAAAACAAAGACAGAAATGTCAAACACTAGTACTGCATATAACTACTTGTAAATCAATAGCCAGTAAAACTCCTGACCTACATGAACAGAAGCACGAAACAAAGAAACCTCAGAATAAAATCCATGGCTGACAGAGCTTAGCACAAGAAAGTTGTGTTTGCAGAAGAAATCCTAGCAACAGTACAGGGTCACTGCTTGGTGCAGACAGGAGAATTGTGAAGGATTATGCAGAAAATGCAGAAGTGTTCAGACTTTTATTCAGTATTTGGAAAGAAGGATGATTTGCTTTCATTGCTTGAAGATGATGAAATACTTTCCGGTCTATTAGTAACTGAGAGAGATGTTAGAATCTATCAGCAATGAACATTTTTAAATCAGCAGGCTCAGAAACTCCAGCATAGTTGGCAGAGAAGCTCTCGGGTCCACTAACACTGAATGTTAATAGCAGCAGATCTGTAAATGCCCAACTTATAAAAATCTGTTAAATGAGAAGGGAAGCAAAGGGAATCAATGAACCATCAGAGAAAAGAGCAACTCTGGGTCAAAGCAAGGGACGGGTTTTTTTCCATCCTATCTGTTGTTTGGATGGTCAAGGGTAACAGGGAGTCCGGTTCTTCTAACGAACTGGAGCCACCGTCTTTTCCAGGCTCATTTAACCTGACGGCTCTCGTGTACAGAGTCGTCACTTGGCAGTCACTCAGACCAAGGTTTTCTCCTTGATAAGAAAACTTTGACTTCTGGGTTAGCTTGAAAACTTCTGCTGGAGCTAAGAGAGTCAAAATAAAAAGGGTAAAGAGATAGGGGCTCAAGGCCAGCTCCCTGTTATTGCCCATGTGAAGGTCTGGTAGTTTTCTAACCAGGATGTGTTTCTTTGTGAAGCTTCTCCTTAGGTGGGTACTTCTCCCAGTGATGGTGCATGAGAAGTGGCTGGCCTGTGGCCATGGAATCTCCCAGACGGGCACACAGAAGCTCGGGGAGCGGCAGCCAGGATCCCCACCTCGCCCAAACCGCCCAGGCACCCACGCCTTTGCTGGCTTCCAGTGCCAGCAAGAGACCTACTGTAAAACAAGCTTGTCTCCCTCTTCTTTGTAACAAGTTGCAGTTAGAAGTGAATTAAATCAGCGTACACTTTGTACCACTGCAGAAGTTAATTCAAACTGAATGGGGCTAGAATGCATTATCAGGTACTGGAAGCCATTACTGCTTCAGGATACTACCAAAATACATTTTACATGTCCAGTTGGGCACAAAACTTTGTCTTTGGAACTAAGTGATGTTTTCAACCCCCCCAAAAAGTGTTACAGTAAACAAAATAGTGCATAGTGGAAGTTGTAATACACTCTGTGTGATCTCCCATTTAATGTAATGAGGTGTCACTGAAAAAAAAAAAAAAAGAGCCAAAAAAAGATTAATCAAAATCCTATGTGAATTTATTTATGGATCACAAAAAATGTTTCTAGAATATCCAAGACATGGTCGAGGGATAAAGTTAGATGAAGTTAGGATTTATCTCGATTACCTAACCTAGCATTAAAATCCTTTCCACTGATCAGCAAACAGAGGGATAAAAAGATTTCAGAGACATTATGTAGGTCTGGAATAATTCCCAGTACGAGTTCCTATAAGAAGAGGAACTGTGGGAGGAATACAAATATTAATCAGAAGAAAAGGTTCTAAATTGGGAAACTGCTCTGGCAATGAGACAAAAGTCTAAGTCATTAGTGTAACAACCTCTAATCCCTATCAGAGCAGCCAGTCTCATGACAAAGATGGACGTGAAATGGCTTTCTCCATAAATATTTCAGTTTTGATTAATTCTAGCATTCTATGTCTGGACGTAACAAATATGTTGTCAAACATATCGTGAAAAAACAGAGACATTTGGCTGAACAATCCAAAACCATGTAGAAAACTCATTTTCTAGGAAACGGAGAAACAAATTTTAAAGCTGTTTTCTTCTTAACTCAATGCATAAAATTCCCCAGTGTCCAACTCTTTAAAATAACTTCTCCCAAAAAGAGCAGCCTATCTAATTAAGTCCAGAACCATGCTACCGTTTTGACCCTGATTTCCATTGGCAACTCCCTGACAGGCACCAAAATACCTTATTAAATTTTTCCAGGGATAGCAGTTCTGATTTATAAAAAATAAGTAAATATTTTCTAGGTCAGAAAAGGCAAGAAATGCTGGGAACAATCCTGCGGTCACAGAATTTAAACAGAGCATCAGGCAGTAAGCTCAAAGTCCTGCTGTGGTGACAAGTACTCATGTAAAGCAGATCATCCCTATCCAGAGACTGAAGAACATACATATGCATACCAAAGCTCTGAGATTACTCAGAGCACTCTCTTTTTTGTGTGTAATTACAAATCTTTTCCTTTCAGAGGCTGTGCCAGTGTAAGAAGCTCCTGTCACAGCCCCACGGTTATGACAGTACAACTGTGTTGGGGCTACATACAAAAGTGGATCAAGGTGGATGGCAGGTAAGAATAGTCCTGTTTTGGGAGAAGTATTTTTTCCGCAGCCCCATCCTCTGTCCCAGGTTCCTGGGCAGCCTCTGCATGATCAAAAGGGACTGGGGGCAGAAAGAAGGGGGTGCGAACTGCTTGAGTCTCATACTGTTACTTGAAGAAATGCCCTAGTAATCACGGTCTTTGGTTGAGGTGCTTAATAAAGCAGGAATTTCATGTAAGAGTGGGAGGATGCAGTGTTTTTCTGCCAGGCATGTGGACGTGAGGCTCAGGCCCTTGGGTTGTTCTGGGAGAGGATGGTACTTCCTCAGTCAGCTACAGCAACTCCCACCAGAACTTGCACATTCTCACACAAAGTTTCACTTTGAGCTAATGAATAGTTCCGTACTTAAAAAAAAAAAAAAAAAAAAAAATCTCCAAAGTACTAATGGATTTCACCATGTAGCAGCTCGGCATGCTTTACAATAAAGGATATAAAAGTTGCCATCAAATTTACCCTCATTTAAAGGTTTCCACTTCTAATGTTATTATGGGCTTCTTATGTAATAATTAAGTGTATTTTAAAGTCAGCTGCATTAGATTCCAATTTTGCTTTTAAGCAGTCCTACCAATCTAATTAAATCATCATTCTCTGAGTTTGCACCCTGCAGATGAGCAATACTGCTTTCCAGAGTACACCGAGTCCTTCTGAGATCTGTGGAGCCAAATTCATGGCTACCCAAGCACACAGAAAATACCTACAACCATTTAAGAGCTAGGTGGGGATGCCTCAGGGACAGCCAGCTCAAAACAGAAACCAGTATTTTCCTAAAGCACAAGTTGAATGATGAAAATATATCCAAACAAAATGGAAAATGAAAGCAGGGTTGAAAGCAGAAAGTTTGGGACCACTACACACAGCTTTATACTAAACTAAACTTATCTACAGTGGTAGCCACACGCATAACTCGGTTCTCCCCCATAGTGGAGAGCTGGAGATGTTCTCCAGCCTTGCTCTCCACAACCCTACATATCTTGTTAGCTATTCCTCTGTGATAGTCCATCCAAACCGCCCGTGTTTGAGTCACCACTGATTTCATTCAGGATCACATCTGCAACTCCAGTAACAACTGAAACACTGCTGGTCAGTGAAACCCAGGGAGTTTGGACAGAGCGAGACAAGCTGGGCTGAATGTGGCTGTTAGCAATTTAGGTCTTCAAAAACCACTAGAGTATTGTCTTTGACCAGATTTAGCAGGTGAATTCTAGTACCTACATTTCAAGCCCCAGGCAGGAGTGTAACCAGCCGCAAGCCCTGGGAACAGCTGTACTGTTACTGGCTTCTAGGATTTTCTTCAGTCAACTCTGAGATGCTGAAGATCATGAACTATGAACACTGCTTCTTGTTTCCATGTTCTGGGCATTGCCTACGCTGATGGCTGTTGGTTCATGGCTATCAGCAGTCTCCCTCATTTTCTAAATTTTCTGCACAGGATTTCTCTCCCTCCCTTTCTCTCTCCTTTCCCCCAGTGCGTATGTTGGAGTCTACCACACTTTCTACTCCTGAGATCCCAGTTGTGGTTCTCTCTTCATAGTGTCCCACTGACAAGAAGTGCTATTGGTGGGGTGCACACCAGTTCCTCACTCACGATCTCTGTTCTGGCCTAGAAACTGCCTTTATTGCCCTACTTCGCTGCCTCTGAGTCCTTCCCATGTACCTCTACATGGCTTTTGACAGTTGAATGAGCCTTCGTAATTCTGTTTGGCAGGACATTGACTTCCCATCAGCCTTCCAGAAATTCTTAATTCATTTATACTTTTGACCTACACAACAGTCTCTGGCAGTAAGTTCTGCAATTTAATAATAAGTTATATCAGAATGTATGGCTTTCTGGTTTAGACCTGATGCCTCATAATTTCATGAGGTATTCTTAAAAATAATAGCTATCCCCTCTTCATTGTTTTCTAGCTAGCTAGGAGATCAAGATCTCTGTCCCATGCCTGACTACTTTCTCTGTCCTGATATGAAAACCATTCTGTCCTCATCTGCTTTCTGTGGGTGAAATTCAGATTAAAAAGTTTTGATTTAGTATTGGAGTTTAGATATCTACCTCATAGATTGACACCTACAGGTAGAAACCTAAATTTAGGTTTCTAAATCTCTGATCTAAATAACTCCCACCCGTCCTTTTTAGTTCTATTTTATTCTTTATGGAGACAGGATGAACAGAACTGCACATATTAATCAATACGTGGGTTTGCCAAACATTTATACAGTGACATAATCACATAATCATGTTTTTCTTTTCCTTTCTTCCTTTTCTAAAAATTTCTCTCATTCAGTTTGAATTTTTTATTGCTGTGGTCACTGCATCAATGTTTCCATAGAGTTATCATACAGCAACTCTGTTTCTGAGTGATAATAACGTAATGTTCAATCTGTATCGAATAAGTATAATACATAATTGGATATGTATATTCCTAGACAAACTACTTTGCATTTATTAGCATTGATTTTCATATGCCATTTCTGAGACAGTCACTCGCTGCCATGAGAACCATCTGCCTCTCCTCTCAGGGTCAGATTTGACTATCTCAGCTGATTTTGTGTCATCTGCAAACCTTCTCACTGCAATATTCACCCCCTTTCCCAAATCATTTATTCAGATATTGAAGAGCATAGGTCCTAAATCAAACAGTTGCATGACTAAGCTGTAGAAGTCCTTTCACTGGGAAAACTGATCTTCTCTCCCACTTTTTGTTCCATTTTGTCTCTGTCTTATTTACTTACAAGAGGACATCTTATTATCTCAGCTTAACTACTTTAAGAGTCTTTGCAGAAAGACTTATTGACATTTGTTTGGAAGTCCGTACACACTTTATCAACTAGATCAGCCTTACCTACAAGCTTGTTGACATCTTCAAAGAGTTCAAATAGATTTATGAGACATGGTCTCCTTCTGCAAGAACTGTAATGACTTTTTCCAAATAAATCACATTTATGAAATTGTCTACTGGTTCTCCTCTTTATTATTGTAGTTTTTACCCACTTATTCAGTTTGGAAGTGAGATTTACTGATCTGTGGTTTTCCACATTTGTCCTGAAGTCCTTTTTCTCAAGGCTGAAGACACATTTGCCACTTTCCATCCTTCTTGCAGTGTGGTCAACTTAAATGACACTTTTCATGCTACATTTAGCTTTCTCTTAATCTAGTATTTGAGCTCTTTCAGAACTCTTGATTGAGTATCATCTTATCTTGGTGCTTTCTTACTGTTCATTTTATTGATTTGTTCCAAAATGTCCTCTGCTGAAACTTCATTTAGGGACAATTCCTCATACTCTCCACTGATTCACCACTAATGTACCCCTTTCCAGCCTTCCTCTATAATTTGTTCCCTATTATTACAGTTTCCTACCCTTCTGCCAAGTTTCTGAGGCATTTATTATGTCAATAACTTCCTTTAAAATCAGACAGTCTAGTTCACCTCTTTTAGGCTTCAGAGTTGCAGCATTTGTATAGACATATTTCTACATTTTTTATTGATCTAGTTGCCCATTTTTCATGGGGCCTGCTTAGCCGGGACTTTAATTGCTGAGACCACTCTTTTCTATTTCCTTCCTCAATGTTATTGATTTCAGTTCCTTCTATTTTTCTAAATTACAAGAATTTTCTTACTTCTCTTGAAGAGGAGCTGTGATCTTGAACCATGTGTTCTTGCTTATTTGGTGAGTTTCCACAACTGTCAACTATAAAAATATCTCATTGCTTTTGAATGTTAAACCCTAGTTTGCAATCTAGTTTCACACTGATTTATATAGCTTATCTCTCTTGTAGAAACTACCTCACCAACGACTGAGAATCTGCTTGTCTGGTACTATGACAATTTATAACACTGTGATTCCACTTTCAAAATTTCTTTCCTACTCATTCCTCTGTCGTCAGTACCCACATCATTCACAACACCAGCTCCCTCTAGCACTAAGTGTGAACACGTGAGTCCAGCAAAGGCCTCAGCAGCACCACAGAAAATGAGGCTTCCTCCCATTTTTTAATAATATATTTCATTAACACCTCCCAGTATGAGACTGAGATGTCTGGATCACTTTCTCCAGTCTCTCAAGATCATTAGAAGTCTGATCCTGACCTTCAAAGGGCATCTTGGTTTACCCACAAATTTTATGAGTGAGTTCTTTGTTAAATCATATAGGTCATTAATTAAAAAAATGAATAGAACTGGGCTCAGGACATACGCCAGCAGGACTCCAATCAAAACAACCTCCCAGTCTGACAGTGCACCACTGCCACCCACATTACAGTAATATCACGTACCTTCTAAATGATGAACCTCAAGCTATGAACTACACAGGGCCTGCCAGGACAATGAATTTGGCTGTGGTCTCCCTCACTCCTTTCTGGATCCAGAGTCCACAGGGAGAAGTGCTGCCTGCTAAACAGACTATTTTGAGTACACTGCAGACCATCTTTGCTGGGAGCCCACTTAGCACCTCTGTGCATGGCAGTATATGAACCCATCTGCACACATGCAATAAATCTCACTGCCCCAGGAAGCACTGGCTTTTCTACGCTTACACAATACAGCTATGCATTAGAGGAAGGGCTGCAACATATGGTCCCTTCCTTATACAGAAACAAGGTAAGAGTCTCACCCAGCCAGAAATACTGGGCACACTGATACAGACCATATTTCTTTAGTCTGCTTCTGAGAGAATCATGTGGAACAGTTTCAAAAGCTTTCCTAAAGCAAAATATGTCCCATCTGCTGCCTCCTCTTCATCTACTAGACATTATTTTCTCAAAGAAGGAAATTAGAGTAAGATCACATGATTTATTCCTGGTAAATCTCTGTCTTTTTTTTTTTTTTTATCTTCTATTTGCTTTAAATTGACCATGTAATATTTTTTCAGTCTTATTTCTGGGAAGAGTGGTCTCTAATTCCCTGCTTTCTCTTTTTCAAAAAAGTAAACTGTGTTTACCTTTCTATAGTGCTCAGTGATCTTGCCTGCCTTCCAAGAGCTTCCAGGGTAGTCACTAATGCTTCAGTAATTGCTTCAGCTACTGTCTTCATTGCCCACAGGGCTCTCACAGCACACACCCAGAGCAGTTTGAGGCCAGAGCTTCTAATCTGGAGAAACAAAGGCAGAACAAATATAAGGCACAAAAACAGTGTAAAAGGACATGAGGGACTAGGCCAAGCCCAGACTGCTTGCTCTTCTCTCGCAATGGATAGTTTAGCATAGAATAGCATAGCACAGCACAGTGTAATATTAACGTAGCAGGAAGCTGCCTTCCAGCTGAGGAAAAGCAAGCTGACAACTCCAGGAAGGCTATATCTGAAAATGCATTTTCAGTTGAGAACTCTTGGTCTGCTCTGCTGATGGGAATTTAAATACCAGGAGCATACCAGCAGCCACACGTGCGATGACAGAGATTTGCTGACTTGCAGGCAGAATATGAAGAGGTCTTCTATGAGACACCTAGGTGGATGCTAGAAAGTGCTGGGGAGGAGCATGAGGTCCTCCTGCATGTCACAAATTTTGAAGGGAAATGCAAGTGAAGGATCCTGGAAGGCAAAGTCAGACTCCTGGCTAGAAGATTTAGCCCCAGGGTACTGTTGACAGTTTCTCTGAAATCCTTGCAGTCATATACACAACTCCAATTACGCAGAGGGGAAAAAGACACTATCCGGAGGTGATGGTCTCCATCAAAAGTCAAAAGTGAAATCAGATTTTTCACAAGGAAAACATATATGATGTGTTTAATTAAGTGGGAGCTGGGGGAAATCTGTCATGAGTGAAGGCAAACAGATTGCTAAGGGTTGGTAAAACAAAAACACTCTGCGTATCCAGCTAGTTCAGAGAAAAAGCTTAGTACAGCGATACGAACAGCTCATAGATGAAATCTTATTACATCAAAATGACATTGGAGTAAGAAGCTAAACAAAGGTATCCCCCAAATTAAGAACCATAAAAACTTTTTTTTTAATTGAAAAAAAAAAAATCTAGATGAAGTAAAACGCAGGTAATAAAATCAGATTTTGACACAGCAGAAAATATAAACCATAGTATGTGTCTATAAACTACGGAAAAGAGAGTATGTTATAAAAGTGAAAGACTTTTTTTTATGTCAAAGAAAATGTTTTAAGGAATCTAGTCAGACTAAAATTCTTACTGGAAAAGACTGTACACTCAAAATGTCTGGCAGTAAAAATGTAAATATATGAGCAGAGTTACCCCATCAGTCACTAGAGAAAGAAGACTGAGTGCTTAACGCTGAGAGGTGAAATACTAAACATGGGGACCTCTATTATTCATAAATAAATCGATATAATGGCACAAAGGAAAAAAAGGTTAGAGAACCAATTTACAGAAACACAGTATGACTGCTTTTCAGAACTATTAGATCCTGAACATCCAAGAAGAGAGGCTGCTCTCTACTTAATATTATGCAAGGTACAAGGGGAGTAAGTTCAAGAAGAGGCAGTCAGTGAACCAACAGAGAATATGGGCTGCTCTTACAGAACAGAAAACTCTATCTTGGAGTGCAATGGTTATGACTTAGGAGGTCTTAATGGGCAAGAAGCTCACCACAAACACTCAGGGTAAAAGCATGATGAAATGGGAGAAGTGATTAGAAATAAGGAATCTGTTCAACCTCTGGGTACAGCATCATTGAAACCACTAGTATATCTAATTCTGATGTTCACATTTAAAGCTGTTGAAAGATTAGATTGGGGGCAGAAAAGAGCCATAAAAAGTATATGAGGAGAGAAGAACATGTAACTGGGAAACTTAAACAGCTCAATTGTGGGGCGATTCGATAAATACTTTCACAAGGGGAAAATATCAACCAACACTTTTTAATCTAGCAGAGACAGAAGAAAGACTAAGGGCTGAAAAATGAAAGTGATTCAAACCAGAAATGAAACACACATTTTTTAACAGCAGTGATGATTAAATTTGGGAACAAACTACCACCTGAAGTGATGGATTTTGCAACTCTTGACATCTGGAACATATGTTCCTGTGAAAAGTTCAAGTTTTGATAAATAAGATTTTTTTTTTTTTCCCTGAGAAACAATTTTGTCAGAAAATTCTTAGCCACTGTTTGGGTTTCTTGTCTACATTAAAAGGATATAAGATTAGCCAGAAAAACAGCTTTGTACGTTGAAAGTTGGTCAAAATGATAATTAAAAGCAGAATGGAATTCCTAGATAAGGAGTATGATATGGTAGGAGCTAATTATCACAGTGTCTGTAATGAAAACTTTGCTTCACTAATATTTCAGAATTATTTGAAAATATCTTTATAATAATGATCAAAAGGGAACTGCTTGACGTAATCTACTTGAACATTCAAAAGCCTTCTGACGGTCTTTTTCAGGCAGAGCCTATTCCAGAAGAATCCTACATGGCCGGGTATTGTGGATGCTGCAGAAAGCCAAAGCACAGACTAGCACGCAAAGACTACACTCGCAGCCAGAACTGCCTAATATCACAAACAGGTATTTCACTACAAGCTTTGGCTTTTATGTGGAGGTGCTAAGTGGCATTATTCCAAGTATAATTTTTGTAATTGCAATCAAGGCACTGAGAACTCTTGCATAAGTGCTTTTAACACACTACAGGAATGAAATACGACACAGAAGGCACTGACAACTTGTAGAGCATCATTAAACATACCACGACCATTAACAAATGTGCCAAGGAATGCTAGTACATCTGTATGTAATTCAAGCTGAGGAGTTGAGCTCCACACGATTTTTTTATTTTTTTTTTTATTTTTTTTGTTGAGTAAAATACTTTAGAAGACTCCAGCTTATCCTGAGTCAATAGAATGTGAAGCATCACTAAAAAAAACATCCTCTTGGGATTTTTCATTGGACTGAGAATTGTGGCACTTCTCAGTAAATGTCAGGCTTATCAGTGTTGTGAGTAAGCATCAGTTAGCTCTCAAACAAGCCGACTCTGTTCATTTTTCTCAGAACTGTATGTAATATTATCCTGGCAAGAAACGGCTCTTTTAGTAGACTGCAGCACAAATTTGTAAAAGAAGCTTGCCTCAGCTCTGATCCCAAAACCAAAAGAGATCTAGAATAGATTAGACAGCCGTAGAAAATCTGCTTTTTGACTACAAACCCTGGATCGTTTGGAGTTAAAGGGATACAAGAAGTACAAATTTCTCCTTTTCAGATAATCATGGCACTACTTGTAAGAAAACATTCTTCTTAATACTCGTTTACCTACTTCAAATTACATCAGTAGCTTCAAGTATATTTTTGACCTGTAAGTGGTTAATGACATCAATATTTGCAATACATTTTCATCCCTTTATAAAGATCCTTTCTTTATTTCCACCATGTAGCTTTTCTCTTTATATTGCTAGAGGAGACCTAGCAGCATCATGGTGAGATCTTTATTAGCATTCAAATAAAAATTCATTGTTTGCTTGTCTAGTGGGGAGATGAGTTCAGCGTTCACTGTTCAGTGTTCACCATTACCATCAGAAGTGTTTACGTTCATATCTATGTTTCTATTTTCTTTTGACAGAACATTACAAAGCACAAGAAAGGCTGCACTGGGTCAGATCGAAGGTTCCTCTACTGCAGCATCTGCTTTTCAATACATATGCCTGGGGAAGGAGTTTAAGAACATACCAGGCATGCAGCAGTGCTTTCTTGGAATATTATTCTGTTTTCCAACAATATGTGTCTTGGGACTCTTTGAGTCACAATCCTTGGTTTTACTATTTAACAGGTTATGCTTTAACTTCTCTCCATTAACTTTTGCTGTTACCCCTGGAGCACAAGTAAACTTTGCGCATCCATAATATCCTATGGCAAGGGATTTTACAGCTCAATTACAAGTTTTGTAAAGAACCATCAACCAGATTAAATTGATTTCTAGTTGTTGCTTTGAAAGAGACACTAAAGGGGCTTCTCAGTTTGGAGAGAAAGTGGCAAGGGGGATACAAGTGAGACATAAAGTCATGGTCACAGCAACAATAGATGGGCAGTGCGGCCAGCTGGACCACTGGTCCGGCCCACTAAAGCATTTCTTATGTTGTTATGACTATGTCACCTTAGCTGCATCTTCAGGACCTTTACAAGAGCTCTAACAAATATGCGAAATGCAGTTTCTCACTAGAAGAAAAAAAAAAAACTTTCCCTAATATGTTGGGGTTTATTCATTTAATCGTTTCTTTCTTATAATTTCTACTCACTTGCTCAGTACAGACTCCAGTGTGACGGTCTGCAGTTCTTCACTCCTGGGGACCTTCTCAGGGATTGTTGTCACATTTACCATCTTCCATCCCTCCTGCAGGGAGGCTGATTTAAGTGATGGGTTACACACTATAGTAGCTCTATAATTGCATATTTGTTTTCCTCCAGAGCTCTTGAGTGATTACCATATGGTCTTGGCAATTTCTGACTCTTCATCTTATCAATTAGTCCTAAAATGCATTTTATTGTCATTTAATTTCAGACAGTTCCTTACACTTGTCCTCATAAGTTTGGTTCTCATGGGAGAATAACCTACCTCAACCATAGTGAGCACCAACACAGAGCTTCAGTTTACTTTTCAGCAGCAATTTTCCTCTCTTACAGTAATCGTTTTAGAAACAGGTCATCTGTTGATCAAACCTCTGGAAAAGTATATGATTCTGGCAATTCTGAAAATATTTTTACTAGTATTTTTATTATTCCTTTAGTGAGTTTGCACCTTAAAATTTTCCCTTGCCTGCCCTACAGATTTAGCCTCACAGTTAATGCTTTTTTTTTTTTTTTAAATAGTTTCTTTATTTGCTCAGAAATCCCTGATTTTGAATACTGTCTTCCACTCTGCTGTTAGAATATTGCCTTTTTAGTCCCTTGTAGAATTATTTCACTTACTGATATATTGCTCTGAGCTTCAGATAGGGCGTTTTTATCTAGTTTCTCATCTTCCACATCCTTATAGCAGCTGCTTTTAATTTCCTTTTAAGAAGCTGCCACACTTTTTTAAGTCCCATTTTTAAGTTAGGTATTACCGTGAGATAGTTGTGGGGGAAAATCAAATACTCCTAAGTTACTCTGTCATGAATCCCTCTGAAAAAAAAAAAAGATAGGTATCCATCAAGGTGTTTTCAAAGAGGGGAGGCTCTGGAGGAAAGAGGACACCTAACATCTCCAGCTGGAAGGGGAGGATGGGGAGGACCCTGCCACGGCACTGCAGGGAGCAGGGGCCTGGATGCTGGGTGACTCGGGCAGAGGAATCTGCAGCACCAAGCCAGGAGGCTGTATCAGGGCCAGGTAAAAGACAGGTAGGGAACGTGGAGAAGCAACTCCCAAAGGAATTCAAAAAAGCAGCAATGCACCTGTATCAGCAGAATGATGTGAACTCATTCCTTCAGGGAGGGGAGCTGGAAAGATCTTCCATTATTACAGGCTCTCTGCGCTCACGCAGGCGGTGCGTATGGAGCAGAGCTGTCATACATGGCCTTTCCTCAGCACGCCGGGTCTCTCTTCTGCTAGACAGGCTCTGGGGAGGCTGCAGGGAGCTTGGGGTGAAAGCCTGCGTGCATTTCCTTACACCATGGCTCCCATCTCTCCCGCAGTGCTCAGTACCCCTGTGACTTACAGGAATTAATGATTCATGGATGATGGAAAAGCTGTGTTGCTTTTCTGGGTGACTGGCATCCAGCTCACCTGGAAGAAACAATCTCACATGAAAAAAAAAAAAAAAAAAAAAGAAGGGCCAGCTCCCATAGGGTGCAGCATGGGCCATGCACCTCTCTGCACGGGCAGGCGTGCGGGTGGGACAGCAACCTGGGTGCTGTGTCACTGCCCGGTGTCACCCCACAGCTGGAGGTGACAGCGGTTGGGCAGCCTCAGGGTGCTTAAGATACTGGTCCCTCCCAGGATACTGGTCTGTCCAGGCAGCTTTTTGCTCACAGATGTAGGTGTCCCAGCACAGCAGCACCCTGTCCGTGGGGACAGGCTCCCTCCTCACGCAGACAAGGTTTACAAAACGCAACGTAGATGGAATATAAAGCAGGCAGCTGGCAGAGCCCAGGCAGGCCTGCAGATCCACGACGACTCACAGAAACAAATCTACCAGATGTTTCAGTCTCACAAGGGAGCCACATGCCTGTCCTACTGCAGGAATTGTGTTTTGCCTCCTGTTGTGTTGGCTTCCAGCAAGAACCCTGGAAAATGGTGGTGGTTTGAGAGTAACTTTCCCTTCCTAAAATTGGTCCTGCCATAGATTTGTGTAGTTAGTGAATATCAACAAGAAATAAATCAGAGCTCGGAGAAATGCTGTTCTCCACTCTTCCTCCAGTGTGGCTTGTTTACACTGCTGCGCTGCAATCTATAAAATGCCATCTATAATGAATACTAAATAGTGGGAGTCTTTTTCTCAGCAATGTGTTACTAAACCTGATTGCTGTGCAGTATAATATGCTGGGAGAGAGCGGGGGCTTGGCTGTGTTTCTCTGTTTCATGCAGTCATAGAAACTGTCAAGCTTAGGTGCCTCTGTGATCTCCAAGCAGCATGTCTCCCTACACCCTTTCCTAGCTACCCATTTATTTTTAAAACGTTCCATTGTTACTGTAGCTCAGTTCTTTCAGCCAATTTTAATGTCATTATTATTTCTGTCTCTTTAAAATTTATCTACTTATGCAATTTTCATCTTTTTTCTTTCCAAACCAATTCATAGTAATATGTTAACAGCTGCCTTGTAGTGGAAGTCCCCTAGAGTTAATACTCAAAAATCCTCACTATTAAGAAATTACTCACCTGTGTATTATAAAATCTGTACTGCATCGCCTTGCAACCCTGTCCTCAGTACATTCACAGGTGTCTCCACTTCAACACCAAGAACATTTCCGATCTTGCAGTGAGTACCTGCCTATTCAGGGTACATGCAAAACCAAAGGATACCAGAAAGCAAGAACACTTTTCCACACATAAGTGACTTCCAGGGTACTTCTACAGCTCCTTAAGCTTAAAGGACCAGGAAATAGAAGGGGATCTATATTGCAGAAGATGGTGAAAAAAAGGGACGAAAGAAGAAAGAGTTACAACAGGGCCCCTGCTCACACTTCAAAATTCCTGCAGCCAACATCTGCCTCTATTTTGGGAGTTTGATGACACTTTTGATTTTCCTCCTCTGCCAACAGTTCCATCTTCCAAACAGCTCAAGGCACAACCATGATGATAGTTCTAGACAACAAAATGCACAGTGGAAACGGTACTGATCCAAAGGCTTGTTAACGCACAGCATAGATAAGAGTTTGTTGGGTGGTATTTTTTTGCCTTTTAGAATACTGAATTCAGGCAAAATCAAAGTTTCTGAGAAACAGCGAATTGTCCATACCAATGCAATGCATATTCTTTCTTTCTTGACTCCTGTACTGGAGTGTTCATATAAATATACATACTCTTCCTATACGCACAGCATCAAACACTCCAGCAGAAGTGCTGCAAGACAAAGTATAGCACCTTGTTTTGGGACGATCAAACCTGCAGTCACGTGGGCGCATTAAACAGGAGATACTAGAACTTATCACACACGCACTTCTCATTGAGCTGTGCAAAGGTCATTCTGTTCTGTGAATAAGCCCGTGTCAACAGTGAGCATGTATTAGAGTTCAGAAAACACTTTGCTGAGGAGATCCAGGCTTTCTGGGTTAAAAGGTTATGAAATTTAGTCTAATCTCTATTTCTATTTTCTTAGATATTCACTACCAATCTATTATAGGCAAAGAAGTCAGTGCAGCCCAAAATTAAGGTTTCCTAACTTCTTTTACGTGACCCTGGCCATATTTCTACAAGACTGTTCAGACTTGTAGTTAAAACTGTTCAGAATTCTCTCAAGCTAGCCTGACATTTATTTTTTAAATTATTCTGATTTGCATCATAACTTCTCAGACTGAATTAAAATAATTTATTTTTGTTAAAACATTTCTTCCACCACTCTCTTGAGAAGCTTTTGTGTCTCTGTGCTTTATATCACAGGAATTTCACATTTGGCACAGGGTTTCTCGTAGTGAGAGGTTTGTATCTGTTGTCTTCACAACTGTCCACAAAGACTTTCAAACAACTGGAACCACTAGCAGTCATCTACGAGTCAGATAGAATACTAAGGTAACAAAAGATTTAGCACCCAGGAAAATAAAAACACCAGAATAATCTGAATGATTTCTAAGCGCATAGAAACTAATAAGGAGACGCGTACTTATCAACATAAATTCCTCACAAACAAAACAAGCTAACTCCATCTAATTTCACTCTCCAACGGATGAGACTTTGGGGATATCGAAGAAGCAGCAGATGGCACATACCTCAATGTCACCAAGGCTCCTGACATTGTCCCACACAACATTCATGAGTGCAGCACTGCTCTGGCTGAAGTCATGACACAAATCTGTTTGGAATCTGCACTCTGAGAGTAGTTTCCAATGGTTCACTGTGAAATGTAAAGGACAAATTGAATGGTTACTCAGCTGTTCATAAGTTCCATTCAATATTTTATTGATAGCCTGGATGAGGGAATGGATTGTGTGTTTATTAAATCTGCCAAGATTAAATCTGCGAAGAGTGGCTACAAATACATGGGGGATAGCAGTATTAAAAACTTTTGACAACTTGGACAAGTTGTCTATAAATATAAGAGTCATCTCGATTGTAAAAAGCGTAGCATTTTAACTTAGGTAGGAGTGAAGTGCACAAATACAGGATAAACATCAGCTAAGCAGAAAATAAGTCTGGGAAAGGGAAAAAAAAAAAAAAGGTCTGACGGTTCTGATAGATCACAAGCTGAACAGGGGTTATTGTCCTGAGCAAAGAGAAAACACTACACAGATGTTTTAACAGAAGAATTACCTGCAAGACACCTTGCAGATCCTTTTGCTGTACTCAGTATTAGTAACACCTCAGTGCAGAGGCACATCCAGTCTTGGGTACTGCTCCTCAAGAAAGGCTGACAGGCTAAGCAGCAAGAATAACAATAACAGCTAGAGGTCTGGAAAACATGACCTGAATCAAGAGACTAAGACCAGGAGGTGCTCAAAAGAGAGAAGACCATGGAGAGATGCAGTAACAGTCCTGACAGAGTCAGGATCGGCGCAGTAGCAGGCCAATAGCAGAAAAAAAGTCTGCTACAAAATGGAAGAAAAACAACAGTTCTGCCTATGCCAAGAATGTCGCAAGCAGATCTGATTCTGCTGTGGAAAGAGGAGACAGACTAAGTGACCAGCTAATATTTCTTCCAGCTTCACTTTTCAATGATTCTGTGCTCAGCTGATGCTGATTAGAGTTTGTCTGTATTCAATTTGTCCTGATGTACCCCAGTGACTTCATACAGTAATTGCTCATGCACATTTACATCATTTCTGCATTAACACCATCATTGAGGCTAGTGTTTTACGTTAATCTTATCATTTTAAGACTATCTGTCTTACAAATACCTTATCAAAATGCTATTTGCCAAACCAGCTTGACTCGCAACTCATTAATCAAAAGCCATTTTAATAATTAGTCCTCAAACAGTAATTCAGTAAAATCTTTGCATCTTTATTTTCCTTTCTAACCAGCACAACGGGCAAAAGCGTTTGTAATCATTTGGCACCACTACTATCAGACTCAAAGAATCTAGATTAGACCTGGTGGTGCCAGAGTCTCCCATCCCACTGCCATAATTTAACAGTTACTACAGTTTTAGAAAAAACTGTAAACATCTTGGGCCTCTCAGTTCCAGATTCTTACAGAAGACACCGGATCACTGCTGCTGCCATTAGCATCCAGTCCGATTCCTGGAACAAAAGCAGGACCAGCACTACCTCTGTCCATTCTGACATCAGAAGAGATGTACTTAAAATCTTCCCCAGATTACCCATTTCAGTGATTACACATCCTATATTAACAACATATATCCTAATGTCTCTGTTAGTGCAGTTCAGTCTGTTATCCCCAGCCATCTCCCCAGCGGGAATGGAGAACATTTTAAGATGCAGTGGCCAAGGCAGGGCAGCTGACTAACGCGACTGCTTCTTAGTCACAATTACTTCACAGGGTGCCAAGGGAAAGCAGTGCTGCCTTATCGAAGAATCATAATCAATTACCAATATTGATCAGAATCAGCTATAGCTGAGCTTCCCACAAGATCCATCAAATTAAATGGTTGTGTTGTAGTATTGCTGGAAGGAGAACAAAGATCCTTGTGAAGTTGTGCAGGTTCTGAGATTTATGAAAATACAGCTCAATTTCATTGGCATACAATCAGTTAAATCAACCTTATATAGAACCAGAAATAATACCAGCCACAAACCTGGTTGGCTTTGAATACCCTTACACCATTGTTAAATTGAGTTGATATGTCAGAGAGTGGAAACCCAAAAGATTCCAGATTTATCATCTTAATTCTTTCCATTTCTTCTCAAGAATTCACACTGCTGTTATTTTCTCTTCCATTCTGATTACCTTCTTTGTAACATATTGGCTTTCTTACTTTTACTGAATAATTCCTGGTCTATTATATCTATAATTATACTAATAATTAAGCATGCCTTTTCATCAGCTAGCAGCTAATTACTTCTGTTCCTACCCAGCTTGCTCAGAAAACAGTCAATTCATCTGTATCCATATCACTCTCACTGTTGCTAAGCAGTCCATGCTAGTCAGCAGTTGCACTGTAACTGGTGTTGTTTGGTTCACCCTGGCTGTACTCGCACTTTGCAGCAGCTGAGTGGCAATGCCTCTCAACCTCAGAGTCAACGTTTTTCACTGGTAAGCAAGCTTTAGTCACACGCTGAGGTGCAGCACCTGCTTGGCAAAGACTGCTTATCCCCACCAGTTTCAGAGCAGCTTTGGAGCTGTTTGTAAGCACCTACTACTTACTGTAAGGAGCAGTCTGTAATTGGAGAGAACCAAAAAGAATCAGCTACCAAACCAGCTTCTACTGAGTGCGTTCTCAGTCCTTTTTCGGTCAGACCTTACCCTAGATTTTGTTATATGCAAACTGAAGTCATAAAGTAGTCTAAACTCTCAATTCTCTAGCGTTATCACAGGGAAGCACTACTTGCATTTGCACACCATCCTTCTAGACTTCTCGGCATACCAGATCACTCCTGTGTCCGGCAATGTGAGAACTGGACGCTGTCATCATCACTCCGTTACCTTGCTCTGGTTCCCACCGGCACAGCGTAGATGGGCTCTGCCCAAAACCACTCCAGCTAGTTAGTCTGTGTGAGCTGGCACAGGCAGGATGCAGGCATAACCACAAAACTATGGATGAAATGCAAAGAGGAAATTTATTTTTGTTACCTTGCCAACCAGGGGATGCCCAAAGCAGCACCTGGGTGGAGGCACACAAATGGGGACAAGGGCACCGCGGAACTCAATCCGTGCTTGAAGATCTCAAAATCTGCTATTTTTGCCTGTATTGCAGGGATTCACACAGGCATACTCTTCCACTGTGCTTTGATCTTTCCCACAGCAGGGCAGGAATCTCAAGAATGTTCAGTCGGGTGCGTCTCAGTCTATCACAGGCCTATGTTATCGAAACACAGATGTTCTACTTGTCGAACACACAAGGCTAAACAACAATTAGTATGATATATGTGTTTTTCTACACCTCAGATGCAGGTCACTTGACCGTGTTTATAATCCTCCTCGACAATTTTCCGTTATTCTTCTACAGTATCAAACTTCAGTGATGTGGTGACAAATCAGCCCCGATTGCTTTTTTTTTTTCCAATTACCTGTCATTTTGTCTGTTGTAGGCTGAAGAGAGAAGCTGATGTTCCAGGGCAGGAATTCCCACCATCTCCAGCCCTGGCAAGCCACTTCCTTCCCTGTTTCTCAGTTAATGAAATTAGTGAAATTAACATTAGTGAAATGTTAATGGCTGATATTTTCAGGCTTCCTAGAGACTAGGCTAGGCCGAAATCCTTAATCCTTTTATCTGATTCGTGACTCAATACTCTGAAATGAAGAAATGCCGGCAAATGCAGTGATTATGCTGGATTCCAGAGAAAGGGAATTCAAAAATGAGGAAATTTGTTAAAAAAAAAAAAAACGCTCAGAGTGGCAGCCATAAAGGTAAAATGTTTTCAGATGGCAAGTAGACTATTTTGGGATTTTATATTGGAGGCTCAAAGCAAATGCATATAACCTGTCAAAAAACACTTGAGAGAAAAACAAAAAGCTAGCATCATAAAACAGCAGGATCAGGGAGGCTGTTGGAAGTTAAAAGGTATCCTGCAAAAAGCTGAAGTTGTGTCTGAGAAAGGAAAACTAAAAAGAACATAAATTCTGGCAGACTAAATGTAAAAGCACAATAACATAGACTGAAGAAAGAGTTTAGAAGCAGTTTGCTAAAGAAATAAAAAAAATAATGTAATAAATCCGTCTTGAACACATCAAGAGCAAGAAGCCTGTGAGAGCCAGCAAGCTACACAGGTATGAAAGAAGCACTGAGAAAAGATAATGCAATCGCAAAAAATCCCAAACTCTATTTTTTAAAAATCTCTGTTCACCTGGAGAATCTCGGAGAAACTCCGAAACCAGCATCTTGTTTATAAGGCATTAACAGAAGGCTTGATTTAAGGTTGTTAAGAGTAAATTACAAACCAGACAAAATGAATAACAACACATCACTGGGTGCAGAAGATACTCATAGAAGATTTTTACAGAATGTTAAATATGAATCATCTGAGCTAATACCCTCAGTATGTAACCTTTTGCTGAAAATTGCTGTGATTATCAAAGGACTGGAAGGTAACTAATAAGAAATCAGTATTTAAAAATAAATCCAGTGACAATTCAGAAACTGCAGATCACTAAGTCTAGTGTCCATATTGGCCGTATTGGCTGAAGCTCTAGTAAAGAACAGAATTAGTGAATGCATGAATAAAAGTAACACATTAAGGAAAAGTAAACATGACTTTTGTAAAACGAATCTAAGCCTCCTAAATCTGGTGGAATTCTTTGAAGGAGTCAAAAGCATGTAAATAACGGAGAACCAGCTGAGAAATTTTCCCTGCATTTCCGACTCACCCCAAGCTTCCAGAAGCCTCAGACACTGAAGGCCTCACCAAAGGCTCCTAAATAAACTAAATAGCTGGGGACTACAGGTCAGGACCTCACAGAGTTAAATAATAGTTTAATATTGAAAAAAATAACATAAAACTAAAGGATGAGTTTTCACAGTGGAAGATGATCATCAGTGGAATCCCATGGGGATTAAGGTCTATGGTGTCCAGTGTGTTCAGAAGTGATCTGATCTGGAAAATAGGTGGAACAATGAAGAAGATTTCCGATAAAAACTAAATTAATTGGGGTAATATTTACAACAAAAATTTAAAGATCTCACGACACTGAGCAGCCTCATGATAAAGCGGAAAATAAATTTCAGCCCTGACAACTATAACCTGGCTATCCATGAAAAGCAATGCTAACTTTACACAGTGATGGGCTCTGAACTTGTTTGCACAATTTAGGAAATGCATCTTGACGTTTTAATAGCTAGTTCTGTGAATATATCACCACATTGCTCAACAGCAGTCAAATAAAAAGAAAATCAAAAGTTCAGAATTCTTAGGAGAGAAAAGTATGACTTTGCCACTGTATGAATACATGGTGCATCTGCTTCTCAAATACCAAGTGCAGTTCTGGTACCCTCTCCCTGTCCCCCCCGCAAAAGAAAAAAAAAAAAAAAAAAAAAAACCAAACTGTAACAGGAAACAAAAAAGACACATGGCAGAGTGACAAACACAGTAAGTACAGAACTGCCTCCATGTGAAAAGCAAAGTTAGCATGCAGAAGTTGAATAGGAAGTGATCACTTGTCACTTGTCTTTCTCACTTGCACTGAGCAGGCCAGGTGCCAGAAAGGGGAGATGGACATTGTACAAGAGCTCGGTTGCGTGCCTTCTCGTTCAGCTGCTGAAGCTTTCTTATTCTGTCAGACAAGAATTTCAAGGGATGTGTGAGAGTTGCAACAGATAAGTTTCATACACAATCCCAGCATGTTTTCAGGAAAAAAATATATGTGGAAAAGGGAAAAACAGAAGACTGCTGTACTTGCAGTACTCTTTGTTTCCATTACTTCTAAATCATCATTCATTAGAGGTCTCCACTTCCTTTCCCATCTGCCCTCCACAAGCTACAATTTCAGAATTAAAATAAAAATCCACTTAGGCAGCATTTACTAACACCTGACAATGGTGATCCAGCCATGTTGCTTGCCAGCCTCTATAGTGATGCATTTTAACACAGCTCCTCTCACCTTTTTACAATTCTCTCATTTTTCAAACTCCTTTGAGCATTGTGGGTTCAGGTTGTTAACTCGGCTCCTTCAAGGACAGCACTACTTTTCATTCAGTTGTGCAGTGGCTAGTACCAATTGGTCCCATACCTGATAACAGCCTTAAACTACTGGCGAGCTATTAATAATATGCAAGCAATCATTTTAATTGCAACCGGGTGTCTAGAATTTAGGAGCTGTACGAAGAGTTCCTTCTATCTAAAATATTATTGTCCCATAGTGCATTTTGGAGTTTAGCTCTCATTAAAAGTAATAGAGGGAAATAGTCTGTAGCAAACTGAATGTGTTTGTTTTCACAGTTCACCTCCTGCTCCTCCACACTAAAACACACTCTCATGGTGACAAGACCACAGCTGTTGCCATCTTTTACTTACCTGCTGAGTGCAATATTTAGCTTGAGGGACACTGAAGTTTTCTGTTTGTTAGTTATCAGGTCAATAACTCTCACCTTATCACTTCAGTTTCCATTCTGTTGATAAAACCTGTCAGCCTTCCTTGAGTGGTTCCTGGCCCTCCGAAGAAATCACATTAAATTGGCACAACCAAGTAAATCTGTAAGGGATGTGCTCCTGACTTCCGAAAGGGAAGGGGGGAGGGCTTGAATTTCTCTCCCTCTTCCTCCTTGCACAGCTCCAATGTCCAAGCGCTTGGAGCTGTGTTGAAATCCTCCCTACAGATTCAAGCAGTTCAAGTCAGCTCAGGTCTTTGAATATGGCCCAGAGGAGATGTCTGTGGAGCCGAAATTGATATGTTTAAGTGCAAGAGACAATAATCATTTCTTCAAGTATAAGCTAAAAATACCCAGAAGTGGAATTCATAATGGAGATTTTAAAGATCTGTGACATACCAGAGTCTGCACAAGGGTTTTAATGAGAGAGAAGCCGATTTAATTGGTCGGTGCGAGCAGATGCTTTGCTGGGTGAGTGGGCTATAACATCTCACATTCCAGTTTAATGCCAGGAGCATCACCGCTGTGCTTAACATGGCTGCGACAAGCCCATGTCAGGAGCGCATCGTCAGAATCGGGACAAACCTTGATAATCAACGTCTCCAGATTGTCAGATCACAGAGCCGAGCCACGAGGAGAAAGCACTAAAAAGAGAAGGCAAAAGCTGACAAAGGAACGTTTCTAAAGGTAATTGCATGACTGACCATCTCCGGTTGTCATTTGTTTCATTATTATGCTAGGCATGAAGCTAAAACAGCCCGTTAAGTTTTAAAGTCTGTTAACGCTGCGTTAGCAAGGAGTTGCTGAGTACCAGGGTTAAAATCTGCAGGCCTACCCTGTGAAAACACTTCTGGAGTGTATGTCACTGATCACAGGAAACCCAGAAATAACGTCTGTGGACCATTCAATTATAGGCAATCACCACACAGCACTCCTCTACTTGTGGCATGGCTCATCAATCAGGTTTTCTGTCACCATGTCTCTTGTCATAGCAGTCACCAGAAGGCACTGAGCTCCCTCCGAATTCATGTGACATTTACTGTCAGGGGCTGTCAACACCAAGAGATTCTCCCAGGGCCTCCGAGTTCATCACAAAGCAACAAGATATATCCCCAAAATGCGCTCCCAGTTCCAGCTCTGGATTACAATGACTGACTGAGGGGCTTTGCAGCAGCCAGGGAAGAGTGAAACGGCAGCACAAGCTACAAGCTTATGCTCAAACACCTTCCCCTTCTTATTTTCTTGCTAATTAAATACAACCGCATTAAGAGAGGTTTTAGGCCTATGATTAATTAAGGCTTCCTCAAAAATGCCCCTTATAAACTTATTCAGAGAAAGATGAGATTGTTTACTTTGAAATTTACCCTTCTCATCTTTAGCATCGATCCTGCATTCAATGTCTGCTTAACAATACAGTGACCTAGTGGAAAAAATTTATAAAACTTAATAAACTGCAGCTGGCAGTATTAACAGAGTGTGTGTATATGCACATTTGGTTTTGTATGAACATATTACAAGAAATCTAATAAAGTAAAACAAACATATTTTCTTTGTCTGTGAGCTGTGAAACTAGATCATCTGTAATTACAATGTTTAAAGCATACTTGGTCAAAGTCATATGGTGGGCTTTTTTAGCCATATATTTCTGGCTTTAGAAAAATACTGTTGTATATCAAAGCTTACATGTTCCACTAAGTTACTCTGCTCAAGATGCAGAAAAAGAAAAAAGCAGATGAAAACCTAAGTTACCAGAAGACTACTACAAGACAAGAGGAAACAGCTCCAGCATCCAGGGAATAAAGTTCCAGTGGCAAATGTGCCTCAAATAAATAATCAAGAACTTCAAGACACATTGATTTTGCCTGGACTTTAAGGGGTGGACAGGCATTAACAAGTGTTTAAACCAGTGAATAAAAGAGTGCTTTCAATTACAAGGTTTTTAAAAGACCTCAGAATGTATATAATCTCCTAGAACTCTGACATTTGTTTTTAACTTGCTTTCTACAACCCGTCCAGTTTCCTCTTATCACCAAAATAAATATATTTCTTAAGGAGCACAGTATTTCTTTCCCTAAGGAGCAAACTGTTTATTTTCCTAAAATTATTGTGTGATAACAAACACAGTTTTCTCAGCCTCTTCCCTTACACTTTGTGTGCTAACCCGCTGATCACCATCATCTAAGCCTAGCAATCCACACAATTTTCCATCCAATTTATAGTCCATTTATCCAATTCATAGCTCACCAGTTTGGTAAGATGACACTATGACCATGTCGAAGGCCTTGCTAAAGTCAAGGTAAACTACACCCACTGCTCTCCCCCTTGTTCTCTGAGCCAGTCTCATCACAGAAGGCAATCAGGTTGGTCAGGCGTGATTGCCCTCGTCAAATCCATGCTGGCTGTTCCCAATCACCTTCTTGTCCTTCACAGGCTTAAAATAAAGATTCCAGGAGAAGGTGTGCCATCATCTCCCACAGACCCAGGCTAAATAGAGTGTTTTAGAGTTGTCCAATCTTTCTTCTTACCCTTCTTGAATGAGTGGATGATGTTTGCCCTTTTTCAGTCATCAGAATCCTCTCCTGATTACTGTGACCTTTCAAAGAGTCCCTGCAATGCCATCGGCTGCTTCCCTCAGCACCCCTGGGTGCATGGAACAAAATCCCACCACCAACAGTCAGAAAAGCTGTAGCGAAACACTCTGCACCTGCAGCAATTCCTCATGGCTTATCCCCTCTTCCTTCTCAATGTCCTTTCCACTCTCTGACTGCAAGCTGCAAGGACGCAAACTAGCTGAGCTGGAAAGACAAAAGCAGTGGCCCTCGTGCAGAACACGCTGTCCTCCCGCCTGCATAGCTCGAGTCATTCCTCTCTACATTTACTCCCTTCAGCCACGTTACTCCACGACAGCCCACATCTCTGATCTTTGCTATCTCAATTTTGTCTTGCAGAACCTCCTTCTTGTCTCATCTTCGTTTAACTATTTTCCTTCTCCCAAGTAAAAGACACAAAGACACAGCAACTGCACAACAGACATTGTTCAACTCCTGTGGCATCCTCATGATATGAATCAAAACAGATTACCTCTGCTATTGACTTGCCAGTTGCAGAAAAGACAGAGTATTGCACACCAAATGGCTGGGGACTTGAAAGGGAACTAGGACTACCAGCATTAAAAATACAGTGATTAGCTGAGAAGATCTTGGATGAACCAACACCAACAAATGCAGTTTAGGTTTTTGGAGCATTAATTACTGATATCAACTTGCTAAGCGAGAAAATTAAGGCAATATTATAGATGCTGATATTTCTATTTTGCATGTAATTTTCATCCCCAAATAAACTGTGGTAGCTTAGGAAATACCAGCCTAGCCTACTAACATGAGACAATTACAGTTGCATTTACTAAAACAGACAACTAAATGACTTTGTAATTAAGGTATTAAGCCAAATCTGGGGTGAAAAGGACACAGGATTTCTGTCCCTTATGACACTACAAAAAATAAAAGCTATGGAAAACCAAAAGAAATTTGCTAGTTTAAAGCAAGCGTTTAGGGTGATGAAAGAGAGAGATTACATATCTCCTGGAAAGCCACACTTGGAGCTAAACTTGCAGCCAGCCAAGCATAAAACACAGATGATACTGAACAAGAACTACGAGTTCATAACAGGAATTGCCAGCAAAGAGAACACCGTATTCTGGAAAGAGAAACAAACTGCCAAGATGACCAAGAATTTCTGTGCCTATGGAACAAAGAAATAAACAAGAAAGTACACTGTTCAGCTGGAATGAGCACAGGGGTAGCAATATTCATACTTCTGAAGGAAACCACCAGGGCAAGCAAAATACAGAGCATATCTTTTTCTCACGCCAGCATGCCATGCTCTCGATTGGGAAGTCTGCCATCTCCTGTTGCAACACCATTGAAACACAGACGGACACACAGGAGACATAAGCCAAGCAAGGCCTCTGCGAGAGCAATCAATCACAAAATCAGGCTGACTGCCGATAAAAGGTGGATGCAGGTTCACACACAACCCAAACCATAACTGCATCTTAATGTGGTTTTCACACATTCCCATTCACAAATGTTTCGCGTTTATACCCATTTCCCAAATACAATTAATCACATCACTGATTACAGGAAGATTAACTGAGTTTCTGATCACACCTGAAATTACTTTTTTGCTAGAAGTACTTTGCAGTATGCAATTTCTTGTCTAACCCAATTGCAACGGCCATCTGCCCTGCTACGGCAGCCCATTCTGCGTGAGGAAAAGGCACCTTTTATTAGGTAAACACAGGTTTGGGTATATTTCAGCATTCCCCACTAGTAATTTGGTTTCTCCATTGTAGGTCCCCAAGCCCAGGTCTCAGCGATTCCCCACAGGCATCCCCCCTCCCCCAAACCGGCACAACTTGTGCTTCCCCAGGAGGATTTATCCCCGCCTCAAGCTACCGTGGATCCCCAGGGACCCTTCCCAGGACACCCAGACCTACGGGGAACCCCTCGCAGCACCCCCTGGGCCTCCACGGGCCGCCCCAGGCGCCCCCCCTGTCCCGCAACCCGTTCCCGCGCTCCGCCACGGGGGCGCGCCGGGCGCCTCTCTAGCTCCTCTCTATGGTGTGGCGCCGCTCTATCCCTCCCCGCCCGGTGGGTTCAGGCCGCCTGAATCCGTTCCTCGGCGCTTTTACCCGGGCGTACCCCGCTCTTCCCGTAGCCCAGTGCCGGGCCGCCGGTGCCCGCTGCCACAGGCTCGCCGGGACTAGCCGGTGCCCCCGTCCCGCTCCGTCCTCTCTATGGCCCGGGCCGCCGTCGCCCAGCAACGCGCCCGCCCCGTGGCGCCGCGGGCGGGATGTGGCGGCTGCTGCTGGGCCGCGGCCTGGGCCGCTGCCGGCCGCCCCCCGCCCGCCCCGCCTGCGCCGCCGGGCCGCCGGACACCCGCGCCCCCAGCCCTGAGCGGTGAGTGCGGCCCGGACCGGGGCAAGGCGGGGGGTCGGTCTGCGGGCTGATTTCTGGCTTTTTTTCTGGTTGTTGTAGAGCGCCCGGCAGCCAGGATGGACGGCCCCGCGATGGGCGGGAGCGAGGAGGAAGGCGGCAGCCCCTGCCCGGCCTGGTGCCCTGTTATTCGGTGCTGGAGGCAATCACCTGGGTGAGCAGCAGCAGGCAGGGCCGGGTGTCGGCAGAAGGCCGTGGGGCTGTGGAAGGGGATGGGAGCAGCGGGCACTGCAGGAGCCCCCCACCCCGGGAGGGGGAGTCGTGGTGGGAAGCTCCCCGAAATGGAGCTGTGGGCAAGCTGCTGCACGGAAAGAGGACAGACAGAGGGAGTGGGGCTGTTTTCCTTGACTTGCGTCCTTTTTTCTTCAGGGAGCGCTCGGTGCACTTCTTCTGCAGCTGGTCAGACAGATCTCATGGCTGAGGTCGCTGCCGGATGCCAGGAAAGAACCCAGGTCTCTCTGGCTTTCTTCGCTGCCCTCTCAGCAGACAGGTTAGCAACTCTGACTTGTGAGAAGGGGTTGTGGGAGGGCCCGGCTGTCGGACACAATTGCTGCCTCGTGATATGTTCACTAAGGCCAGAAGAGAGCTGTTGTGAGAAGCTGCCAACCAGCGTTCAGGCTCTCTGGAGAGAGTGAGGGCTGATAACTGTCAGGGGAATATCACTGTTTCATAAATAGTTGGTGCAATCCCACTTTGTATCCTGCATGCCCTTACCTTTGCTCTCTATTCTGGACTCTGCTCCCTGAACTGCCCTCCTTGGTTTTGTCATCAGAGCAGAGGATGACACTGGGTAGATGCACAGTCTGGTGTTGTCTGCTAAAGCAGATGCTGCACAGCTAACGGGAACTGTTTTGCGCTCTGTATTTCAGTGGTGACTGAAGCCTCAACCAGCTGTCCCAGTGTGCAGCTGGAGTCCCGCTTCCTGCAGAAAGCAAGTCCAGAGGTACTAGAGGATTCATCCTCGGGCATCCCCTCAGGGCAAGGAGAGAGCCAGCCCTGGGCAGAAGTAGGTATGTGCAATGTGCTGCGGGTTAGAATACTTGTGGCAGAAGGACTTCTGAGTCAGAGTTTCCCCAAGGCAAAGCTAGGAGCCAAGAAGTGTATAGCCATTTATTGACACTTAAAGAAATAGGTTAGAGTGGAAAGACAGAACTTCAGAGAGATGAATCAGGAGTCCAGAGACAGGAGGAAAAAAAATCTCCTGAAGGCAGGGAGGAGCCTGTGCTGTAACTGCAGGTGACATCGGCTTTACCAATACTGGTCTGCCTTAGCGACCTGATTACAGCATCCAGTTTCTGTTCTTTTATTGTGGACAGATGTTTGCAGTCAGAAGGCTTCAGGCAAATAGTGAACCAATGATCTGGGAGACTTGTGTGTATGATGTGAAACTAAATGAATTCTTTTCTTCCTGGAAGATGGGGATGCATTTCTGAGCACTTATGCTGTAGATAAGACAGTGGAAGGAGGTATCAAAGAGGTTCTTATTAAAATGAGAAGATACTCTTAAAAAAAATGAAATCTTATCCAGGAAAACATATCTTACATGCTAAATTTTAATTCATAATAAGGAAGATCAGATGAGGCCTACAATAGGACTAATCCCTAGATGTGTAAACACTAATAATAACTTCAGGAAAATTGTTAAAAGCAGGAAGCCTGCTGGATCGGGTAGTAAGGGGCACAACGTATGATTGTGGTGTAGAAGAGGTACATAAAAAAAGCCAGCCCACAGATGTTGGCTAGATAAGGTAAGGTGTAGCAGGAAAGGTTGGAGGAGTTCCCCATTCTTTGCTTTCTTCAATTCTGATTTAAGCTACTGCCCATCCCTGCTTATCAAACCCACCTCCTGCCAAAGGTTACCATTCCCATCAGTTGGCAAATGGAGCATTTTGTTTCCATGTCTCCTAATTAGCTCCAGGAAAACAGCCAGGTTAATTTACCTAAACTGCCAATTAGACTGTTTAACCCATCTGCTTTTGCCTGGAGCATATTAAGAAGCACTCAGACACACTGCCTTGCTGGCAGATAACTGGACGTGGACCTCTGGGAGAAGTGGTGGGGAATAAGTGAAGACAGTGATGCCTTCAGCTGGCACAGCTGAACGTTTAGGAATGAGTGTGTGTTGTGACTGACGAGCATTTTCCTACCGAGAGTCAGTAGGAAGAGCTTTTAGGCAAACTGATAAACCGACAAGTCACTAAGTGCACATGCTCTTTGTTCAGATGTTCTTCAGAAGGTACAAAATTGCTGAGCCTCTAATGATGGTATGTAATCCAGTGCTTACGTCTGCTGTATGACTAGAAGAATGAACACTAACTGGATGCTGGCTTTTAAAAAGGGGGGATTGTTTGAGCTGGAGAAATGAAAAAAAAAAAAAAAAGGTAATTCTAAGTTGATAGAAACTGTGTTATAGAATAGAGATGTTAGATACCTGGATGAGTTTGCTATATCAACGAGTCAAAGGTTTTAGGAAGCCATTTCTCAGGCTAGCTTGCACCATTGCAGAGACTTAAGAGAGTTGTAAATCTGTTAAGAGTTCTTTGGAGGAGTCAACAGGCAGGTGGAGCAAGATTATCCAGCCTTTAGCTTTCTGAAAATCTTTCAGCCAGGACCTAAAACAAAGCTGTCTGGAGAAATAAAGCTGATGTGAGGGAAGACGAAGGGGCTACTCTTGGGCTAGTAACTACTTAAAGTACAATAAATAGTTTTCACAGTGGAGAGCCATTACTGGTGGATTGCGCTTCAGCCCTTTGTTGAAACCTTTTCTGTTCAGCACAGTCAGCAGTGATTTGGAAAAAAGAGGTGATGAGTGAGGTGACAGAAGCAGCAAATGATAAAAAAATTATTCAGGGCAGTCAAATCTGAAAGTCACAGCAAACGATTGCACAAAAACTAAAACCAGGGTAATCCCAAGGTAGGTTAAATTAGTATACGCAGGGGAATGTAGCTGTAAATACACATACAGAATGAGGAGTGTCAAATTAATAATTATGTTGCAGAGGGAACATTTAAAGTCACTGTGGATATGTTTTTGATAAGGTTAAGTCAGTGCTCAGCAGCAGTGAGGCCAATTAAATGTTAATTATTGTAAAGGAAGGAACTGAGGACAAGACAGTGTTGTAGGTTTGTGTAAGTCTATGATGCAGCCACAGCTTGAACATTTAAGGAAAAGACGCTCTCTCTTAAAAAGAGCAACAAAAACGGCATAGAAAAAGATGACAAGGAGACAATTACATGGAAGTAGAGACTGACTCTTCAGCTTAAAAGAAAAGTGGCGGAGGGTGTGCTAGTGCTTTGTGAAACTAAAAGTGTTGAGGGAAGGTGAATTGGGACAATATTTTTCAACATACATGTATTAATAGGCAGCACAGAAATGGTCGGATATCAAGTTTGAAAAAAGGCAAAAGGCAGTACATGTTTGGCCAGGTCACAGGTAAATTGTGGAACTCATTGCTACAGGCCAGAAGTATAAATGGGTTCCAAGAAGCGATTAGGTAAAATTACACATTAAAATTAGACTTAACTGGTCCAGCCAAAACCTCCTGCTCAGAAGATCACAGAACAGCTGATTGCTAGAAAGGTCTGCCAGGGAAAGGGTGGCTTGATAATCCCTGTTCCTTACCCTTTCTGCCCAAGCATCTACAACTGTCAAGTGTCAGAGATAATATGTGTCAGAGATAATATATGTCAGAAATAATTTGATTTTGCTCAATACATAAGTCCTCAGGTTACATTCTCACATTATGCTGTGCCTTTTGCTTGTGCCCATAAAGGGTGATTTTTTTTTTTTTTTTTTTTTCCCCATCCCAGTCCTATCTCGAACCCCAAGCCTGGCTCTCTGTCCCTTCTTATTGCTAGAAGAGAAGGGAGAGGGAGAGTGGCTGCGTGGTGGTTGGCTGCCAACCAGGCTCAAACCACGGCAATCCATTTTGTGGGAATTTATTGAGAAAAAACAGGGTGAAGAGATTCAGTAATTTTCACTGCAGAGTCTGAAAAAATGCATAGTTTTGTAATGTGAGAAGTCCTGTGAATCTTTCTGTGGAAAGTTTTAAAGTGAAGCTTGGTGGTACCTTGGTGATACCTTTCCCTCAGAGTATGTTTTGCTTTCTATAGAAAAAGCTGCCTAAGGTTTAGGATATTTTTGGGGGGCGTGGGGGAGCTGGGGTGTGTAGCTACCAAAGGAGAATGAGGCTGGCTAAATCAGACTGCAGCAAGAAGCTGGGAAAGCAGAAGGGAGGGAAGGACAGACGCCTGGCAGATGATGCAGGGCAATCTGGTAGCAAAGTCTTGCCACTAGAGAAGAAACCTCCAGAACTCAGGGTGGAGCAGCATGTACCTTCACTTCTCCAGTTTGCTGTTGCCAGCAATGGCAGAGGACCTTGTAGAGAGAATTCCATGTCCTCACCCTTTCTTTCAGTGTTTCAGTTGATTTCCAGACTTGCTTGTGCTGGTGTACATGCACAGTGACAATCTGCTATTGCTGTCAGCTACTTTGTTACCTCGAATGGCAAAGATCTTTGTGATGGATCCAAACATCCCAGCTTTGCAGATGAGCCATTCCGGTTTTAACATAACACAATATGATAGCATCTATTACTTTCAGTGTGTTTAAAAAGAAAACTTTAGGAAATTAATTTAAAAGTTGCTTTAAATAGCATTCTGGATATTACTATTAGTAAGTCCTCAGCCGCATGGTCGCATCCTATTTTTTTCATGCAATTCATGCCTCACTCGAAGCTTTTTTGCCGAAAGTTGAAGGCACGTAGTGAACAAGTAGGTGATTACAGCCAGTCTCAGTGTTATAGCAGCTGAATGCTGCCCTGGGGAGTCGTATTTTACCCCTGGCAGAACTGTAAAATTCGTTATTTCAATTCTGAGATTACAGACATTTCAGAAGTGTGTTTTCATTTCAAAGCACAATGAAACCAATTGGAAACAGTAAAATTTTCCATGAGGCAGAAATCCTGGATTTTGTCCAGTTCTTGTTGTGAATTCATTCTTGTGAAGCGTTTGGATGTTTTGGGATGAGCAATCTAGACCGTCTATGAGAAGATTATTAATTCCTCTTTTGGAGCTAGCTTTGAGCAACATTTGATTAGTAGAGGAAGAACAGTGGGGAAATAGCAAATATTTATTAGCTGCTGAATATGTGAGCACTGGGCATCCAGTACACTGAAAGCTGCAAGATCGCATGGAAAAAAGGATGCATAGTCATAGCACATGCTTGAAGAAGTAGAAATAAAGTCACACAGAAAATTCCAACTGTGATACTACCAGCTTTTGTGTGCTTTGAACATATAACCTTAAGAATAATTTAGCATGGTTCTGTGTGTGCAATATAGCAATTAATTTGTTCAAAGCCTTGTTCCTATGAAGTTCTGCTGAAGCCTGCCCATTCTTTGGGAAATAAGAAACAAATAGTTGGGGTGAACTTGTATGAACTGATGTCTGGTTGAAGGTTGATCTAATCTGGTTGTCTCATTCTGCTGAAGTGGGATGGGTTTCTTTGCTGCTGGGGTTGCTTTTATTTCTCCATTTACTGCTGAAGGAACCTAAGCAACGTGTTTAGATTGTGTGCCTAGTATTGAGACAATTGCTCAGAAACAGGCAAGTCTTAAAAATCATGATATCCATGAAGAGATTTAAATTGAGGCATGCTCAGCCTCAAAAGTAAGTTCCAAGAGAATTCAATAATCTAGTTCTTCAGGAGACGAGACTGGGTGTCAGGATGGGTTGGTCCCTGTGTTTTCTTCCAGGTGACTCCCAGGAGTGGTATGCTTCCCAGGACTGGGAATATTACTGGGATTTGAGTTAGGAGGAGTTTCCAGTGGTAGAGGGACATGAGACAGTTCTGCAGGCTGATAGAATTCTGAGTTAGTTCCTGTTTATTTTTCATGGGGTAGTGGTTTGTCCAAATTATGGCATGTTTTCTCAGTAAACAACAAATCTCTGGTTTAGGAGTAGATGCCTATGTGAAATGGAAAGTGTATTGGAAACATGAATGTAATAGTGTTGTTTAAACAAATACTTGGAAGAATTTTTAATACAGACAGGTTTTTTTTTCATTGGATTTGCTGTTGTATGTATGGCAGAAAAACAAATTACATCAGGAGGGAGATACCTGAACACGAGACAGTCTTACATTGAGAAAGATCAGATAATTTTATGCCTGATCTGAAAATAAACATAAAGTATAACTAATAAATTCACAGATGATATTACTTTTGGTGGAATGATGAATAGAAATCATGTTTGCCATAGTGATCTTGCTTGTTGGGTGAGTGAGGCTTGTTCAGATAAAATACATTTTAATACAGCCGGAGGAGAACTGTTTATCTGGGAATGAGGCTGCAGCTGGAACACAGTCCACGGCTTCATGTACACTGTGAGACAGGGCAGGCACTGCAAGAAGCAATCCTGCCTGTTGCACACTCATTTCTGCCGCTGTGCTGGCACAAGTGCGTGTACCTGTATGGTACCAGGAATCAAGGAATCAGGCCCTGGAAAGGACTGATTTTTTTTTATTTTTTTTTTTTTTCCTCATATTAGCTCCCTGCTCTATAGCCACAAAGCTTGAGAGGGGGACAGGGAGACATGGGGAGGACTCAGCTACGTCTTGTGTGTTAACAGCACTGGCTTGAGGTGATCCAGACTTCAGCACCTGCTGTTAGGTGCCCAGTAGGATCCAGCTGCATGTGGTGAATCAGGTTAAAAATAATTGGCCTCAGTTAGCCCTTGCCTGTTTGTCCTCTTTGCTGGGGGTTACCATCCTCTTAAGAGTAGCTGGCATAAATTCCTGTGTAATTACTTCCTGCATAATTCTGTTAAGAGCAAGGTGGCTTAGCTTTTGCTGTAGATGTTTTCGTTAGATAATTCTGATTGAAACTGGTCGGATAGTGGCTGAACACGTGGTTGTGCTAGCATATCTGAAAGGGCAGCAGTGAGCGAGCGGGGCACATTGGGGTGATAACCTAAGCCTGCATGCGATGCAGCCAGAATAGCACATCTGATCATCCCCTTGCAGGAGCAGAACTGTACCCTGGAAAGAAATTACCTGGAAAAGGAGGTAGGGAGACAAGCACCTAAGCGTGAGATCTTGGTGTGATGCCCAGGGCAATGGAAATTGGAGCACAGTTCTGATACATGCAAACTAGGCAGTTACGAATTCAAATAAGGAGGCAATTTTACCCTTCCTATGACACTGGTGAGAGGGTCCGCACTTCAATAACAATGTTGAAAATTCAGGAATAGTGGCAAAAAGTCATAAAATTAATCAAGTCAGGCAGAAAAGTACTTCAGTTTAAAAGACATGAGCAGCACAGTCTGTTTAGAATCACAGACAAGAATCAAGAGGGGTTGATTAGTCGTATCAGGAATTTCAAAAGGAGAATGGGCTTTTTAGTAAAGAGGAAAAAAAGCCTAGAAGAGCCAGCGCCTGGGAGCAGAAACCAGTTGTATTTTAATTTGAAATGAAGCACAGAGGTTCAAAGCAGCGATTATAAGTTGCTAGAACAAACTTTCAGAAGTGGGAGATTCTTTACCTTTTTGTGATTTCAGACCAAGACTGAGGAGGTGAGTTAGCCAGCTGCAGATTACAGGACTGTATTCAAGTGACACTTGGTTGCTTTTGATATAAAGGTCAGATTGATCGGTGTTCCTTCTGTTCTCAATGTCCCTGACTGAGTGGGCGATCAGCCCTTTGGGAAAGAGAAATGGAGTAGAGAGGATGGGAGGAGGAGGAAGAGTCAAGGATACAGCATTGCTTAACCCTGCTTTTTTTTTTGGTTTGTTGTTTGTTGTTTTTTTTTTTTTTTTTTAATGTAGGGGAGTTCCAGATCCCTGAGAGCTCCAGCTTGGGGCCAGTTCTCCACAGTGCAAAGGTACACTTTCTTTTTTTGCACCCTCCATCTGCATCTGAGGCCCCTTTCCTACAGAAAGACATCTCAGTCCGATCCCGAACACAGTCTGAGCAATCCACTCACACGCGAGACTCTTTTCTGCCCTGCACGGCTGGAGGCCAGAAGAAAGAGAAATGTGATATGTTGCCCTCTGCTTTAGCCAGAGCAAAGTTCCAGCAACTACAAATAGGCATCCCTATCTTTTAAGGTGTTTGTGTAACAGGGGTGCTAGCAGAGAAGCACCAAAAGAAAATGGAGAAAAAAAAACAACCAACCCCTATCCAATAGCACCAGGCTGTTGTGCATATTTGCATTTTGATGCAATCTTTCACTAGGTGATTACATGCTGTTGCTATTTTGGTTTTTACCAGACAACCCATGATGGGAGAAGGTGGTGTCACTTCTCCTAAAAGTGCAAGTCATGACCAGTTCTTGTCTGTTACAGAGAGGAAGACACTTTAGGTTTGAAGAGGGTGCATCAGCTTGAAAGTCACAAGGCCATAAATTGTATTATTGTTCTTGTTGTGATTAAACCTGCCAATTCCTTGCTATTCACAGTCTTAGGTGCAGACAATTCCCTATTTTAAAAATCAGTCAGCTGAGCAGTTGCTCAAGGACACCGTGAACAGAGTGGAGGTAAATTCAGTATTTAACAGAGTGGGTTCCTCACTTCAACATGGCAGTGACCTCTGCTCCCCCACCAGAAAGGCATTTGCTTGATCTGCTGAGGGGGTGAGCGTCGAGCTCCCTGTCCTGGGAGGTGCCACTTCTGCAGGGCAGAAGGAAGAGTGTGCAGCTCCTTCGCAGGTTGTGGGGCAGGTCTCAGGAGAGGAGGGCAGTGATCCATGCCTTGTCCTCTTGCGAGGAGCTCCGAGTGCTGGCTGAGCAGTAAAGCTGTTGGGTGGCAAAGGGCATTTTTGCCGCGTGACTTCCCCAAGGACAGAGGCATCTCAGCCCATGTGCAGTGTGCCCTGCTGCCACTCGATGGCACTAAGTTTGTACGCAAGCTGGGAAGCTAAAGCTGCAGGCCAGGCTAATCCTCCTCCCACCTCCCAGAGCTGTGGTACAGTAAAAAAATACTGTTCATTACTGAGAAAGGAAAAAACATTGTCTCTGCTGTGCAGGATTTTATTAGGAGTGTGCAGTGTTCAGTAAGCTGACAGTGTGGGCTCAGCTTGAATTGTGTAAAGCATATACAAATATGTCAGTGCATGTTTGGCAGAGAGACTGCTGTTGACATGATGCAGGAGAGTGGAGAAGGGCTAGCGTTACTTTTGAATGGGGGAGTTATGAGTGGCATCAGGTATTTGCTAAATTCTGAAAGGGCTGGTGATGTCCAGGAGGCTACACCAAGCTCCCTGGCCAGAGGGGAGACGAGGATTGTCCATAGAGCTTCCCTAACTAGATGACTGTGTAGGACAGGGAGATTTTTTTGTGGACACATGACACCAGATTACATCATCTTCTTGATATAACTATAGTACAGTACAAATGTGTCTCACTGCTCGGTTTCCAAGAAAGAATCTCCTATATGGTTTGTATGTTTTTGCTGTCTTAATAGCTTTCTTCTTTAACTCCTCAGGGTGACCCAGCTCAGCGAGGGCATTTGGAGGAAGCTGCTTTCCAATTGCAGCAGCTTTTCCGGATTGACATTTCCATTGCAATGAATATCCTTGGTAATGTGGACTTGGATTTGTTTTGTCCTTAAGCCACACATTTCTCTTTTTTTGGAGGACCTCCAAATCATTGCAGGTCTTGTGTGAAGGCAGAGATGGCGTGTACCCAAGCTGAAGCCTCTTTTCAGCAATTTCAACTGTGCTTTGAGAGATTTATTGCCCTTTGTCCCATCCTGCCACCTGATTTATATCAGCATATTTAAATCCAGGCTTGGTTGAAGCCTGCACTGTTGTCCTGACATCTGTAGTTGGAAATTAAGCCATCTCTGTCTTTTTTGCAACACAAGATGTCGTATCCTTCTATCCTTTTTTATTGTCTGAGATCTCAGTCTTCCTGGCAAGCTGAAAAAGGAATTGCAGAATTGCAACTCTAAGAAGAGCTGAAGGAAGATGCAGTGATCTAAGAAAAAAGCCCCTGCCCTATATACACCACTAGTTGCAGCACTAAAAAAGCAAGCTGCTTCTGTGCGAACCATACGTTGTGTTAGCCCATGATCCTTCTTTGCAACGAGGCTAGAAAAATTCCTGAAATACAGTGTTGCCATTTTTCCTATGGAAAATTTGATCCTGTGGAGTGAGGGTTGGTGAGCCAGCTGGAAATGGACCCAGAGCTCTTGGCATGGGCCAAGGAAGGTCCGGTAGCTGTGGTGGAGGTTGCTGCATTCTGTCTGTTTTCTTTTCCCCTCTTTTTACATTGTGTTCTTCTCAGGGATTGAAAGTATGAGAGCGGGCCATTACAGGATAGCCTATACCTGCTTCAAACTGGCAGCAGATCGAGGCTACAGCAAAGCCCAGTTCAATGTGGGTCTGTGTTACGAGCACGGCAGAGGCACGGAAAAAGACTTGGAAAAGGTATATCCATGGCTTGTAGGGTTGTATATGTGCAGCACAGACCAGGAGAGTAGTCTTTGGGTGCACAGGCGCTTTTCTCCTTTTGCATGGGTGTGACAGTCTCAAGTCTCATTAGAAAATGCTGGAAATAATATAAACTGTGGATTTTCAGTGCTGGCTTCAGTGTCATAGATCCCCTCAGAGATGTGCTCCCGAAACCCCCTTTCTCGTAGTTTCTGAGGTCTTCTCGTAGGTACACAGGCTGGGCCCCTAGCACCAAGGAGAAACCTGTCGTGTTAGTGTATTAGAAACGCCACTGCACATCCGAGGGCTTCTTTACATCTCGAGCCACCCAGTTTGGGTACCTTAACTACAGGCTGCCACCTAGCGCGAGCTGGCCGCAGTCATCATCCTCCGTAGCTGGAAAGATCCCCAAAGGCGGCTTGTTTTGCATAACTGTGCAGATCCCTGCTGGCACAGAGTAAGTTTTGGTATCATTGGCCCAGTGCCACCCCCTTCAACACAGGGAGTTGGGACTAGAGAAGGCAGGGTGGTTAGAGGGCTCTCGTATAGTCACAGTCCACTGTCTCACTTAAACAGTGTCATGTTCTTCAGCGGGGAGGTGTGGGAGGATGCTGGGGTAAGCACGTGCAGCTTGTGATAGATCTAGACAGAGAGGTTAAGCTAGTCCTGGCCAGAGGGGAGTTGTGTCACGTTTGAGGGCATGTATTACCTGATTCACACAAGTGTGTTTCTCTTTTTCCAGGCAGCTTTTTATTACTGCCACGCAGCCAGAAGCTCTCACCCCATGGCACAGTACCGCTATGCTAGGTACCTCTTACACCACAGACCTGAAAATGAATGGGACAGGCATCAGAAGGCAGTGACTTTCCTGGAGCAAGCAGCAATGGCTGGGATTACAGAGGTTAGTGTCCACAGCATGGGAGTTTGTAGAGAGGGAACCCTGTGTAAAGGATTTGAACCACAAAATGTCCTGGAAAGCGATGGCTGTGGGACTGGAAGCAAAACTCTTCCTACATATTTATATTCCTGACAGTGTATGAGAGACAGCCCTGCCTGCACATGGTAGGCAGCTGGGTGCCCACTGTGTCAGCAGTGTTGGTTGTCTGTTTTGCTGTTGAGCTGTTTAATGTGGCTCTTAGATTAGACACCTAGATTAGACCACTGGTTTAGGAAAACTGACCTACAGTTGAAAATGTAGCTCTGCATTTCATCTCCTCTCAGTTGTGATAGTACAGGTTGCTTTGGTGGAGGAACTTTCATGAGATGCTTGAAGTAAGAACAGATCCTCATGCTGTATCTGTGATTTTTTCAAGATGATTCATCTGCATGGATCTATGTACCTTGCCCTCCTTTCCCACTCTTCAGGAGATGCATTTCAGCATGTGCCATCTTGTGTTGCGAATGCCAGTCGTTCTGACAGTGACTGTATCTCATGTAGTGTGCTGTTCCAGGAAGTGCATCTGCTGTATCTTATGGACAGCTCACGAGTAAGAGCCATTCTCTGGCTCTGACTTCACAGCATAGTTTGAAATTATATTCTGGGTCTTACGGAGTTAGTATGGTGAAGTTAACTGCATGTAGAGTGGAGTTCTATAGATCAGACGTGATTTTTCATGCTTACCATGTCAGGCTGATTTTTCCTAGGACAGCCCCTGCCTTCTCTCAACAGGCTCTGCAGCAAGCAGGGTACTTAGCACACTCATCTTGCCACTGTAACCCCACCATTTGAGCAACTTGCAAAAGCAGTAAATTAACTGGAGTAATTAAGGGGAAAATCCTATGCTGATTTGTATCATGTGGTTTTGTTGCAGGCACAGGCTTATCTTGGAGTGTTCTACATGAGGGGGCTGCAACCTAAGGAAAAGAGAGGTCTGAAGTACCTGCTGCTGGCAGCAAAGAACGGCGTAAGTAATCCCTTTGCAAGCTCTGATTGTTCTCAGTTTGGGATCGTTGCAGGTTACAGGTGGCAGATTTCAGGGCTTCTGGGAAATGGGAGTGAGTGTCAGGATTTTACCACACAGTCTGAAAGGACAGAGGTGGAGCTTTGATGCATTTTGGAGAGGAAGCAGACCCTGGGGCGCAGACCCTACAAAACATGAATGTAGAAGCAGCCTTACTGGGTTGGAGTAATTCTTACAGCACCAGTGCTTATATTCATCTAGCATAATTTTAGTTTTCCCATTATGGAGCATCCACACGCTCTTCAGTCAAACTCTTTCACTACTGTATCATTTTGAGAACACTGTTGTGTCTGCCTTGAATCTGTTCTTCAAAATTGGCCCATTATTTCTTGACTTCTATAGAGAGGATGAAAAGACTGTTTCTTTGCCGGGACCTTCAACATACTTCAATATTTGAATGCCCATTCAGCCTTCCCCCATTGTTTGAGTTTATTCTCACACGTCATGTTGTTTAGATCCCCAACAATTTTCTTGCTCACTGTTGAACTTTCTCCAAGTGACCCAGACTTACATTTTTTTGGAAGGGCAGTGCCACAATCTCAGCATAGTGCTGCTCCTGAACCTTTCCAGCATTTAGAGTAGTGGAAGTATGACATCCCATGTCTTGCAGCCAGGTTTCTGCATCCCGCAGTTCTGTTTCTTTACAGCACTGTGACATTGTTCACTCATTTCAGCTTGCATTGCATTGTAATAGCTAGTTTTTTCTGAAGAACTTGTTCATTTTAACTTCAGTTCCAACAGCTTTTGTGTAATGGAAAATAATGAATAGCTATTCCCTCTTCTTCTGGCTAAGACTTCTGATTCTGCTGCCCTTTAGTATGTCCTCTCTGAGTCATTTCTTTTGGAGGCTGCAGAGTGCTAGTTTAGTTTGTCTCTCCATGTAGTTAAGCTGTTCCATTTTGCTTGTCAGTCTTCTATTTTTCTAATTCTCCTTTGACCATTTTAAGATGCTTAGACTAAAACTGGACTCAAAATGGAGGCATGCCAGAGATCTGACATAATGAGATCCTCTGCTTTGTTCTGTATTTCCTTCCAATAATTCCTAATATTGTTTGCCCTTTTGCCTGCCACTGAGCAGTGACTTGATGGTTTCAGAGAGCTATCACAGTGACTCACAGATTTCTTCCACTAAGCACTAATTTGCATTTGTCAACACCGAGTTTCCTCTGTGTTTGTGTTGCCCACTCCTAGTCCTGAAAGATCTTCTCTAAGTCATTCTTGACAGTAAATTTGATCACTCTGAATGACACTACATCACTTACAAACCTAGCCACTTCGGTTTTCACCCACTTTTAAGAATCTACTGTCAGATCACTGGTGAGACTAGACCTGACTAGCCCCAGCAGCTCAGACATCATGTTCATGATGGCTGACACAATATTTCATTCCAAATCTGCTAAAGATCTCTTGTAAGTTGTATCAGTGACTCCTTTCTTCCAGCCTCATGTCAGATGCATATGCTGCACAATATATCAATGAATTATCTCATTAAATAGATGATTGTCATTTATTGAATGCCTAGTAAGCCCTTAACAACAGAAAATCTAGCAGGTAACTGCAGGTCCCAGGGTACCCTCCAGTGTTTTGCATGTTTTGGTCATAGCCATGGCAGTTCTCAGAACCCAGTTATCTTTGCCCATCTCTGCTTCCCAATGGATGGATGTACCACAGCCTCATCTTTGACAGGCTTGCGTGTAGGCTCCCTGGGGTGTAACCCCACAACTTCTAGTGGGAGAAGGGCTCCATGAGTATGTTCCTTTCCTATTACCCTGAAGTATGAATTTATCTTTAGTTGGTTAAAAGAATACTGGGTATGGGTGAAGCAAGGACGGCACCATTTAGCTACAACTCCAGAAAAGGGAAAACAGGCACAAAAAGTCATGGGTTCAGTGTTTCTCTCTCAGGTTGTTGCTCTATGCTAGAGCTGAGGAGGGAACTCTGGCAAGTGTTCTTCCAAATACAACGATGCTTCAGAGAACTGTTTTACTTTGATTACCACTTTTTATCCTCCCTTAATTTATGCATGCAACCATAGAATATAAAAACCATATTAAAGAGTGTTGCTGGAGAACTGAGTCCGACCTTCAGATTTCAAAGTATATCACAGTCACTTATGCCATGCTAATTTGGGGATCTCTTCCCTTTGTGGTCTTGTCTTTGAGGTGTTCATCATGTAAGAGACGGCTAGTGGAATACTTCATACTTATTTAACCCTGTCTCTTGTCACATCTGAAGTGCCAATCCTTCAACATGTTTATCTCATCTCTGAAGAAGTTTATTGCTGTCATACACTAAGGCTTGCAACATTTTGCAAAGCACCCACTCATTAAGTTCTTTGCTTTCCTCTACCAGCTACATCCCAGGCAGCAACACTTGCAATATGTTCTTTTCTCATGGCTTTATTAAAACTTGCTACTTACTTCCTTTTTTACTTTTTTTTTTTCTTTACTGTTTTTGCAAAGCCTTGTTTAAATCATGTTTCTGGCAGTCATACCCTTCAAGTTATGTTACTGGCTCTTTTGCTGGAAAAGGTCTGTGTGACCACTAGCCCACGTGGTCCTTTCAATGTCTTCAGGACTGTCATCTTGCTTTCTTGCTATCTGTGAGACCTTTTGCCTCCTGCTGGATCTCAAAGATGAAGTGCACGGTGGACATGTAAACATATCACAAGTTTGGATTTGGCTTCACTGACCCATCTGCAGTGACATCCTCTACTTTCTAGTTCGTTCTCGGCAGTTACATACATGAGTAGTTTAGGTGCTTTTCCTCTAGCACTTATTTGCTTGACTTCATTTATGCTGCTTGAGATTTCTTCTGGAGTATAATTAGGTGGGGCTGAGCAAGATAGTGGTGCACTGTTGTTTTGAAGGCCTGATGCTGCCATCAGGAATCTTCCAACCCTTGGCGGCAAGTACCTCGGTGGCATTTGTTATGTTTTTACAAGACATCTGCGTGAACTGTAGTAGGGCAGTCCGCAGGGTGTGCTCAGAGTTTGGGTGTGATCAGGATGTGGGTGCAGTCAAGGCTGCCCAAGGCCTCTTAGCTCTGACCCCTAAGACAATCGGGATGCTCTCTGGACACAGCAGTTCCTTTGTTCCTGTGACGCAGACCTGGATGTTGAAGGGAAATCAGTGAATTTAATTGGAAAGGGATACGAAGGAGCAGAGTCGGAGATAGCTGGTAAGAAATTCTGTTTCACTATGTGCTCAGAGAATGGACTAAATTACTGAAGATGTGGTCTGAGGAACCAGAGAGAGAGGAGTAAACTTTAAAGGAGGTGACCAAAGATACAGCAGTAAACTTTAAAGGTGGTGTTAAAGACTGTCTGTTCTCCTTTCGTGTGTTGTCGTCACTTCTCCATCGTGTGGGGCTCATTGCAGTGCTTTCTCCTGTGGCTAGGATGCCCAAAGCAGGTATCACGTGGGCGTTTGCTATGAGAAGGGCCTTGGAGTGCAGCAGAACGTGGCAGAAGCGATGAGACACTACCAACAGTCAGCTGCTGCAGGGAACAGGAACGCTCGGGAGAGGCTGCGAGTGTTAGAAGAGGCGGTGGAAGGTACCACGGGCCAGCGGGAGAAGAGGGTGTGTGGGAATGCGTGACCCCGTAAAAAGCAGGGCTCATATTGCCAGCAAAAAGGTAGCACAGGGCTGTGGCAAGAAGTACTTTTCACTGAAGAGAGCACTTTTCTTTTTCAGTCCTTTCCACTTCTTACCAGCTATTCCCAGTGAAGATGCCATTCCTATAGTATGATGCATCATTAATATCTTGTTTTAATGTACTTTCAGATGTGCGAACGAAGCATCCATTCCCTTCTGGAATAAGAACCTCTTCCTCTAGCCCCTGTTTCTGGGCTATTGAGCGTGTGCCTGCAGACCTCCACGCCACCCAACCAAGACCATCAGCCCTCACCCTGCCCCACTCTTGGAGCACAGACGGGCTCCACATGACAATGCTCAGCAGTGCAGGATGGAGCCGTGCCCTCAGAAACAGGGCGACGCCACTGGAACTGCAGTGCTTGGAGCCCCACCACTGCTGTTATTAGAGCTGTTGGTAAGTGAAACAAGCAGGCAGAAGGGAAGGCAGCCCTTCTTAGCCTGTGAAGCTGGAAGCAGGCTAGCAGTGAGTGGGAAGAGAAAGCTTTCTGTTCGTGGAACAGGAGCCATTTTTAAATACCAGGGTTTTGAGAATAAACTTTGTGATATCTCCTGTGCCACCATGTTGTCTGGCCCTCTGCTTTCCAATACAAGGACCTTTCTTATGCTCCTACATTTCTGTATAGAGCTATGTATAGATTTCCACCATGCCACAGTGATATGATTTGAGGCTATAACTCCAGTAGCTCTGCATGCCTTGCACATGGTCCCCCAGTGAGTTTTACGAGCCACCATATGGTGACAATAGCCAACTCCTGTGATGGGCCTGGCCTGCACTCCGAGGCGCTTTGATCTCACTTCCAGGCTAGCCGTTCCCGCAGTGGTTCTGCTACCAGCACAGTCTGGGCTTGTCTTTACATTGCCGTTGCGGCAGTTTAATCCCCTTTCAAACCTGTGCAAGCAGGAGAGTGAATTCTGATTATTAGGATACAGGTGTTTGTGGGATATGGCTTGTGGATCCACCTGAGCTGGTGAAAGTGTAACCTCTGTCCTCAGCCGTCTTGCACCGTTGTCAGTGTCCTTCGGTCCCCAGTTATTACTCCTTCAGCTCTGGCAGTGAGCTGCTCCCATGGGTACACCCCTCTGAGTCACAATGAGCAAGGTTTGCTTCAAAATTGATGTTGTACATGTTTGCTAAGCACGCCAGCTCATTTTCAGTGAAGTGTCTAAGGGGTGCTCCCAGCGGGCAGTAACCGCTGTCAGGCAGGCAGCAGTAAGCAGCTGGTATGATAATTTCTTCCACTTGGGCAGCTGAATCCGGAAAAAGACATTTGTCCACACCAGTTTAAACTGGTTCAAGGGCATCTGTGCAAACTGTCCAGCTTCCTGTAGCCACGGGGCTCTGGTGCTTTGTGTAGATCAGGCTCTGAAAAACAAAGGCAATGGCCCCATCCTGAACTTGCTGTGGTCCTCATTCAGCAAGGGAGGGGCACAGCCAGAGCGCAACACATCTGATTGTTCTTCTAGACTGGTCTCTCTTTCTGCTCAGACCAAACTTTCTTAGACCGTTTCCTTTATCAAGCAGGATACAATTAGCAGGAAATTCCTCGGGTGGATTTCCTATTCTGTGATAATCCACAGCATGCTTACGCATTGGTCAGGACAGGACAGGGGTAAGGCTTGGCGGGGGGTTGAAAGCAGTTTGCAGGATCAGGAAATTGAACCAAGAGAGAGGAATTTGTCTCCTTTTTAATCTGCTTATTGTATTCATGTATTCTTTTGTAAAGATTGTCCTTTGACAGGCACATCAAAGTAACTTTGCAGAGGAACATGTGAGGTTATGCTGTGTGTTTGTCCTCTGTGTGTGTTCCCAAGATGCAGAGGAATCCCGTAGGCCTGCATCTCCTCACACTCACAGATATGCCTCCCTCGAGGTTCGCACAGCTGCATCTCAGTTAGAATTTGGCTCACTGTCATTGTTTTGGTGCAAGAGCCTGTTTTGTTTGTGAAACAAAACAGCAAGATATTTCTGTTAGCAGTGCGGCAGTATAAGCAGACTGGGGCCAACCCATCAGTCTAGTTCACTGCCAGGGATGGGGACATCTGTAAAGCACTTTGGAGACTCCAAATACAGCATTGGATATTTTGGATATTAAAGAGTCTACCTGGGGAAGTCTTACTCTGTTGCTTTTGTCATTTGGTCCTGAGAGCGATAGATAGCTTTCTCATTTACTCCAAGTTATCTGTATGATTGTCTGCTGCTGTGGCTTGTGTGTGTACACACCAAAAGCAGGGCACTGTCACCTCTAGGTGGGTGGGAAAGGAAGATGGGTTGGACACTTGAGATGCTCCAGGATCGTGTCTGCTGGGTCATGCTGCCTGCTTCTTTTTCAACATGGCAGTAAAATGAAAGCCAAAAAAGACACCTGAGGTGACAGCCCCGCCATAAGTAAGTTAGCTTTGGGGAAACCTATGTTGTGAACTGTGGTATCTGTGGAGAAGTCGGTGCAATATTTTTAATGTAAAGATGGTGAAGGAAAGCAAGCGCTGCTGGCCCTGCACTGTGACAGAGGGGAGGCTGGCAGTCCCTCCTCAGCCTCCCTTTTGTAGTCACTCCGCCAGCGCAGACGTTGTGCAGTGCTAGCAGCAGAGGTGATGGCTTACCCTCATAGCTTGACTCTCCTCCCACCTATACAGCCGCGTTGCCAGCGTGCCCCACATTTGTCCTGGTGGTTTGTATCATAAGGCACGTAATCATGGAAGGCACAAAGGATGGTACTAAGAAATCCTGTGCGTGCGTGATCCAGAAGCACTTACCTGCCATCCGTGCACTGCTGTGTGAGCCTACAGATGCACTCCAGATGCTAATGCCACCGTTGTCTTTCCATTCTCTGTGAGTGCAAATCCCTGCGGTTAACACCACCTGTGTGCCTCTTCCTTTGTTACTAATATCTGCATCTGAGTTTTCCTACACATGCTATTATCCTAAAACTGTCTTATAGCTCACATACGTATAGATCAAAGTGAAAACCCGTAATACGGTTGAAGCTTGTGACTGAATATTTCAAAACAGTGTTTTCACGCTTCCCTTTTCCCAGGTTACCTTTGGCAGACTCCAGCCATCTGTTGTCTGCTTCTGGGCAAGGAGTATGCTCCAAAATGCAGTGGCCTCAAAAGAGAGCATGGAGAAAGAAATCGTGGGCACCTAGTGCAGCCATAGGAGAGATGTCAGTGCTGATTTTGGGGCGTTTCACAAAATGCCAAGTTCCAAGTGGTAGAACCATGAAAGCTGAAAGGATCAGTGGGAGACATCAGGCAGATCTCCCCTTTCTGAGTTGCCATTTCAGGCTTTCTGCAGATATATAATTATGTCAGCTATACTGCACCTTGGTCCAGAGATAGTAGTGTTAGAAAAAAACAGTTTTATTTAAATAAGAACTGAAATCCTGGAGCCCAACTCTGCAGCATGTTGCAAAGTCCATGACTGCAATATTTTATCATCTATGGTGCACAGTCTGTGATCACGTGGATGTAGCTGACTGTGGTGTGCTTGTGGTTAATCTAACACCCCCCCTGCCCCAAATCGGCCTGCCCAGGGAGGAAAGGGCCCTCCAGCTGTGGTGTGACTGTGGTGTGATGGTGAGGTGAAAGATGAGGGTGGAAGAGGAGGGAAGCCAGTAAGGCAAGAACAGGGCAGGTAGAAGGGAACTAAACAAAGGGAAATTTGATGGGGTGAGGCAAAGGAAGAAATGTGCGTGTTGTGATCAGTCTGGAGCTGGATGATACAATGACCCTGTTAAAGCACATGTGTGCACCCCAAATGCAGCAAGAAGCTCTGTCTGACTCTTGTCTCCTTATCACAGCCGCCGAGCTGCCTACAGAACAGGAGCACTGTCTTCCAGTCCAAGACTCTTCCCACGTGCTGACAGCTGCCGCAGAAGCCCCGAGCCTGTTTCATTGTGAGCTTGAACCTTCTGGGACAAAATCATTTCAAAGAGGGTGCTCATTTCTGAAAGGAAAGTGCTGGCCAGTCTTGTCCCCGTGGCATTCGAGTCAGCCCCAGCACCTTTGCCGAAGGTCTCAAAGGTCCTTGGTTTCTCCTGCTTTGCAGCTTCCTCATCCTGAGGTGAATGCAGAGAGTCGGGGGAGAAGACGTTGTCCTTGTAACTACTGGTGAGGGGCAAGGAGAGCCGAGCCACCCATGCTGGGTCAGCAGCCGTCAGCCTCTTGAGGGCCAGCTCTGGAGGGAATGAAAACAAGAACTGGTGGTAAGACATGGAGTAGAGGCGACCACAGGAGAGAAGGGAGAGGGAAGAAATAAAAAATATTGTAAAATGAGACTTCCTGAAGTCAGCTGCGAGAGGACTGATTGTAAACAGGTCTAGAGATACGCTACCAGCAGCATCATTCAAACCAGCAACTTAAAAAAAAAAAAAAAACAAACAAAACAAACCCAAACTAGAACTGGTTTAAAACTGCTGGGGTTTTTCATTTGATTTTTGTTGTTTTGGTTTTTGTTTTTTTTTTTTTTACTGTAATAACCATTAGGTTCACTTTGCTTTCTAATTTGTTGCAGCCTCAAGTGATACTTCACTAAATTGTTAGCAGAGCTAGAGAAAGTAAGGGTTTAGGCCTGGCTAAAGGGGAGATGACATTGGAAAGCTTTCAAGCAAGAAGTATCGGACAGAAAAAAGGTCACTAGTGGACTTCCCTTAAGAGTCACTCTACGGTGGGAATCTGCTGCTAAGCAGGCATATTGAGACTGAAAAGAAATGGGTTACTGTGAAAACAATAACAACAGAAGTAGAATTAAATTCTGGATTATAAAATGCACAGCTGGATGGTTGAAGACTAGTAACAAAAAATTGAGCTATAAAGTAATTGTTCATCAATTGGAAACAGATGAGAAACAGCGGGAGCCTGGTGTGGGTGTTGGCTGCAGGCTCGTTAGTGTACCAGTAATGTGATTCTGCCCCAAAATGAGCAAATGAAATCATACAATGTGCTGGTCAAGGTATTCCCTGTTGGCATGAAGACATAGCTGTGGTATTGTTACTAGGTCTGGCGAGACCTGATCAGGAGTGTTACATACAAATTGATTATCCATCCGTAGGAAAGAGGATCTGAAATGACAGAAGTGCAGAGAAAACAATTGAGATGAAAACAGGAGTGAGTCCAGGCTTACATGATGTGGAGGCTCCGAGAGGTAGGGGTTGCTTAGCCTAAGGAAACAAATGCTCACCAGGGACCTGATTGCAACCTGTCATTATTTTGATGAGATAAACACCGACAAAGGAAATCTTGGTGCTTAAAATAGTGTTGGCAAAAGAAGAAGTGATTATAACTGTCCATGAATAAACATACACTGGAAATTAAAGGAAGGACCCCATAGCAGGGTGAGCCTGGAATAGCTTCCTCATCAGACGACAGGAAAGGAAACAGGGGTTCTTGTTTTTTAAGGTAGAGCTTTGCAGTTGGTAAACAAGAGCCCGTGATGCTGGTGCACAGACGCTTCCAGCCCCGCACTGCTTCATTTCCAAAGCATAACTAAGAACCACGGGAAGGTTCGAAGCGACCGTCAAGTTTGTGAAACACTTTGAGTCAGAGAGCAGCAAAACAAATAACTGGTGTCTGGTAACAAAACACAGCGGTCCCAATCAGACGGCAAGAACTGGTGCCCTAATAATTTGGGGGCTGTGACTTCCAAAAGGACCTCTGAAAGGAGGGACCCCATTCTAATGCACTGATCGTGCTGCTTCCAGGAGATAATCAATACCCTGCCACAGCCTGGGACACGTGGTCTTCAGCCAGTGGCTAGTCAATCACTGAGACAAGTCTTCCTCAGACAACTAAGTAATTAGTCCCTTTTCTCTGAAAAATAACTCTGTCCTGGGGTGGGAGGGGGGTGAGTGCTGGGATTCACACCTAGTAAGGAGAGAAGGGCAGAGACATCACATTTTGTTTCAGCTGAAGCCCCAGAATTCTTTTTGCGTTGCTTAACTTTCAGGATTTCTTTCTGCAATCTCAGTATTTTCTTTCAGTCCGCGGTGACTGTTCCTTAAGAGACCTCCCAAGCATCCTGAAGTCCCATGGGTTTGCTCTAAAATATCCACAGTTCTCTCAGCAGTCTGCAAGAAGCCACTGCAGTCCCTGAATATTTTGACGCTTCAGCTCTGGAGCAGGGCACAACAGTAGTCCGCTTGCTGTGGGCTGATGGTCCTGTGACCATGAAACCTTGTAATTAGGGATGTCTAATTTGACCTGGTAACTCTTTACTGCCTTATTCGAATGGTGTTTCGGGAGCAGGGGTTGTTTTTATAATCAATAAAGTTGTATCTCTCATCTGCTGCCGCGAGCGCTCCGTTTCACTGGTGGGGGATAGGTGTTAATAGACGGTGCTGGGAGCTCAGCCCGGAGCTTGCTGCTCGCAGCATAAACAGCCAGGTAGCTGGCTGGGACAGATCACTCGCGTGGGTTCCCCCTGCTGCGAGTAGCACAAAGGCCAGGACAGCCTCAGCCAGCTGTTACGATACTCCTGAGCACGAGCATTGCTTGCTTCCTTCCTCCCTCTCTCAGGATGCAAGTCCACATCTCTGCGATTGGGAGGGGAGGAAGGAGGCCGGCGGTTCCGTTGTCTGCGCTCCGTTGCCTTTTTGGGAAGGTCTGGGCTCATGGCGAAGGTTGTTTTTCAGCACTGAGCCAGGGCAGCCTCTTGCCGTGGGCAGGAAGCCATGCTGGCTTAGCCTCGGCACGCGCCACTGGTGTCTACTGTGAAATTCCAGTCATTTGGCAAAAAAGGATTTTTTTTTTTTTTTTCTAGCAAAATCCAAGAAGCGTGGGAGATGACATTTCATGGCTATGCCTCACCATGGCACAGATTTTCTACCTGTCTGGGCAGGACTGGATCCAGAGAGATCTGCTAAGCAGGTCCACCAGTCCCTTTACTGGGGCCGGAGAGTCTCAGTGCACTCATGGGCTGGAGCTGGGCAGCCTCTTTGCTCCCCGCTGTTGGCTGCAGGACCTTCAAATCTGAGGAAGCTTGCAGCTCTCATTTCATTCAGCCTTTCCTTTGTTTGCTCCTTATTAGAATAAAAAGGCAGGAAGGCAAAGAGACAGAAGCAGCGTGCTTCTCCCTCTAAGCAAGAGCAGAGAAAATGCCCAACTCTGGAATTAAAATGACCACAGCAGAAAACCTCAATGAGTTCCTCTTGCTCTGGAGGAGCGCAGAGGCTCCACAATGAAATTTCTGCTACAGGACATGAGTCAGCTCAACTCTTTCAAATTGAAATGCCAGTAGAAGAGATTTTTAGAACAAATCAATAAAAGGAACATGCAGAAAATGTCAGACCCAGATGGTGTTCACCCTGGAGTGCTAGAGGAACTCAGATATGAAATTGCTTAGTTTATTAACTGCTGTTCGTTAACTACTGCTTCAAATGAATACGGTGTCAGAGGAGGGGAAGGTAGAAATTGTGACATGAGTTTTGAAGCGCATGAAGGTGAATCTAGAGCAGGCGGATTCATAGAAATCATTATATGCAAAACTCAGCAGGTAGCCGAGTACCTGCTATTTGGACAAGAACCGATGTGCCATTTGCAAGGCAGGGAATGGTGTTCTGCAAATTTGTTGGCATCTTTGGAAGAGGTGGATGAGGAGTCCTGGTTGACGGAGGACACCTGAGCTTGCAGGAGAGCACCAGCCAGGCTCCCAGGGGAACCTGAGCTGTCCTGGAATTAACAGCCAGGTTCTGTTAGGGACTAATATGTGTTAAAAGCTGGGAAGCGAGGGTAGGAATAATCTTCCCCACGAAGGAAGGTCATTAGTGGAGCCCCAAAGCATCCCTTCAACATGGTGATAAATGATGTGGAGAAGCGGATGGCATTGGTGTTGACTCCACTAAAACACCCAACGACATAAAAGCAGAGGGTTGTGGAAGGACCTAACAATACCGAGTGCCGTGAGCAAAACGTGGCTGATGGGTTTTCTGTGTCATCAACTGGCAGGATAATTGTCACGGGGAACAACCCATCCCGTGTTCATGACTGTCCCACCACACAGAGGTGGGATTTGGGAGTCGCCATGAACAGTTCAGTAACAGAGCTCAGCACGGAGCTTGGGCAGGACAGGGATGAAGAACGAACCAGAAGACCTCCTTATAGCACCAGTGTAGCTGTATCCTAAACACTGCACACAATTCTGGTCACCAGATCTCAATAAAGATGCACTGAAATTGGTATCAGGTTGGTCACAGGACATGGAGAGTGGACTAGTTCAGCCTGGGAGGAAACAGGAGCCTGATGGGGCTCAAAGGGTATTGAACATCTTGAGGAGCTTGACAGGGACAACTCTTGACCTTGCTCACTCCGCATGGACTAGGAGACCGTGGACCAAAGGGGCTCAGGTCAGCATGGGAAGCGGTTCACACGGTGCGTAGCTAAACCGGACTTCACCCCTCCGCGACAGAGGCCAACCGCGCAAATCGGCCAAACAGCAGCAGACAGGTCCACGGGAGGAAAAAATCTACCAAGGGCGATTAAACACACGAAAAAAAAAAAATCCAACGTGAAGCTCAGCAAGTCCCTTCGCTGTAAACTGCCTGGTAGCAAAAGCGTAGGATGGTCTGTGCGTGCTGTCCCAAGCACCTGCCACGGTCACCCTAGGAGGTGAGATGTCACCTGGCCTGCTGCAGGCCGCCCAGTTCTATCTTCAGAATGGGCTTAGTGTGTTATTTGAGGAGAACCTAACGCTGGAGCCCCCCACCAGCCCCGGGCATGCTCCCAGTAGCGAGGCCACCTCACCTGCCTGCGGCTCCAGGAGAGTTTCCAGCTCCTCTCCCACCAGCTGCTGCACCTGAGAGCTCAAACGCGCTCTCCGAGTCGCGGTCCTCCGCCTCGCTCTCGCCGTGCCCGCTGTCCTTCGTGCTCAGGCAGTCGGCATCCAGCCCCGCAGCCCTGCGAGGGGGCCAAGACGCTCAAGTCACGCTTCAACCCTCAACATGACCCTGCCTCGCCAGCTACTTTGAAGGTGGTTGTCTTTATATCCCATGAAACGACCCAGAGGAGGGGCGTGGGCGTCTTCTCAGTGCATCATCATTCACAGAACCGAATCATTTCAGTCCCCACCAGTTAATGAGTTTTGGGTTGTATTTTTTAAAAAAAAAAAAAAAAAACAAAAAAAAAAAAAAAACAAGCACCACACACATAAAGAAAAACACTGGGACCAGAAGTGCCATGGGCCTGAAAACTGGTTTTCCCAGGAAAACTGGGTGCTGGGCTACACATGGGGCAGCTCCACACCTCTTGCCCAGGAGGGTTTCTAGACTTCTGCAGGGAGATCCTGAGCAAACAGGGAGCTGCTGGATCTTCCCTGTGAATTCGGAGGAGCTGCCCAGCCCAGCCCTGCCCAGAGCAGCTCTCCCTCCCTTCTCCAGCCTCAGCAGATGGAACTGACGATGAGAAAGGTGGAGAAAGCTGTGTCTGCCCATGGCTGGGCCAGGGGGGCACATGGCGAGGCAGCGATGAAGCCCTGGTGTCCTCAGGAGCATTCACCCAGAGATGTCAGCAGCATAATTTAATGGGAATACCATGAAGTTTGGCTCTGGGATCGTCTTCAGCACACAGCTGGGATCTCAGTTCTTCCCATCCCGGCTAGCATCATCTCCCTCACCAGCCTCCTGGCCCAGGGGACAGATGTCCTGAACTCATGTTCAGGCAACAGCATCTCTAAGAAAGTACCCAGAGCCATGAGAAAACTCATCCTCATGCTGCTGCCTCCAAAGCTGGGTCCCTCTGCGCTCGTGAGTGCACCTCTCCATCGCACTTGAACACATCGGTGTTCCCCTAGCAAGGACAGGGCAGATGGTTTGTGGCCGTGGAGGAGCTCGGGTGAGCATGGAAGGAGGTGCCAAAGGTGCCCCAGGAAGGAGGCAAAGAGCCCTAAGGAAGCTGCTGGATACCCGCGGGGAGCCAGGAGCAGAGGAGCACAGCCATCATCCCCTGAAGGGAGGACCCACCTCCCCAACCTCGGGTCAGCAGAACTGGGGGTGAGGTTTTGCTTTGTGTGCCTGCTGCCCTGGTAGTCTCCTGCCCTTGGAGGCTCTCGGGGCTCGTGGGGCTGAAGCAGAGGCAGCAGAGACATGGGGGGACGGGGCGTGGGGAAGGGCAGGCCTGAGAGCCAGCCTTACCTGCTGCCGTTCTTGGCTGCGTACTTGTTTCCCCTGTGGTTTGTTCTGGGCTGGAACTGGCCCTGGTGCAGCAGGGAGAGCAGCTGGGAGATTTGCTGTAAGGCAGGAAAAGCCTGTTGAGCCCCCGGCGATCTCGCCACTCAAGCTGCTTCCTGCCAGGACGTCCCCTCTGAGCCCCCCCCCCCCACCCCCGGCCTTTTTATAGCGTTTCCTCCTCCCGCAGATGGTTCAGCATCCCCACGCCGGAGGAAAAACAAGGTGGCCCACCTGGCCCCAGTGCTTCCCCTGCACCAGCCCTGCCCGCCCGCTCCCTCCCGGGGTTCTCCCCGTGACAGTCGTCCTCCACCCCCGCTCCCCGGGGTGTCCTGGGTGGGGGGGGTGTTGGGGACACCCTGCGCGTGGCGGGGTGGCCGTTCACCCTGCGCCGCCCCAACTCCCGGGGCAGCTCTGCCCAAGGGCTGGGGGGAGACCAACCACACAGACCGTCAGGTTGCACGTTCCCACCACCCCAGGGTGTGAAAGACCTGGGCAAGGAAAGATTTGGGGTGCGGAAGGGGAGATGAACACCCCCCAGCTGCCCCACGCGTTGCTCCTACCTGCACGGGGGGTGACTCCATTGCGAACTCGCCGGTGGGGCTCTGCTCCGCCAGTGCCACCAGTGACAGCCGGACCAGGCTCCTGAGGATGTGCTGGTGGGGCTGGGGCTGCCCAGGTCCCCCAGCACCCACGGGCTGGTCGGGTGGCAGCGGGGACCCTCCCACGGGCCCCTGTGGTGGCTTCACCAAGCTCTTGCAATGCGGTGGCGCATCCGGAGGGCTCGCGACCTCCTTTGCAGAATTTTTTGGTCTGTGGGGCTGGCAGGGCCGGCGCTGCAGGACGGGCAGGTTGAAGGTGCCCCTGCTGCTCATCTGAGTCTTTTTGGGCCCTCTGATTTCTCAGGGTCCTGTAGAGAGTGGGGGTGAGGTGGAGGGGAGGCTGCGGGGATCCCCCCGGCGCGGGGGCAGCTGTGCCAGGCAGATCCTCCTGGCAGGGACTGGGGGGCTCAGCCTCCCGGGGCCGGCCCCGGAGCAGCGGGACGAGGTGGATATCCGTCTTCTGGATCTGCCTGTGAGGCTTCTTGAGCTGCTGCTGCCTGCGGGCATCCTCTGCCTCCCTGCAGTTGTAGGCCATGCCGTCCTTCTTCTCCTTCTTACGCAAAGACAGGGTTAAAGCCAAAAGGAGAAGGCACCCACCCAGGAGGGCGGCCAGGCAGATAACAGCCACCACAGAAGGGCTCAGCCACCCGGGATCGTGGGCTGAGATTTTGGAGAACGCCCCGTGATGCCGGAAAACTAAGCGGACCCGGGCCAGGGTGTGCAGGGGGATGTCCCCCCCGTCACTCACCCGGACCACCAGCTCCCGCTCGCTGCCAGCGAGGCTGCTGGCGTTGCTGGCGTTGAGGAAGACCTGCCCCAGGAGAGGGTCCAGGATGAAAAGCCCAGCATCATCCCCACCCACCAGATCGTACCGGAGGGCCCCGTTGATGCCAGAGTCCACGTCCCTGGCTGCGATGGTGAAGAGGAGGGAAGCGCCGGCACATGACAGGAGTGTTGCGTTGGCCACCGCTGCGACTCCTTGGGCGCTCCCGTTCCCGGGGGCCACCCAGAAGCACCCCGTGTCCGCACTGACCAGGATGGAGAGCGCGGCCGCGCCTCCCACCAGCACCGGCGCAGTGATGACGGGCGCGTTGTCGTTCCGGTCCAGCACAAGCCAGCCTGATGGAGACGTTGGACACCAGCTTGGGGTGACCACCGTCCTCTGCAGTCACCAGGAACTCCAGGCTCCTCACCTGCTCGTAATCGAAAGCTTGGAGGGCAAAAACATCCCCAGTCACAGGGTCGATTGAGACCAGACCTGAAGCGGACGAGTCCAGGATGCTGTAGGTGATTTTCCCGTTGAAACCCAGGTCAGGATCGGTGGCACGGACGGTGAGCAAGAAGGCAGGTGCTTCACTGTTCTCAGCAACGGCAACCTCGTAGGCGGCCTTCTCGAAGGAGGGGGCGTTGTCGTTGACGTCGCTGATGCAGATAGTGAGGTGCTTCAGCACGGCCAAGGAGAGGTCACCCTGGTCCCGCACCACCAGTGTCAGGTTGTACTCGGCACGCAGCTCCCTGTCCAGCGTGGCGTTGGTCATCAGCACGTAGCTGTGGCTGTTGGTCCTCTTCAACCTGAAGTGCTCGTACCCTTGACTGAGGGAGCAATGCACTTGCCCGTTGCTTCCCGAATCGGGGTCGCTGGCCGTCACCAGAGCCACGAAGCTGTCTTTGGGGAGGGCTTCGGAGAGCACGGGTGCCCGCGCGGCCCAGGTGACGTGGACGTCGGGAGCGTTGTCGTTGACGTCCAGGACTTTGACCAAGACCTTGCAGTGCGCTGGGATGGGGTTGGCCCCCAGGTCCCGGGCTTGCACGTCCAGCTCGTAGGCGTGGGTTTCCTCGTAGTCCAGAGGGTGCTTCAGGATGATGCTGCCTGTGCGGGCATCGATGCCGAAAGCGCTCAGCACCTCCGGGGGCGCGTGCTTGCTCAGGCTGTACTCGATCTCCCCGTTGGGGCCCTGGTCGGGGTCAGTGGCCGTGACCATCACAAGGAGGGTCCCGGGCAGAGCATCCTCCCGAACCTCTACCATCAAAGAGCTCTCCGCAAAGACGGGGCTGTTATCATTGGAGTCAAGGACGATGACTTTAATTAAAGCGGTACCTGATTTTGGTGGCTCCCCATGATCGGTGGCTGTCAGCACGAGGTCGAAGGAGGAGTGCAGCTCCCGGTCCACTTCTTTGACCACAACGAGCTCCGCATGCCTCGTCCCATCAGAGCTGGCGACGACCTCCAGAGCAAAGTGCTCGCTGGGGGAGAGGGCGTAGGAGCAGCGGGCGTTGGGGCCGGCGTCGGCATCCAGGGCTCGGTCCAGCGGGATCCGCGTCTGCAGGGATGCGCTCTCCGACATCTCCAGCTCCAGCTCGGGCGTGGGGAACCGCGGCGCGTTGTCGTTGATGTCCAGCACTTGAACCTCCACGTGAACCAGAGCCAGGTTTCGGGCAGCCAGCACATCAAACGAGACCCAGCAGGGATCAGTGTGCCGGCACAGCTGCTCCCTGTCCACCCGCCCGGCCGTGCTGAGCACCCCGTCCCCGTTCCCCACGTGCAGCAGGAACCTCCCGGGGGTCTCCATCAGCTGGAAGGCGTCCGCTGTTTCGCCGCTCTCGCCCCCCTCAAAGTGCTCGGCCAGCGTCCCTATCACCGTTCCCGGCGGCACTTCTTCGAACACCCTGTACTGCACTGTGAACGTGGCCACCTCCTGGGCATCGGCGGAGAGGAAGAGGTACCACCACAGGGCCGGGAGGTGGAGAGCGGAGCGGCTCAGCAGCAGCATGCTGTTGGCGAAGCCCACCGCCCCGCTGCCCCGGCACGCTGCCGCGGGCTTGCCCGCCCGCCGCCGCATACCCGCGGCACGGTCCTTACGGCGATCGCAAGCCCTCAGCATCCTCTCCCATCACCAAGTCCCGCAGGCGCCGGCCACCGGTTGGAAAGGAGGAGAAATGGCGAGCGAGTCCGGCTGTTGTCCCCCACCTCTCCATCACCGGGGGGACAGCCGGGAGAGCCAGCTGCTCCCCGGGCTGAAACGCTCAGCCTGGAGCGGAGGGGACGGCCACCGCTCCAGCCGGGGAGCGGCGTCCGGCCGGCCGGGCCGTGGACCAGCCGTGTTTCCTATGGAAACCCCACCTACAGGAAAAGGGAGGACCGGGCTGGTACAATGCCTGGGCGGGGTGGGGGCTCACGGAGCTGGGAGAGGGGTGTGGAAGTGCCCTCGGGTTCCAACCCACGGGGACCACCACCGCTGCCTGCTGTCACCTGCAAAAACACCTTTTACAGCAGGGACGATTCCTGCAGACGGTCCCTAACCCACCCACGAAAGCCTCGTGCGTGTGCTTCAGGAAGATGCCTGCAAGGACCAGCGACGATGGACTTCTGCTCTTGCACGAACCCAAAGGCTTGTTCGCCGTGCTGTTAGATTTCGGACTTACTTCGATTTATTTTCATTTGGTCTAAATCCAGAATGTCATCCCTGCTCCTTGCTCTGCCTTTTGCCGTCAGCTTTGAGGGCGACTGCGCCCACGTCACCTTTTCCAACACGTGGCTTTTGATTACGCCACCGCTTCGTTTTCATCAGGACACACCAAAACGAGCAAATGAGTCACTGGGAGAGCTGCCACGTCAAACACGGGCAGGTGGGCACAAGGGAAGAAAGGAGGCTCCAGCAGACGCGAGCTGTGTCCTGTCAGGCCTCTCCCTACCCCCTTACATCCGTCTGTCCTGGCCAGCTCCCCCCATCTTGGCACACTCTCCATCCTCAGCTTGGCTCGCCTTTGATTTCCCCAGCGTCACTCCTCACCCGGCACTGATTTTACACCCCCAAATCCCTTCTTTGCCTCATTTCAACACCTCACCCTCGAGCAGCCCACGCGAGGCCGCACAGCCCTACCGCCCGCTCCCCGGCCGGCCGCGCACGCGCGCGTGGGCAGCGCAGACTGAAGTTCTTTCATTTATTCCTCCTAAGCAGGCAGCGGGCTGCCCGCGGGGCCCAGTTACCCCAATCTAGGCTGTGCTTTGGCTCTCAGAGGTGACGGAAAGGCATTCAGGGCAGGGAAGGTTCCTGCAGAAGTTTCCCTGGCCGTTACGGAGCGCAGGGCATCCTCCGGGTGTGCTTTGGGTCCCACCGGCCACATCATCTCTGTCTTGGCCCCCAAATTTGCCAGGCAGATTCCAGCACCCCTGCGGCTTGCCCGCCTTGCACCTCTCCTCCTGCTTTTCCAGCCTTTGACGGGCACCCTCGTACCCTCATCCTGTTCTCGTCCCTCCCTGCTCCCCTCACAGCTCTGCTTTTCCCAGCGGAGGCTCCCCATCCCCTGCACCCCTGCTCTCCTCACTCCTCTTTATTATGGCAAATTCTAACGCCGCAACAAACAGCAAAAGCAAAACCACCCGGGTGCCGAGCAGCCGTTCCGCCCCAGGCGGGTGAGTGCCCCTGCTCGGCGCAGCGGGAGGAAGGGCCAGGGCAGCTCGGCCGTGGCAGGGGGTGGCAGGACAGCCGGTGCTATTCCTGGGCTCAGCCCCAGCTCCAGGTGACCTCTGCCAAGTCATTTCCCTGCTTTGTGCTCCCGCTTCCTCCTCCTCAGCCGAGCAAAGCCGGCCGGCGGGCTCCCCCGGAGGGATGCTCTCCCGCTCGCGGAGCTGCGGGCGGAGGAGCGGATGTCTCCCAGCCCCGTGCCCTGCTTTCGGGTGAGGGGGGTGGGAAGGCTGCTTCCTTCTGAGGCGGGGGGAGTCTCATCCTTCCCCCTCCCTTTTTATGATGCCTTTACTTTTCAGGGCTGGAGAGGAACAGAAGAACCGCGCTGAAATACCACCAAGGGAAGGAAATAAATATTATGCCTGAGAACTCCAGGGGTTCCCCAAAGAGCCCCGCAAGAGGTATCCTTCTCCCCATCGCCGCCCAAGCCGCCTGCAGAACAAACCAACCTCAACAAGTACCCCACGTTTAACCCACCACTGATGTGCCAGGAGCTATATTCCCCCCCGACCCCAGGACCCTGCTTGGGGCAGCCCCCGCCCCACCAGCGGGAGGGAGGACGCCCCTTTAGGCCGCTGCAGCCCCAAACCGCTCCTTTTTCTCCCCAAAGGCAGGGAGGCAGATGGGATTTTGAGGTTCGGTTTGCTCAGCCACCCTAGGGAAAGGCTGATGTGACCGTGCTGGTGCTGGGAGGAGAAGTCCCAGTCACTGAGACGAGGGCTGTGACCCCCTCCTGCTCTCCGTGCCCCCCCACCAGCTGTGCCGTCCCCCGTCTGGCTGTACAGATACCGGCACTGGTGACAGACCTGGACCGCCCAGGAGAAAAGGAGCTGGAAGAGCCAGTGCATTAATTGTTAACAACTCTTCAGGAATAAATCCCTGTAGACTGGACCGGTGTGACCCCAAGCCGTCAGGACAGTCAGCGGTTTGCACAGGGGACGGCTGCAGGATGCAGCGAAAGCATTGCTGAGCTGCAAACCGTGCCAGCTGCATCTTGGTGGAAGACGGGTAAAATTCATGCTAACAAAGAAAATAGAAAAGAAACATGGGGTTGAGCTGAGACTTGCCAGAAGTCCAGACAGTAAAATAAGCTCTGGTGCTAAAAACAAAACTCCTCCCCTTTCCTGTTCGCACACGGGCAGGTTTCTAACATGCAGGTGCTTCAAGGCCTCCATAGCCAATATTCTGTCTATGAAAATAAAATTTTCCCCCAGGAGGTTGGCTGCACCTAAAACCTTTCATTTAAGGCTCAGAAGGAGCGTCAGTTATATTCAATTATTGCAGTAGCATCCTTCAGCTTCTGTGTGATGCTATCAGTGCCCAAAGCAGATGTAAATGCTATTTACTGGTGTGAAATTCTGGCTCCTCTGAAGCTCGGCTGCTCTCCAGAGGAAGACATGGACACCGGGGACACCCCAAATTCCTAGGGGTTCAGAGAGGTACTGGAGGCTCCACACACTTGCCGCCCATCGCACGGCAGAGAGCAGCCCACCATGTTATTTTGAGCTCTGCTGCACGGCTGGAAGTCTTCAAATTTTGTTTGTCAGTTTGGGTTGGCTTGGCCTTAGCTGGGAACCAGAAGCTGGAGCTGCACACCTCTGGCAGGGTGCATAGGGCAACATGAAAATGGGAAGAAAACATGGTTTTTTATCAAAACCAATAATGAAAAGCACCACCAAAAGAGTTCAAAATGAGCACAACTAAACACGTACCAAGGTTTGACCTCATTAGGGTGCTCAGGGCTTGCCTGTACCCTGCAGACCATTCAGGGAAGCAGGACTTGGTCTCATCTCTGCCCTACAGCTGCTCTGTGGGGTGGAAACTGAGGGTCAGGACACATTGGCCATAGGCAACAGGATGCACCCTGAGGTGGGACACTCTCTTCCAGGCTCAGCTCCGTACCTCAGAGCCCCATCCTCAGCAGGAGGAGAGCTGCAAACCCAGAGGGAACAGGTAAAAGCACGGCTGCTTCTCACCAGCTGCTGCCCTTACACCAGGAACCAGTCTTTCTCTTTTTTTTTTTTTTTTTTATCCTCAACTATCCCAATTCTCAGCCCTTCAAATGTAGGCTTTGCTTCTCTAGAAGCGTCACTCCTTTTTCAGCAGGAAAAAAAAAAACAAAAAGAAAAAACAAAACAAAAACAAAAAAAAACAAAAACAAAAAAAAAAAAAAAAAACAAAACAAAAAAAAAAAACACATTGTTTTCCTAATCCATCTCCACGCATTAGATGTTTTAGTTGCTGGGTGCAGAGGCACAAGGTGACCCAGGACCTGCCCCATCCTCAGCTGCCTGCAGGGATTGAGGAGGCTCCGGAGGGACCCGTCCCAGGGGGAGGGAAACGATCCACCCTCTCACCCCAAACTGCAGGTACGCAGATCTGCAAGAGGGTGGAGGGACCTTCTCGCAGGGGGCCTGGCTCTCCTCGTGCTCACCTTTCTCTGTAAAATCACGAAACGGCGCCGGCCGAACGCGCCTGACCTCCAGGTCCCTTTCGGGCTGCTCAGCACCCCGTCCTTCATCGCTGCAAAGGCTTCCCTGTTCCTCCTTGCGCCACGGAGCTCAAAGCCAGGCTCTCCTCTCCAAACCCCAGGCTTCCCCCAGCTGCGCTCTCACCGCTTGCTGGGGCGAAGCCGGAGAAGCTCCCCCCCACCACCACCGCCCCCAACCCCACCGCCCCCCAGCCCCCCCAAACCGCCCGGCGTGCAGTTGGCCGCCTCCGCCGCAAGAGCCCACTGCTGCTCCGCGCTGGGCTCCCCGCAAACAGCCAACCTCCAGCCGGGGGGGTCCCTGCCCCCCCACACCCCCCCCCAAGGCGTGGGGAGGGGGGGGGGGGGTGGTGCCGGTGGGGCTCAGCTGGTTCCCAGCCCTGCGGGGAGACGCTGCAGCTCCCCCTCCATCTCCAGCCGCCTCTTTCCCTTTTTGCGCCGTTTTAGGCAACGCAACAGCAGCAAAACTCCCTCCGACCCCGGCTAAACGCTCCCGGGAGCTCTGTGCCTGCGCGGGGGGGTCTAGAGGTGCTGCCCCCGCGGCAGGTGAACACCCTGAGGAGGAGGGAAATGAAAGGAGGTGCACGCAATCCCTAATCAGGACAGCGTTAATAGGTGATGGAGGAGCTTTTTAAAGCTTCCTAAGGCAGCAATTTGGCTTTGAGAAAAGCGACTAAATACAAAGTCTCTGCCAGCTCCTGCTTGCTGTGCTGCAGAAGCTCCCCGGTGCAGAGCGTGTGATAAGGAGAGTTATTGTTGCTCCGCGGTCATAAAAAGATTATTGTGAAGGAGGGGAAGAAAGTTATAACTGAAATAACCTGGAACAAGCTCGGTGTTTGAATAGAGAGTAATAATGTTATGATAATTTGCATGCACAGCCTCTGCCACTCGAGAACCCTAATGTATTTTATAAAATCTTGCACTACAAAGAGCAATCCTATAAGCGGATAGCAGTAGAGCTGGCCAAATATAAAAGAGGGGAATCTGTAAAAATGGCATTTTGTTGTGTGGGAGAAAGCAATGAGAAGCAGAGTTGAGATTTAACCCTTGGTGTCCTTCTGGAGGAGAAGGCTGGCAAAAGATTGTCGCTTGCTTCTATGATCTAGTTTGCTATTATGAGTCTTACAGTATGGGGGGTTTTTCCTGTATTTCAAAAGGTTATATGGAAATATCTGTTTGCAAATGAAATATAAGGAAAAAATCCTGAAGGCTGGAACGTCAGTACTAGATCTTTCCGGAAAAGGTGATAGAGAAGAAGGGGCTGCTGACGGTTCCTGGACTGGGCTGGAGGGATCACAGCGCAGGACAAATACGGGGGAAACCGGAGCCCCACCAGCACCACCGTTCAGTGCCAGTTGTATTTGCTTTTGGTTTGACAACCTGAAATACCTGAACAACGGCAAAGCGTTTTGCAACAGTGGGGTTTCCCCGGCTCCTCCACTGTGTAAGTGATAGATCTAGGCCACAGCACGCTGTAACATAAATCAGACCTTTACGAGTCCCCAGCCGGCTGCAAATCAATGAGTTCTAGGAATAATTACCCATTTTATCTTTCTCTTTATTAATATTTAGACGGTTTTAATCTTTTCTCTGCAAACACCATGTTTCCCTGCTGCGGTTGTCCTTCAGTGGGGGCTTCTGTGAGAGCTCCTCTTTCTCCCCTTCAAGACTGTCTTGAGCCAAGCTGCTCCCTGACCTGAAACGACACCACCCCGAAAGCCGGGTGACGACTCCGCCGATTCACGCCGGACGGGTGACACCGTCTCGGGGCGCAGCTGGTGTCCTCCAGACACCGTGGAGCCAGTCTGGGGACCTTGCCATGGCTGTAAGGGGGGTTTCTTAAGATCCCACCCTTGGCGTGGGCGACCACCTGGATTATCACAACCTACAGCCGTCGTTTAAGACAGCCCTGGAAGGGGGTTAGCTCTTCCGGTGGGGCTGGCTAATTAGGGGTGTGTAAATTAAAAAATAAGCCTTGTGTTGACACGCAAAGGGAGGCTGACTCTCAGGGATTCCCAATTGAAATGACAAACCTTATCTCCTCTAACACGGGCATGGGAAAGCTGATAGTGCGCTATCACCTCTGGAAAACAAAAGGGAAAAAAATCAAAACAGAAAACGACCCCCCAAAAAAGTAACATAAATTATGTTTATTGTAAAGACCAAAATTTTCCAGCCAGCCCAACCACTACCTAGATTTAAAGTTAGTAAGTGAGAAAAGAAGCTGGAAATAAGCGAGACAAAGGATGCTGGAGTATCTGCTGTGTCAGAAATACCTCTGGCACCTGGCAGAACAGGTAGAAGACCCTTTTCTCGCCCAACAGTGCACAGAGGGGTCTGTGCTGGGGATGTGGCTTAGGACAGGCATGGATCTGGCTTTTCTGTTCTGGGATGGGGAGGGGAGAGGCAGGAACTGTATTTTGACTCCTGGGACTATTCAGCAGAATAAATCCTTGAGGGTAATCCCAGAGGCTGTGCTCCTTCCCCAGGGACTGTCTCTGAGCCCACGCACTGAGGGAAGGCTTTGATGTCCAGCTTCCAGCCGAGTGAAGAGAAACTGAGACCAGTTTCTTCTCCAAAGAGATGCCAAGTGCTTCCAGCAGCACAAAGACTCCCAGGGTTGAGCGGGTCACCACGGTCCGCTACCACCAGGAGCCTTATGGGGCTCCGGTTGACGTTTCACCCCTCCGCCTGCTCCCTCCGTGCCACCCCAGCAACCTTCTGCCCAGGGTGATCGAGCCACATCAACATCCATCCCAAGGGGGCTGGCTATGCCAATTCCACCATCGCGCCCTCCTCAGCTGCTTCCAATGCTGAAATCACCCAAGTCCCCAAGCAGAGCCTCCCTCAGCACGGGGAGAGCAGACAGTGACGGGGACAAGGACGATGCCCACAACGAAGGTGACCTCAGGTCTTCCCATCCCTGCCGTGGTGCACAGAGATGCTGCAGGCTCTGCCCAGAGATGCACGCAGCTCTCCACCAGCGCCAAGATCTCAAGAGGTTCAGCCAGCTGCAAGGGGGGGGCTGATGTGCCGTTATCACCTCTCCTGCCTCTGCCGTGTCACCTCTCTCCTCTCACCCACCTGCGCTGGGGGACGGGACACGTTGTCCTCTGCCGCTGGCTCCGCCGCCGAAACACCAACAGGGGTTGAGGTGCTGCCTCCTCTCCGCCAGGCTGCTTACCACGACGGGCTGAGCCCGTGGCCGGGGCTGGCAGGAGCGGGGACAGCAGTTTCAGCCCTCCAAAGGAGGGGAAGGGACTGTGGCGTGGAGGAAAAGAGGGGCTGGAGGCTTTTTCTGTGCCATGCAAACGGCATAATGAGGACACTGTGAACGTGGAAACACCTTTAATCTGGAAAGCGATTCCAGATGATGCAACTTCCAGCTCCTGCCAAGGGGCCGAGCATACGCCCAGAGCTCCCCAGCTGGGGCGAGGACCAGGGCAGCTCTCCCGGGCACTCCCAGACAGTGTGGGACAGGTAAAACCAGGGCGAGAAAAAACAGAAGAGATGCCAATGCTGTGCCACGTAGGCTGACCCAGCTTCTGCTTGAGGACGGTGGTCCCCTTGGGCTGGAGTTTTGGGGGGCTAATGATGGGTCACTGCAGTGACACAACCTTCTATCTGAGCCTACCCAGGGAGAGACGCAATCCCGGGGAGCTAAAACCTCCACGTGTGGGAACCGGTGAGTCTCGGGCTAAGCTAACATCCCAGGCATTATATTTCCAGCGGGACGTGGTCCCTTGAGTCCTGCCCAGGTGGCTCAGAGCCTTGTCACAGGTACGTGACCTCGATGACGTTGGGCTCAGCGCTCCCGCAGGGAAGGTGATGCTTGCAGGGGCACTGGCAGGATCGTGCCGGCCGTGTCCGTGCCGCCCGGCTCCCGCTGGCAGGGCTGGGCAGGCAGCTTCTTCTGGGAGCCCAGTTTCTTCCAGTCCATGAGGTGCACCCCACCGTCCAGGTCCTGCGGCATGGGCTCCTGGTAAAGGGTGATCTGGACGGTGCGGAGGTGGGGGCCGTAGTGCACCGCGATGATGATGAAGACGGCCAAGAGGACAAAGATGATGACGATCGTGGAAATCACGGGCAGGGCATCGGATTTCTTCGTCACGCTCCTGACAACAGAGATGGGAGTGAAGGCGGCCGCATCCTGGGGGTCAGGCTGTCTCAGCTGGCTGCCGGGCAGGGAGGCGTTCATGGCTGAGCAGGCTGACCTGGGACAGAGGAACACGGGGTGGAAAGGGGTGAGCACCAAGCGGAAGCCATCCGATGTCCTCCTCTCCTGCCCTCGAGCTGGCAGCTCCTGCCTGCACTGGCAGCTGCCGGGGAATGGGACCGACCTGTAAGCGCTCCCTCCCTCGGGCTCGTGGCCCAGGGTACGTTTTGGTGGTTACAGCTGGGGATGTAGGGATGGCGCCCTGGATGTGTGCAGCCGGGGGGGCCATGCCCTGCGTCCCCTTGCCCTGGACACCTTTGGCATGAGGGTCTTCCCCGCCGTTGCACCTCGCTCCCCAGTTGCAGCCGGTGATGGGAACGGGGAGCCCCCTGGAGAAGGAGCCCTCCACCCTCCCCTCTTCACCCCCAGCCCCACGGTGCTAACCCAAAACCAAGTCCCGTGGGGACCTCCCCGGGAGACCCAACCCCACCAACACACCCCACGGGACACCCCTCACTCCAGCCGCGAGATCCCACGGGAGCCAGCACGGGTGGGAGAGGAGGGAGGGGGAGCCCTCCCCAGCCCCGTAGGGGTACCTCAGCATCCCTGCTGCGTGGGACTCACCATCTCCAGCAGCGAGGCTGGGAAGCTGAAGGCAGGACCGGCAGAAAAACCTCCAGGAGGGTTCTCCGGTGTAGGTACAGCCAGACTCACCTCAGCGGCTGCCACGTCACGCCTCGGCCCCGCACCCCCCCCGGGATTCCCCGGGGCAGAGGAGGAAGTGCCTGCTCATCCCACGGGCAGGAGAGGTGCTCCCTTACCTAGCCGGGTGCCACATCAGCGCCGCCGCCCCCTCCCTCGCTGCCCACACACCCTCGCTGGAAAAAAAAAAAAAAAAAAACAACAACCTCCTCTCACCCACCGCAAGACAAGCGCCCTTTTGTTCGGGGAGAAAGCACCTACCACCCCTCCGGCGGCACACACACAGCCCCCGGCCGCCTAACCGCAGGAAACCTCCCTCCTTCCACTGACTTGATGTTAAAATGTAATGCGGTTAAGGAATCGGTGTAAAAAAACCACTTTTCTGCACGTGAGCTCTTCACACAGCCCAACAGAGTGTACCCACCACAAACACACACCCCCCCCCCGATGCCCTCGAGTCCGGCAGCATTTACTCCTTCGTGCGGGCGGGTACCAGCCCCCCTGGTCCAGGGATGCCCTGCGGTCAGACCTTCTGCCGTCCCTGAGCACATCTCAGAGCAGAAAAGGTGGATCCTCTGGAGTTTTAGCCATTACAAAACATGTCTCCCCATCATTCCGTCCCCAAAAGCCACTGCTCTAACCTGGAGGCTTTCAGCAGACAAGCAGTGGGTGAGTATATGGGCTCCATCTTTCCTGCACATGGGGAGGACACGGTGGGAAATGCCTCTTCCCCCATCCAGCTGAGCATCCAGAAGAGATCTGGACTGCATGTTAGAGCTTCTGGGAATTTGCGCTCATTTCAAGATTCAGTAAAACCTTAATCTACAGTGTAATCTCTGAGCATCACATCTGTGCAAGAGAGGGAAAAACTGATGGGGGAGGTTTTGTAAAAGCAAATGCTGCTGTGGGGTGCCCGGCTGCCTTTGGCGTGATGGTCTGCTTGGGTTTTTGGAGGTGTTTGAAAGAGCCCCACTGAAACGCTGACCTGCGTAGTGCATGGGAAATCTCCCCCGTCATGGAACACAAGGACCTTGCCGCCGGCAGCAGAACACCCCCCCTTGGTGCCCTCTATGCAGCGAAGGAGCAGCTCCACCGCCCTCACCCAAGGCTCTTCGGCTTTTCAGGGGGCTCCGGGGGGGGTGGGGGGGGGGGAGCTGGGCCGGCCCCTCGAGCCAGGAGACCCCAATCCTGTGGATCTGCATCCTGAACGCCCGCACGGATCCTCCGAGGCGGGTGGGCATGGGAGCCTTCCCCACGCAGGGACACTAAGACCCTTCTCCTCCCCTCAGACACCCACTTACATCCGACACATTTCGTTACCTCTGAAATTCAAACGCCGCCAGCAGGGGACAGACAGACAGACAGACAGGGTGTGCATAGACAAGTGCATCACAAGGTCAGGGCCAAGAAACCGAACGCCCCAAGGTCCTTGGGCTGGATGGGGGGCAGAACCAGCCCAATTTTTCAGTTCCCTCCCCTTGCGAAGGAATTGGGGTGAGGGCAAGTCAGAGCCTGCTGTGTGCTGTTTGTCCTGCGGGAAAGGATTGCTGCTGCCACCTGAAAAGCAGCATCCCAAAGCCAGCATCCCCAAACCAGCACGTCCTGGTGCCCAGACTCACGGGAGCTGCCCAGGGAGGCGCAGGGCACGGGGCAGCACCGGCTGCTGAGTTACCCTGGCCCCACCGAGGAGCAAATATTTCCAAATCCCTTCCGGAGGTGTTATGAAATCTCCTCTCAGGTGGGAGGGGAAGACCGGCTCCTCCGGCAGCTCCTCGCCCGGGGAAGGAGCAGTGCTGCCTGCAGCCCTCGGAGCTGATGCTGAGCAGATTGGATCCCCGGGTGCGCATCCCCGCCACAAACAAAGCACCTCCCCAAAACCCCAAGGACCATAAAGAAGCTCGTGAGGCCCAAAGCAGGGCAGGCCTGCCGTGACGCTGCTCTCCCCCACTACGAGAGCCGAATCCCCCAACAAATTGATGGCGAGGTTTTCCTTTGCCGCCGGTAAGCGATGTCTCACATCCTCTCCAACCATAATGGGCTAAAAAACACAGTTCCCCTGTGGATTCAGCCCGTTTCCTTCTATTCTTTAACAGGAAGCTCTGTGAGAGTCAGCCCAGGCAGGCAAATCGCTCCTCACCCTCTTGTCCCTCCCGGGATGGCCAGAGCCTTAGCGGGGCTCCAGAGCCACAAGCCACCGAGAAGATGCTGGCTCCGTCCGTCCATCCGCTCCTCTGGCTCTTCGGCTGCGCGCTGTTCCGAGGTGAGACGCGCCGCTCGCAGCCCAGGGAGGGTGAAGCGGTGCCGGGCGGGGGGATTTGGGGAGCCCAGGTTCACGGCGGGCGCCAGCCAGGTGTCCGAACCTGTAGTAGCTGCCATCGGAGATCTCAGCCTAAAAATTCAGAGGTGGCAGGAGTCAGGTTGCTGGGAAAAACGCGGCCGTACCAGGTTTACAGGGTTTATTTGACGGCACTGGAATAAAAGAATTTATTTCCTCCTTAACAACAGGAGTTTTTCTGCTGAGGGTTGTGATGCTGAGGAGTTTTGTAACAAGTGACTTTTGTCAAATAAGCATCAAGGTAGAACATTTAAATGTACAGGACATTATTTTTCTCAAAGGTATTTCTTCCTTGGCTGATTTTAATTTTTCCTCTCACTGATATAAAGACTATGTGCAAGACTCACGCAGAACGTGCCTCAGACTTATTGTCAAAATAATTCTGCTCCTTTGTGATAATTCTGCTTTAAGTTCTCTTTCCCACGTGAGTCGCCGTGTGGGATGAAGGAACCGGTTTCCTGATCTGAAGGGTGACAGGTTGTTTTTTCCTGCATCTTCAGGCGCCTCTTGTGTCGCTGACAGCTGTAGGAGCTAGGAGCTGGAAAGTGTTCGAAGAGATACAGAGGCAACCTCATTGCTGCTTCTAATAGACAGCCACCTAAAAAACAATGTGTCTCCAATCCAAAGTTTTTATCATTAAACCGTAGAAGTTGCAGCGTATGGGTTGCAGCCACTGTGCTGGTAATAATGGGATTTTTAAAAGGCAGAGAATATAGAAACCAATTCAGTTAGTAGCTGTGTAATTCTGAGAAGTAAGAACTCGTGGATTGGAAATTTTCTCCCTTCACGGGGGGCGACACTGCTGGCTTCAGCAGAGGGGCGGATTGCGCCTGCTCTCAGACAAAGGGCCTTGAGGCCCCTTGGCCACACTGCGATGCTCCGTACTGCCCGCCCAGAACGCTGTTTTGCTCTTAAAACTACTACGGTTGGCACGGGACAGGAATGCCACAGAGGTTGTCAGGCACCCTCTTGCCAAGCCCCCAGCCGGCTGCACTGCCCTGAGATTCACCTCCCGGCTGGACCCGGCTGCCGCAGCGCCGGGAGGGGGGGGGGGGGGGGGAAGGGATGCCTGCCACCCTCCGGCCTCCGGTCCTGAGGGCATCGCTCTGTCCCCTGCCGTCTCCTTCAAATCACGGGGCAGGGCCCGTGCCCACTAGACGTGTGTCTCGCAGCCGGCGCCGGAGCCCAGCAGGACCAGAGCCCGCAGGTGACGGTCACGGAGCCGCTGGTGCTCCCGCTGCGGGCGCGCCTCTCCGGCCTTGATCAAAACCAACCGGCCTTCCCCACCGTCACGTACGCCGCCTCGCTCTCTTACACTGATCCCACAGTTCTCAAACAGCTTTTTTAAATTTCACAGCCAAGTGACTTAAGGTGGTGTAGTACTTGGCCGGGGTGGGGGGGGGGAAGCTTCTCCACAAGGCAAAGCAGCGGACTTAGCGAAAGGGGAAGGGATGGAGCCGGTGATGCTGCTGGTTCCCCGACACACAGGCAGCTGGAGAAGGGAATGAGGTGCTCTTCAACAAGACAGAAGAGCTCAGAGGTCTCTCTGCACCTAAGGAGATGGAGGTAACCTTGCAGGACAGACAGAACTTGCTTTGGCTGGAAACTAATACCTGCCTTTTTCCACACAGGCCTTTTTGGTTGTTTTTTTCTTTTTTCACTCTGTGCAAGTTCATGAATTTATTAATGAATTTATTATTTCTTAATTTAACCTTTTAAGCTCTCACAGTTATTTCTAAAGGGAGGCTCAAATACTGTTGTTTTGAAATTGCCAAAGTGGGAAAGTTTGGAACATTTCCTCCCCCTGAAACACTTAACAGAAAATTTGTCCAAACAAACCTCTTCCTATGAACTGTTTCCATTACAATGGGCAGGCATTTTCCGGACAAAAGATTTCCACTGAAAAATTCCTCCTTGAAGCTGATGAGAACCCAATAGGATTTTCCCACTGTTGCTCCATCCACTGCTCTCCTTATCTCTGCCACCACCAGTGGATGGAAAATGCCATGAGAAGCATGGTATGTCAAAAACAGACGTGTATGTCGATATGTATTTTTGATATAATCGAAAATATGGGATGCAGCTAGAGGGTAGGCACTCAGCTACCAGATGACCTTCCAGATACAGTACTTGCATCCTTAAACCAGGGCATCCAGTGCATCCTAAAATGAATTCCTTGGCCAGAGGAGAGGCCAGCACAACCCTGACCTGATGAACAAGGAAGAGAAAGAAGTAGGTGGTCAGGAGAAATGTTTATTCACCAAACAAACTGCTCCCTTTCCAGTAACACAAAACTCCACAGATCACTCTGCAAATCTGACCAAAGTGGCTGCGGAGGGTTTCCAGGAATTATGTCCCGTTTACAATAGGTGAGTCAACAACAGGTGTCCTCGGAGGGGACGGTGCTGGTGACCCAGCGCCGGCAGCACTGCGGTTGGGAAAGCCGAGGCACGGGCTTAAGCCCGAGGCTGGGAAAGGAAGATCTGTGCTTTGCAAAAGCCACCACTGCCCAGCCTTGGATAGAAGGTGTGATTGCCCCGAGGAGCCTGCTCAGCACGACCCGACCCACCGCGACGAGGAAGAACTGCCCATTCTGTCTTTTTTGCAGACAAATGGGCGGGGGGGGGGGGGCGGGGCTGGTTTTACCTTTCAACTGAATCATCCCAGCACAGCAGAAAGAAGCAAAGTCCCCTCTAGCCCCTCTGGCTGCAGGGGTGTTTGAAAACGTAACAGTTTTAAGGAGACTTTGCCCCTAATGCCAGTAGCTGGTGAAGGGTAGCCGGGCAAACTGGGGACAGCCATCGCCGGGTCCAGGCAAGGGACGGGACCCGAGGTGGGTCTCCCCCACCTTTCCCCGCACCACCAGGCACAACCACAGACCCTACACACCCCCGAGGGCAGCACAGCCCTCAGTGAGGAGCTCCAGACATAGAATTTAATAAGCTCCTCTCGTGCGTTAGCTAGAAGTGGGGTATCTAAAAATCTTGGAATCACACTGAAATTAGTGTGATTAGAAATGAGAAGCATGTCACAGCTGACGATGCACCGGGTGGGGACACAAGACCACTGGGCTTTGCATCTGCCACTTATCACAGCCACAAAACACTCCCGTGCCTCGTTTTCCCCAGATATGAAATAGGGATAGTAAAATCACCGCTTCCGGTAAGTGCTTTGAAATCTGGGAATGAAACCTGGGTGAGATCACCAGGGTCGCTCACCTGAAATCTGGACTCAGACGAAGCTTGTCAGGCCGAGGTGCTTCACCTGCTCTTTAGCTGCCACTTCTGCAAGACTCAGCACTGCGGGCGGCAGCTCCCCGGCACCGCCGCGCTGAAATGCCTGCGCCCGGGCAGGGACGTCCTTCAGCTGCTCCCCTGGGCTTCAGGAGACCTAAGAAAGGAAAGCGGAAAGAACAGGAATCATGAAAAATCCCCACCAGCCCTTTGCACACCTGGTCACTAGGGGGGAGCTGAACCGATCCCAGATCACAGCCCTGCATGGTGGGTCACTAACACCGCACAGCCGGGCCGCCACCAGCAACGCTCAGATAAACACGGGGAACCTCGGAATCGCTGGAAAGAATAATAAATTTGTGAATAAACTTGGAAATGGTAGCAAAGAGCCTCCATGAACTCGGGGGAAGCCAGACATGCCCGGCAGGCACCTCCTGCTGACCCACCACGTCGGCCGTGCTGCGGCAGGGCTCGGCGGACGCCTGTCCGGAGGTGCGGCGTGCGAGCAAATACGGCAGCTGACCTACAGCAGCTGGAGCACACACCACCGGGAGCCAGACCACGCAAACTGACGAGGACCACCTGCCAGGCGGCCCACAGAACCGTAGGACCTTGGCTGGTAGCCTCGTCAGGGTGTGAAAGCAGCACTGCTGAACCAGCCTGCAACTCGTGACACTCCCTCTGTGCCTCAGTTTCCCCGTCTACAGAGAACAAAGCAGAGCTAACACAACCCCTCTCCTCTGTAAAGTGCTTTGAGATCTGATGTTGAATAGTATTTAAAAAAAAAAAAAACCTGTAGGTAGGCAAGAAGCACATGCTGGGCTCCGGCTCCCATGAAGCCTGGATAGGTGGTTCCCCCACCTTTTCTGAACCGGGCAGGGAGTGATTTCCTTCTCCAAAACCCCAGACAGAGCATCAAGGCCTAGGAGCAGCATAGCCAGAAGGGCAGGACCCACATCACCAGCACTACAGAGACCAGGAGCAAACACAGAGCTCTAAAACAAGCAGGTCACGGAAGAAACTGGAACCAGTAAGCAGCTAGGAGGGTGACGGCGCAGCAGCCTGGTGGAGTGGGTGTTTCCTCCCCAAACACCACGGAGCAGTGGTGATGCGGCCAGGAGAAAAGCCATGCTGCTTTTCTCTTACAAAAGCAACCACTTTTTGTGGGAAAAAAAAAACAAAAAACCAAAAAAAACCAGACCTCAGCACGCACGGTGATGTGGCAGAGCCCATTCCGTGAATGTGGCTTCCCCACATTGTTTGTCTCCCAGTTTGTTTTCTACATTCAAGTGTTTTTTAATTGACTTCCGCTACGATCTGCTTCCAGAACAGCTCGCCAGAAAGCAGCACAGAGCGAGATGCTCAGAGAGGATGCCCAGGCCTGGGCGCAGCCCTTGAGGAGGGACAGAGGAAGGGGCTAAGATTAATTTTAATTGCTGACAAGATCCCGGTTTAATTCCTGGCTCTCTAAACTTTCCATAATACTTTGGCCGAGTCGTTACAATTCAGAACCACTTGGCAGTGAGCTGCCAACCCCGCCACGTCATTTGGGAGCGAGGCTTAACTACCTCTGTGGATCTGGGACCTGATTCAGGCTGTCAGTTACCCAGCTGGCATAACAACACTTGCTCTCTCCCCTCCACAATTTCCACTTTGCCTGTTCCGCTGTGAGACCCTCAAGGCAGAGGCACCTTTTTTAGGTGCTTAATAGAATAGGACCTAGACTTTTGCAGAGCAATCTGCTTTACACACTTCCTACCATAGAATTTTTTTCCAGATGAAGGTCCTAAGAATTGGGTGTTGTTGCTCTCCGCTGCTTCAGCAGCTGCTGTGTTTCACCCAGGAAACAGCTGCGTTTGTGTTAATCGGTCAGTATATTTTTATCACGAGTCGCTTGACGGAAGTGCCGATATATGAATTGAAAAGTCTAATTTTAGGTGGCTACGTCTCTCATCTGAAAGCATTCGTTTATGCAACCCGCACACACAAAGGGTGACGCCGAGGTTGGTACAGCAAGGCTGTGCAACGCCCCACGGGCTCTGCAGCTTCCTGCCGCGCAATGAGCTACTGAGGGCAGGCACAGCATCACCCCAGCTCCCCAGAAAACTGCCAGGGAAGGAGAGGAGCCCAGCTAGGTGACACGTCACAGGGAGAGATCGTCCCTCCCCATCACCAGTTCTGAGCAGACAGGAGCAGTCCCAGTCCCGGTGCCTTCATTCTAGTGCCAGCAACCCTCCCCTGTGACTCTGTTCCTCCTTCAATGCAGGCAGGACAGCACAAGCCCTTCCTGAGCCTCATCTAAACCCTGCTCAAGTATTCCCAACGGCTGGCGCAGGTCTCTGCTACAGCAGTGCTGCTATACAGAGTCTCTGATGTAAAGTTTGGGTTTTTAAACGTCAGTGCCTCTCTGTGGTCAGAAGCTGAAGAAACAAGTCTTTAAATGACGGCCAAGAATAACACCAAAGCAGAGATATGTAAAATTCACCTTTTTTTTTTTGTGGTTTCACATCCTTCTCTTTGTGCTGAGGAGCCAGCTGGGTGAGCTGCTGCCCCTGGGAACATCTCAGCTGCCATGAGAGAGGGCTGCATGGAAAGACCCCTCTGTTTTCTGTCTAACAGTCACATCTAACTGCACAGAAGAACTACTGCAAATAACAGAAATCCAAAATTCCCCTGCTCACCCTCTGGAAAAATTAACCAAAAAGCAGCTAGTGCTGAGTCAGAGCTGAAATGCACCTGCAGCTCCAACGCGCTCCTCTGCAGCCCTACGGCTCCGGTGGGTAATCAGGGGTTTCCCATTCCAGCAAGAGCAGAAAGCTGTATTTCCCATCATTAATCCCTCAGCAAGCTCCCCGTCTCCACCTCGAACTGCACAGTCTGGCTATAAATCACTTGCACCCAAACACGCAACAAATATCTTGGCAGTGCTGACACTCAGGGGCGGGTCATTAGAATGGCTTCGATGTTTATTGCAATTACAGCTGCACTGGCTGCCTCCTGATTATTATTGTTAGCTGTTTATACAGCCAGGGCCCTCCGTGGAGGGGAGCGGGGCCGTGCTGGCAGCGGCACCCAGAGGAAATGGTTTCCAGCACCATTTGCACGAGAGTCCCCCCGGGACGTCTCCAGGGAGCCGCGACGCGTGGCGGTTTTTTGGTTCGTACCCATCCTGCTGCCCGGCCCCGCAACAGGACTTGGGTCTCTCCCTGCTTTGCGCACACCCGTCCCCCTCTGATGTAGTCCAGCCAGGATGCTAAGCACCTTCACCAGAAGCAAACAGCTAGTATAACAGGACCTTTGATTATTTGCGTTGGCAGAGGAGGCATAACAAGCAGCAGTGGCCAGAAGTCAGAGCCAGACCTGCTCCGCTTTGAAACGACGTGCGGTTGTGTTTAGAGAAGCCAGGGCCATCTATTCCTGAGTAAAGTGCCAAAAGGGGATCTCCACCCCTTGGCCTCTTCACAGCCAGGCCGGTCACTTCTCCGCAGCAAATCTCAAACGTGGCAGCCCAGGGCAAGCACCTGCTCGGCCAGGTGAACTCCAGGGACTGAGCAGCGGAAAAAACTTGCTTGTTCATCTTATTTACAATAACTCCGAGGTTTAGTTTTGCAGATGGAGAACTCCTTATGAGCCAGTGCTCCTGTGTGACCTTCAGCAAAGGGTTGAGCTGGGGCAGAAGAAAGTGTTGAGTACCATCCTCTTCCCCTGGCCCCAGTGCCGCTGGAGCTAGCCCACACGATGGTCTCACCAGGGATGGCAGTACAGGCCAGTGTCAGCTCCCTCAGTCTCAGCTTCCTCCCATCCCTACAGGCTCCATTCAAACTCTCGGACTTCTCCTCAGCTGCACCAAAAATGGTGGAATAAACAGCCAGCTCAGCACCTTTATTTCCCTTTTCCCTTGACAAAAACTAAGTGTAGACAATCGCTCTTTCTTCGGTGGTTCTTGATGCTTTCACATGCCATGTACACCAAAAAGCACCTGTGATAATTTAAAAAAGAAAATGTGTTACAAGCAGCTACTCCTCCCCACGGGAAAACAAGACAATGGCTCCTGCAAGGGAATTTTGGAGAAAGAGGAGCTGTTTGAGCTTGGCAGCTGCTAGAGGATATTGGCCCCCACAATGCTCTCAGCACATTATTTTTTGTGCTGAATGTACAGAGTGTCTTAAGGCATTCACAAACCAATGTCCAGAAACTGTGTTGTAAAGCACAGAAGAGGAAGCCCAGCGACAAAGGGAAAACTTGGCAAATTCTTGGGCTCGATGGAAAGAGCCCAAGTCACCACATGTTCTCCACCAAGTCAGCGGGGCCCCTGGGGACCCGGCAGTGCCCCACAGCATCCCAGGCCAGAGGGCTGCAAAGGGCTGCACCCCTCTTCCTCAAAAGAAGCATCTCTACTTCTTTCAGAAGGGCAACCATGGGCCTAAAAGATCTTTTTTTTTTTTCCATTGTATTAGTCGATTTAGTAAGTGATGTTACATCTGCCCCTAACCCTGTCTATGTTACTAGACTGATGCTCATTTAACCTGCTCTTCACAACCTGCAGAGAGGGTTATCCCATAATTCTCCTACACAATCACTCCTAGCAACTCACTCTCCTTATGTCAAAGCAGTTTCCTATTGCCCAGTGTCCCTTTTCCATGCTGCAGGTAAAGTCTTTGTTTTCTGGGCCTGATCCCAATGGGCTTAGAAAACCAATTAGTTCCTTCCTCTCCGTGGAATTAAAGATCTGATCATATCTCCTCTTTCAAAGACTAAACAAGACAGATTTTGCCAGATTGCTGCCCAGTAAGCTAGAAGAGAAAAGCATGGAAAAGATCTGAAAAGTCAGGTCTGATTTTCACAGCCAAATCCTATCTGGAAAGAGACCATGTTTTATTATGTATTCACCTTGGTTTACACACTGTTTTGGTTCCTGTTTGGCTGGGATCATTGTCATAAAGCCTCAGACAAGAAAACAATTACAGCTCCCGTACAGTTACGTGAGAAAGATTAGATCAATCAGGAGCTCACTACACCCGGATGGTCCCGAGGGGTGGGCTCTGAGCCAAACCCCGATAACCTACACACACAGGGTGCTAAAGATCTCATTCCAGATACACATCACTATTAGGGCATCCATCTGACCTCTTTCAGACAACTACAGCGTAGGTACCTACCCCAAAGTTCATCACTCACATCACCTCTACGACTCCTGGTAAGAAGTGGCACGTTGCAGGCTGTGGCTCCTCTAGCCACAGCTAGAGTAAGGTAGAAATCTGAAATAGGTAAGGTAAGGCAGAAAGGTGGAGATCTGAAATAGGTCAGAGCAAAAGGGGTTTGGAAGTGCCTCGTCCTCTCTTTGGTGAGAAAGAGAACCTGGAGACGAGCTCTCTTGCAGGCTGGCTCAGGAGGGATGTAAAGCGGCAGGCGAGATGGGCCTCTCTCACAGGGAGGACAGATTCTGGCCGTAAATGGGGCACAAGCTCTGCTCTGGGTTGCGCTGCGTTGCGTTGCAGGACCTCCCCTCCTGCCACCCCACGAGGCGCAGCACCCTTCAGAGGCACCGCACCTCACCACTGCTGCACCGGAGCTACGCGCCATTGCAGGGGACAGCGGGCTCAAAGCATTCAACCTTTACTGCTGTCCCTTTTTGTCCAAAATCTTTAGCTCTCGCGGGACTCTAGTGAGATGGGTCACCAGTGGGATCAGATTCAGCTAGGTGCTGCAGCCGTAATGTAGTTTCTTTCATTAATCTTAACTACAGACAGCACCAGGATCATGAGCAATAACCATTTAAAAATACCGAAACGACAGACTCAAAGTCACCTTTTCAAAGTTAAACCAGTTGTGTTTGATTTGAGTGTTTGAAGTGCATTTACATTCCAGTTCTTGTATCCAGGTATGGACACTGGGCATTTCTTTTTTCTGCTTTAAATGGCAGCATTTCTAACTGGCATCTCATCTAATCATAGGACTCCAGTAACTGGGGCTCAAAGGAAAACACCAGGGATCCGGAGAGTAGGCAACATGGGGGATTGGCGCAGGGATGTTTAGTCATAAATAAAATTTAAAAAAAAATCAAAAATAAACCCCACAAACAAAACCACCTTTCAGTTGAGAAACTAAGGGCTCAGTGCAACACCCACAATCCTGGGAGACTAAAGTCTTGCACAGACCTACAGGACTACTCACCACAGCCCCTCGCTGCGTCCAGGCTTACACAGCCACAGGGATGCAGCCAGCTCCCTGGGATGCAAATACACGGGATAGAAGGGCCAGAGGTAGCAGACAGAAAGGAACAACAGTCCCATCGGTTCCTGGAAGCCTTTGTAAACCTCACTGAGCGTGTCTTAGCTCTTTAAACAGCTCCAGAATACAGGTCAAACAGCCTTTCTCCACCAAGACTGAGCGGGAGGCAAACAGCTCATAGGGAGGGAATGACCTCACTGATTTATGTGGCCTTGCACATTCCCTGTAAGAGGGGAAGACATCTCCTGAAGGGTTCAGCTCCATCTGGGGAGGTGGGCATTTACCCTGGGTGAATAAACTCCAGTACTAATTGATTCAGAACCTGATAGTTTTGTGCTCAGTGCTTGCTACTGTTTATTTGCTAACACTATTGGGGAAATATATATTTCAAAGCCATTCCTACAGAAGATGAGGGAAACCCAAACCACACAACCAGCAAGAACACCAGCACATCAGCGATAGCCACAGATTAACATTGCTAATACTCTTTTTCTTTCATTTCAGGTACTACAACCTCCACAGACTCCTCTGTCCACGCCGTAACAGGTACCTCAAACCACGACAGCTATGATCTGCTTTATATTTCTCTTTGGATGTGGGTGCACATGCCCATGTGGGGATGCCAATGGAGAGTCCACAAATGGGAACTGGATTCAAAACTCCCATCCGCTGAAGCACCTTCTCCCAGGACCCTGCGCTGCCCACCTCTGCCTGCTCCATCTATCATCATTCACCCCCAGACCTCCAGGGACCATGGCAGGCTCTGCGCCCCAGAGGAGGGCCTTGCCTGGCTCCCCTTTTTGTCTGGAGGAGCACAATGTGGCCTTCCAGGAAATCTAGCCAAAGCAGAGGGATCCTGCCTCATCTTTGCTCCCCGTTTCCCCCCACTGTTTCCGAGCAGTTAGCACGCTCTCCTCCGTGGATCCTCAGAGCCAGGGTCCCTTTGCCCACAGGTCCCTATAGCCACACCAAACTCCATCCTTAGCATCTCTTGCCCCCATCACCCTTTCAGCTCTCACTGGTTGTAATGACCCCCTTCCAGCTGCTCCTCCAACTCTCCCCGTTGAGGATGCTGCCAACAAGGAGCACGTGTAGGAGACGTCACCTCCATCTCTCTCTGCTTGTGTTACAGGTCAATCCCAATCAACAACACACAGACCTGAAGTAAAGAACCAGACCTCAGGTAACACTCATCTGGAGACCCGAGAGTGCAGCTCAGGGGCATCCTGGCTTGTAGCTGGTCTGACCTTCAGCCCAGCTGGGCCATCTGGCAATAAATGGGGCTGTGCAGCGGCAGGTTAGATGAGAACAGTGGTGGGAAAGAAGGAAATTTTGTGGCGTAAAGGCTTCTGATCCAGCCAGTTCACCCCAGAGGGATCAAGGCACGGAGGTGAGAAAGGACAGGGGAAAACCACGAAACTGAACAGGGAGAAGCAGGGCCAGCAGGTCACAAGCCAGGGGAAACCCTGGGCTTTGCATCTCGTGTACACAAAGGATGTGACTGCCCAGAGCCCAGGCAAGGAGCTGCATCCAGTCTGTGTGGCTGCACCCTCCTCCCTGGCATCCCCCGCGCCGGGCCCGTCGGGTGTGTGCAGCGCGTGCGACTGCGCCTCGCACCTCGGCCCCTGGTGTCGTGACGGAAGTAACAGCAATGAAGTCACTGTTGTAAGAGCTTCCCTGCATTACGCTGACTGTTTAATACTCCTCTCTTGACAAGCCTCACCACATTTTTTAACTAAAAGCTTCCGGTGCTTTGCATAGCCTCAGCACCTCCCATACAACGGGTCAAAAGGTTCCCCATTTCTCCAAGAGGAAAAGGGGAAGCATGAAGAGGCTTGTCCTGAACTGTACAATGCTTGTGTCAGCCCAGGGACTGAATACTGCCTTAGCTCTAATTCAGTTACTCATGTTGGGGGTTTTGCTTTGTTATCTGCCTTCATGGAAACGGCAATCGCTCATAAGGACAGAAAAAATATTTAAAACTAATATGAACCTCTGAGGAGTATCCTTACTTTATTCTCTTTTTTTGTCCCCTGCTGAAACCAGCTTCAGGATACTACCACGTGTGTGTGGTCACACATAAGCCCTGAAAGTGGGTGTAGGGAGGTGTTAGCAAAAAGTTACGTGCTTCAGTCTGAAAATACACAAAATCAAATACACAAGGAGATGACTTTCCAGATCCACATCTGTTAGTCCGCTCGGATCTTTGGAGACAGATCTCTTCCTGCTGTGTTTGGAAAAAAAAGTAATCTAAGCATAGCTACCCCTCCAAAGAGACCCCAAAAATATAAAGGAAGAAGATCTTAAAAAGATCTCAGATTCTGCTTCCATGCCTTGCAGAAAAAAAAAAAAAGAAACTTATTCCTAAATGCAAATATTTTGGTGAAGCATTTGGATAAAAGAGGGTGTGGGGTGGGGAGGGTGGGAAAAACCTTAGAACCGTTTTTACTCTTTTCTCATTTTTATTGGAAAGCCAAGAGAAGTCTAGACAAGGAGACAAGGAGCTTGCCTATAATTTTCAAGCTGGTGATCTTCCTTGCAGAGAGCTTACTGAAAGCTTTTTTCCCCACATAAATTTAGCATTTTAGATAAGCAAACAAAGATGTGGGTGCCAGGCAGCTCTAGCCAGTTAAAGTGCCCAGTGATAAAAATACCTTCATTTTCAAAGCAGGAAAAAAGTGGTGGCAAAAAGCAGGCTTCCTCCATGTGTCTCCTGAGCTCTGCCAGCTCAGCACCTCCCTACAGTAAAAAAAGCAAAAGCTAATGCCGAAGTACAAGAGTTCCCTGACTCTGAGCAGGACGATGGCTATTTCCTTGTCTACTCATGCCCGTGCTTTCCCCAGCAGATTATCCATAACTCCCAAGGAGTTTGAGGACTCTGCAATAAGCATGCCCTCCTCAAGCTGTTTCGGAGGAAGCTTGTGGTGAGCAGAGCTCTTTGAAGTAACGCTATGCTTCCTCTACAGAGCCTTCAGTAAAATCACCACCAACAACTGACTTGAATCTCACCTCTGTGGGTCAAACTACTACAGTCAAATCCTCTTCTGTTGCTACAACACTGCTAGCGTTGACTGTGCAAGGTTAGTATGGAAAACTTGAATTTTTGCTGAGGCAGGACCTGTTTATGCATCCCTCCTTAGCCAAGCAAAACTGGGGGCATCAGAAAAACTGGGCTAGTCCATGCTATGCTACTTATTCAGTAGCAGCAACTTTTGAATCTCTGATTCTTTGCTAAAAGAGCAGCTCATTCCAGCTCCCCAAAAATACAGGGCTGGACACAAGCATGATCTAGATGTGGCAGCTGCACAACAAGCCCCTGTCAGAAAAGCCAGTTCATGCTTTACCACGTAATGCTTTGTGGAGGAGCTACAGGCACCCCTGCCTCCCCAGCAGATCTCTCCCAAGTTCACCCTCTAAATTGACTGCACAGCTGGCTAGCTGGACATCCTGACATTTGTTTGGAGGGGAAGTCTCATGCAAAAAAAAGATTTTTACCCCATGGAAACGGAACAGCTCTCCAAAGCACAATTAGTAACAGCTTCAAGAGTGATTCTCCTTTCCCATGTTTTCTTTATCCAGATGAAAAGTCTAGCGGAAGCAGCAGCACAGCAGCTTTGCCACCTCAAGGTACTTTGTCATGTTATAGAGTAACAACAAGTTTAGATAATTTCATGGCAATTAGCTTACTTGGTTCACATGGTGCAGGTCATCTAAGCACTAGCCTTTATCTTGGAGTTGAGCCATCAGTAACACCCAAAATAATGTCTGGTATCCTTACAAGCAGCGATGAAACACAAGATCAAATGTACTTAACATCCTCTGCCTGGGATGAACTTGAACAGTTGAAAGACTGATCTATGTTTAGCAAAAGGGAGCCCTTATAACACCCTTTTTTAAAAAAATAATTTTGCTTTTGACAGTTTAACCCAGCCTGTAAGCAAAAATTAGAGAATTCAGTAACAGTTTTCTCAGAATAAGGGCAGAATCCAAAAGAGTGGGAAGACTGAAATCTGACAGCTGAGCTGGTTCCCCATTAAAGATTCAGCCTCAGAAATCTGCAATGGTCAAGACAGAAACTGCTCTGCTTCTCCAAGAACCTCCCAGATCTTCTCTAACACAAGCAAGGTTAAAAACCCGTTGGTCAGCTCTGCCTGCACAGATGTCCAACCAGCACGCCTGTGCCAGCTAAGCCAAGAGTCCTTTGCATCAGAGCAGATTGCTATTAATTATAACCCTGCTTTACATCTGAAAAGCTCCATACATCTTTGACCATAGAAATGTTGCTGATGCTTCCAAAAGTGAAGTCTCCTGTTGTGTGAGACCCAACATTTCCCAGGGACAGGGTATCCATGCCAGGCTCAGCAAACCACTGCTCCTGCCCACTGCCTGTGGCTAGAAGAACAATTTCAGAATAAAACAAAGGGTTTGATGACTGGTAAAAAAATTGCACAGACCCTGCTTCTCAGGACTGTTCTGCTCTGTGTGGTTACCCATTTCTGAACCAGTTAGATTTGTTATTTCATACCATTTCCCCTTTTTCTTCTGACTTTTGGCAAAATTTCCAAAACAGCGATGTTTTCTGCAAGACAGGCACCCCAGTTTCAGCTGCACGCCCTGCGGTCCACTGCAGAGTGCCAGGAGCTGTTTCATACTCCTCCAAGCAGCACATACTTTTGGCCAACGCTGCTATTGGGATGGTGGGGATGAGAAAGGAGGAAAGAAGATCCTATGTGACCTACAGATGAACTTCTGAAGCTCTAAAGTATCATTTTTAGTCTCCCAGTAGGCCACGTAGCAGGCCATTAAGGTCAATGCAAGATAATGTGGCCATTCAACACACACCCAGGAGGCAGCAAAGGGTTTTTCTCCTCTGTACAAACAAAACACACAGACTACCTTTAAATTTGCTTGCACAGACATTGGAAGCAGCTGTCACAAACCAAGCTTCATATAAGCCAGTTCATCCCACTGAGAACTGGAGTCCTTGCTCGAACAAACTTCTATGCTGCCACGGCTAGACTACATATGGTGTACGAGTTAGCCCAACTCAAAGTAGCTTAATTACTTCTAGATAACCCAGGACAGCATACCAACTAACTCCAAGGACAGGCTGAACAGTCAATCCACACCCATATTCTGTGGAATTTCTTCCCCTAAGCAGACATTTTTTTAAGCAACTGAACATTTATGAACAATAGCAAATCTATAATCTTCCCAGTTCACTTTCCCAGTATTCAACTGCTGTACCTGCCCCAAAACTGCATCTGGAACTGCAGAACATGAACGTTTATACAAGGGTATTTGAAATTTGGTTCCCCGAGTTTCTATTTGAACGTGGAAAATAGTGCAAAGTATGTTTGGTGGGAAGGTTTTAGCCTGAGTATGAACTCCATGTTTTCCCAGATATCACAAGCATTACTGTGAATCCATCCTCCTCCCCAGCATGCCCATTAAATCTTTTGGCTATTAGACGACACTCAAGGACAAAACTCACATTCTGCGTTTCTCCATGCAGGTCAAGAGCCTAAGAGAAGTGAGAGTACCACACCATCAGCAACTCAAGGTGCTTTCTCCTCTCTCACACAGAGACAAGGTTATCGTCAGATGCTTTACAGCCCTTTCCACAGCCAGCAGCAAGGCTACCATACTGCTGCCTTCAAGGCAGCATGGCCAACGAACGCCTGAGGGATGCTGGCCATCCCATCTAGTCCTTGAAAAGCCTGTAAAGCTCCACAGAATCAGCACTTTGGAGCAACCTGTTGAGCCTGGGAACAGTGATTGTGAGTCACAGCAGGAAAAGTTCCGCTACGACAAAAGGTTGTTAAACGAGTGAGACAGGACAAGCCTCCCCCTCAGACACACTGCCAGGTCGGTCACCTGCCAGGCTCAGCTTTGTCACTAGGGCCCCAGCAGAACACCCTGCGGGTGATCTCAGATTGTCAATAGAAGGGGTCACACCAAGGCAATCTGATTCCCGTGTAGGTCTTGGTCACTTTGCTGTTAACATTGATGGAGCTGGCCAGGATCCAATGTTATTCTCTTCAACAAAGTGCAAGTGTGAGTTAGGTCCACTAGCATCGCTAGAAATCCTCTTCCAAACCCTGGAAGAAAAACTTTTATATAAAGCTACCTTTTCCCCCTCTCTCGTAGGCACCTCAAAGCCAGCCACCCCTACACCGAAGCTCTCTGGCTACCTCCCTGAGCCCACTCCAACAGATGAGAAATCACCACTGACGGTGGCAGCTTTTGGTAAGGTCTTGTGCAACCTGGGGAGAGGAGGGGAACCTGTTTTGGACACCCAGCTTCAGAGATGCTTCCCTGGAGATGTCTCCACAGTTTTCTTCTTCAGCATGCTTGACCCTGGAGTTTTCAAAGTGCAAGGGAAAACCTTTGAGAAAAAGACTTGTCACCAGCAGGCAATAAAGCACCTAATAAATACTCCCAGCCATGCCCAGTGTACAAGGGACAGACAATTTGGAAGTCCATCATGGCTACACCTGAGCCTGGGGTTTTGCTCCTAGCACCGGTGTTTGCCTCAGCTCCGTGTTTGGACAAGACCTGGGCACAAATGATCCCATGCTATGACTTTGTTTCCCTGATAGCATCTAGAATAAATACACTATATGCCTGGAAGCTTAGACTTTTTTTTTTTTTTTTTTTTTTCCTGCAAACCTGTTGGGACTTCATTCCCACCCTGGCTTGCTGCCTTCCCCTGTACAGTTGCACCATGCTTGCCAACAAGCAGCCAAGTCCTCCGCATCCTTCAGACTGTGGAAGGCTGGAGCTAGAGATGCCATTCCTTAACCTGGCAATAGATTTGAAGATAGGCACAGGGTAGATTTAAGAAACCCACTCTAAGCCTTGGGCTATACTGTCCCCCTTCTCCATCAAGGCAAGCGAAAAAAACCAATGTGTTCATTTCGATCACACTGTAGGAAAAAGTATTATTTCAGAAGCATTTTTCAAAGTCAAGTGTTAACTTCATAAGTATCGTTTGCTTATATCCTCCAAGAGCAGCCATGAGAAGTCCTGAAGCAGTCTAAATAGGACAAGATTCCCATGCAAAGAATAGTTAGATTTATTGAGGCCAGATGTCAGACTCAAATCTACACTTGGCCACTGGTTTAAGACAGACAACATCATTCACAATCTTTAGCTTGTCTCTCCCCATTATACTACATATTTACCTGACTTTATACACCTTTAGGATAAGATTTACCAACTGCAGTAGGGACCATACTGACTTCAATCAATTCCCAGGGTAACCAGCTGACTCCTGCTCTGCTGGCACTGCCTTATCAATTAAGTATTCATCAGAAGCCCTTTGAGGATGAAACACAAGAGGCTGAGGCCATTCACTCTAGTGACTACTTACTGCTCTGCCTATTTTGCACCATGCTCATTTTAACGAAAATATTGCTTTCCTACTGAAATTTTGATGTCAAAGTCTTTCCACACTACCCCAGAAGCCAAGGGCAGGCACGTTGTTATATCCATCACAGACGGTTCTCTCCTCCATCCCCAGGTGTCATCAGCTTCATAGTTATCCTGATAGTGGTTGTGATCATTCTGGTCAGCGTGGTCAGCCTGAGGTTCAAGTGTAACCACTCAAAGGACTCAGAAGGTATTTATCTGGGGTGATCTGTCTTTTCCTAATCAGTCATCAGTGTCTACATGGATCTGGCAATTCCTAAAAGATGCTTTTAAAAAGTTTACACAGTGTAAAGGTTTTGAAGTCAAACTGGAACACAGATTCAGCAGTTCAGGATGTAGTGTAGCCACCTCTTTAGAGCCCCAGCCCAGACCCATCTGCATCAGGAAACAGTCTCAAGTTTGCTGCAGTTAAATGTGCAGAATTCCAGAGGTGGGCAGCTCTTCCAGCAAAAGTCATGGAGTTTGACACTCCTTTTCCCTCAGAATCCCAATTCCCACTAAGCAGTGCCCACTAGAGGGCAAGGCTGCTCTACAGCAAGATGGTAACTGCTGAAAGACCAAAGGATGCCAGTGACTCCACAGGCAGCAAAGCATTCAGTCCTGCCTGGACACCACGTTAGTTGAAGAATTTTCTCTAATCGACTCTCAAGTATTCCCCATGGTGTCTCTAATCTCATTTAGATTTCATTCATAACCCTGTACAATGCAATTCTGAATGTAGCTGACTTACTTTATTGCTTGGCTATGATGTTTTCTCACCTGTATATCACCAACTGTCTTTCTCCCTCCAGACAAACAGAAACCAGGGACCTCCATGGTATCAGAGAGGTAAGGCTCCTCACACTATTCACATCCTATTGAAAATGCCAATTTTATTCCAGAACTAATTTTCACAAGGAAAATACGCTGCTTTGGTTATTTCAGGTGAAAGCATTTCAAGACTTCTTTGAGGCAGGTAAAAAATCAAAATGAACATTGACAGCACCTTCATCCTCTGCCTGATGGAGTCAAAGATAGAAGTTCAATATTTAGCAGCCTCATTTCAAAGCTGCACTGACATCTGTGAAGACTCATCACCTTCCAAAAGCAGTTTGCTTGTCTGTCTTTGCCTAGATACAGACTTGAGGTCTAAACTTGTGTTTCTGGATCTCAAAGCAGCCTTAGTGAGATGAGATCAGGTCCCCAGAAATACCTTCCAAGATGCCTATTGTTATCTAGCAAGAGCAGGATAGCAGGGCCCCAGTCCAGAGACTTTTGGAAGAGAAGCACCCAGAGGAGGATGGTCCGTCTGAACCCCATGGTTCATCACTGCTACCCAAGAAGTGAGGCTGCACGTGGGGAAGCAGCAGGAAACAAGGGCTGCAAGGGACCAAAACACATTGCTCCTACTTTTCCATCTGATAGTTTCCTACCGAAGTAATAAACCCTGCTTTGGAAAGAGGCAAGGGATAGAGGGAGCAAAGTCCCTAAGTATTTAGGTCCCAAATTTGCATCAATATTCATAGTTCCCAAATACCCTTAATGACTGTGATCTGCAGCCACTGAGGTAGGAGTTGCCAGAGCAGAGGACTATGTGTCCAAGACACCCTAGTCCCCAAAGTCATCCAGTCTCCACTGGCACTAAATGCATATCCCAGCCCTCAGGGTAGGAAGCAAGGAGAATTCCACCTTCCTAACACTTGTAACTCACTCTTAGGAGAGACACTGGCAATACAGGAGCAGCATCGCCGGATGTAAAAACATCCAGGGTTCCCTTTGTATGACAAATAAGGGCATAGGACAGAGGGACACTGTAATGTTTCCTTTGGTTCCAGTTCTGGTAATGGCTGCAGGGCTAGAAGGTAATTCAGTCACGGAGAACCGGATCCAAACTGTTCCTTGATTCTGCCCACACAGGTGACAATGGTGTTTCCTCTTGGGCAAACCAGCGCCGCGTCTGAATTTGTCTGAACGCGCTGCTTGTCGCCCCAGAGATCTCAGAACCTGTGTTCAGGCAGGGGCTGGGGAATCTGGCATTAAGGATGGGCCTGAATCAGGACAGCAGCACAAAGGGCAGCACGAGTCAACCCTGGTCCCATGTACCAGCCAGCCTCAGCCTTGCCTGTTTGCCTCCAGTTGCGTGCAAAGAAACTCCCTTCCCTCATTTTCCAGAGTAGTTAAGACTGCCTTCTCTTCTTGACAGCTGCTCGGCAGGTGCCAGCCAGAAGGATAACAGCATCACTCTAATCTCCATGAAGAACATCAACATGAACAACAGCATGGGTTATCCACCATCAGAAAAGGTTTCCCTTTTAAGCCTTGCTTTTTAGAGTGTTAGCTGGGAATTATTTCTCTTGCTGGATAAGAGCATGCCTTTGAGGTATTTCCTTGCTCTCTTATTCAAAAAGGTAATCATAATAAAAAGAAAAGCTGCCATCAAACTCCTAAAGGTCCAGACTGGTTCCAGTAAGCCTGGTGAAAGTTTGGGTGCCCCTCTCAGGTTTATCCAAGCTGCCTTAACTCAAGTTACCAAGTATACCTCACGCATATAGGTGCCAACATCTAGGGCCAGCCATCAGGGCTAGAGTCGTTTGTCATTAAGTGAACAGGTAAATAAGCTAGCCTTAATGAAGTCAAGGTCTCACCCTCTAGTCCAAGCTTACCACGCTCCTGCTCTACAGACAATGTCAGAGCACATTCCCATCAGTACTCTCAAATCCATTCCATGCGAGCAATTCACATAATCTTAAATGCTGAACTAGCACTGGGACTGGGTTTGAGGAAACACACTGCTTAACTTCTTTCGCCAGCCCAAGCAGGCTGCTGATGCACCATGTTGTGTTCCTTTTGCAGGTGCTATGAAGCCAAGGACCCCAAGCTCGAAGCTGACTCATGACAACCAGCATTGATTTTTCTAGGTTGCTTTTTATTTTTCCTTGGGGAGAGAGCAAGGGTGGACTTTATATATAAATTATTACATCCTTTCTGATCAATACATTTGCAGTAGCATCCCACATAGCTTCCTCATTTGGGGTCCAAGGGCTTTCTCCAGTTACAGCCTGCCACGCTCAATGGTTGATATCTAACTCTATTTTTAATATGCCTTCAAATCCTCAGATTATTCCAGCAGCAAGAAGCACCAAGAAACCATCTACTTCGCTAATAAACTGCTGCCTTAGATTAATGGCCTTTATACTCTGTGCCAGCCAGTCACAGGCTCGTTAATCAGTATAGCCCCACATTGAGTCAAACCCACGCATTAGAAAAGCATGATCTGAAGCTGAAGGCCTACTGGGACGTAAATGGCCACGTGCTAGGTCAAATCCCAGCATGACTGCTCTGAGCCCCTTATCCTTGAGGCCCTCATTGTCCCCGCAGCGGTGGGGATGACAGTAGCCACCTACCTCACAGGGTTGTTGTGAGGCTATGTTAATCAATGTCTGTAAAGCATTTGGAGAGCCATGAATTAAAGGTGCTGCTGAAATGCAAATTGTCATCTTAAAGACTTTATTATTCATAACCGAGCTTCAGGCAGGCAGACTGCTATCTTCCCACAGGTCCAACATGCTCAAAGAAGACCCATCTTAGGTGTAAAGAACAAGGTCTCTGCATAGACAGGGTCTAGTCTGAGTGTAGAAAGCAGTGACCACAAGCAAAATACTGAGCTACTTCAGCTCCTGAAGTCTGGTAGCCTGAGTTTGCTGGGAGGAGGGCTTCCATGTTCTGTATCATCACTTTCCCAGAGCTTCCTGATAGACCAGAAAAAGCAGATGCCCCTTCCAGTTCAGCCAGAGCACCCACCTTACAGCAGCACCAAGACCCACCAGTGCACTCCCAGATCACCACAATAACAAGAACAGTCCTCCATCGGCCTCCACAGCGCAACAGCTCATATTTGGAGCCAGCTGGTTCGCAACCTGCACTGGCTCAGACCCAGCTGCCAGCCACTTTTACCACCTACAGCAAAATACTTATCCTTATAAACTGAGTGACTGAGGATGATAGAGACATCAATAGCCAGCCTCCATGTGACTGTAAGAGATATGATGCGCTGTTGGGTGTTTTTGGAAGTCTCAGCTGCCTTATTCAGCAGCACAATGAACTCAAACACCAACTCTGCAACTGCCTCTGCCCATCTTCACCATGACTCCTGCTTGCAAGCTTCACCAGCTCCAGTCACAGACCTCCAGAGCACCTCGACTAGCCAGCAGCAGTATGCTGAGATACTGCCTTTTCCTAACGTGGATGTCAACCCTGAAGGTAAACTGTGAAGCTAGGGAAAGAAAGATCTAGCTAAACCCTCAAAATAGGTATCGCTGCACACATTCCCCTGCACAGTATGACAAAACACAGTAATTTAGCCTAATTTTATAGGATGGAGAGGAGATGTTTATTGGAGTGTGCAGTGCTAGAGATAGCTGTGCTTTGCAGCTGGCAATTAACTGTTCAGCAAAATAAATGCAACGTTTTCACAACTCCTGCTAAGACCCAACATACTTTCTATCTTTAACATATGCACTAGGTAGTTTAATAAGCTATTTTTCATTAAATGAAGCTTTTCTGGTAAAATTCCTGAAAAGTAAAATGACATCACTCCACTCACCCAACCTCCAGCAGACTGGTGAATTTGCTCAAGCACAAGATGCCAGCTGATTCCCAGCTAGGTGGATCCAGATAGTTCCAGACCCCAGAGACCTGTGACTTGGTACATGGAACATAGTGAGAAGGTTTTTAGTCCCAGGAAGACACCATAAAGACGTGTGATATCAGACACTTCAGTGAGCGTTAAGCTTTAACCACCCCCTCCCGCAGACAAGGAACAAATCTCCCCAGCCCTCTGAAGACTGTCCCATGGAATCTCACTGTTGCTTTAGTTTTCCTTCCTTTGACCTCCTCCTTCCCATAGATTCTTGAGAGTCTTGACAACTAACCCAAACCTACTCCATTCTAAAACTGGTCCACATCCAAAAGCAAAATTCCAACTCTGACCTTGATCAAAAGGCTGAATGAACAATGGAAGCGATGTGACCCCCAACTTCCAGTCGGTGCCGCTCATGTGAAAGGAGATGTCTTCTCCAAGCTGCTGTGCTCCTGCAAAGCACACTGGTGGAAGACACCAACTCCTTCGCTCTGTGACTCCACTTCCCACTGCTCATTAGCCCAGCTTTAATTGGCACGTGGGACGAGGGGAAACAAGCAGCAGCAGCAGCAACAGATGAACACAGCCGGAGGGAGCGGCGGGACAAGGCCTCGAGGGGCCTGAAGGCAGGAGGCAGGCGTTCCTCCAGGCTCCTTCCAGTCCCAACACAAGGGCTCAAGCCCAACTCCCGCGGCCCTGCCAGGGAGGAGCCCTCGGCGCCGCCAGAGCGATGCCGCTCCGTGACGTCACAGCACTGACCTCACCCCGTGGTAGGGAGGCGAGAGGCTCACGCGAGCCACCGCCATCACCACCACAACCCTGAGGGGAAACCCGTGGCGCTCCCGCCAGCATCCCCCTTATGACGTCAGCAAGCCACGCTACGACGTCACAGGGAACCCCTGCCCGCGCGCCTCTAAGTCCCGCCCCCGCGCGGTGCCCGCTGGGTACTGTAGTCCGCGCGCCACCGGCGGGGAAGGTGGGGGGGTGAGGACTCCCGTACCCAGAGGCCCCCGCGCGGCCGCCGCCTCCGCGCACAACATGGCGGCGCGGGCGGGCCGGGGCGGTGGGCTGTGAGGGTGCGGGGGGGCGGGCGGGCGGCCCCGGGGCCCGCCATGACTTACACGGCGGAGCAGCTGGACGGCGTGAGGCGGTGAGCGCGGCGCGGGGGCTGCGCCGGGCCGGGACAGGCGGCGGGGGCGGTGGGTGCTGGGTCGGGGCCTGCGGCGGGCTCGGGGGTGGGGGCGAGGGGCGAGGGACAGGCCGGTGACCATAACCTTGCGTGCGCTTCCAGAATAAAGCGGTGTCGGAACTACTATGAAATCCTGGGGGTGGAGAGGGACGCCAGTGAGGAGGACCTGAAGAAAGCCTACCGCAAACTGGCCCTGAAATTTCACCCTGACAAGAACCGCGCTCCCGGAGCAACGGAAGCTTTTAAAGGTGAAGTGGGGGCTGGCCCGGTTTCAAAAGTCGTAGAGCAGGATGAAACCGAGGACGGACTGCCTCAGACTTGCAGTTCTGCGCCTGATGTAAAGGCATCATACAGGCCCGTATAGCTTGTCATTTTTATAGACAGCTGTGCGCATCTCCACAGAATCCTGCGGCTGCTCGGCAAGGTTTGCCTTTTAATGTTCAGAATACAGATTTCCATTGGAAGCAAAGGGAAACGTATCCCAAATGTCATTCCTAGGTACTGCTAAAGGTTCAGAATGATGCTTCAAAATGATACTGGCCGTGCTGAAGGATGTGTTGTGTAATCAATAACTTGATCAGTGTCATAAAAAAAATTATATATACATATATGCAAGCATATGAAATTTTAGTCCAGTACTCTGTGTCTGGACTTTTCAATAATGTTACAATGGAAACCTGGATCAACAATGTTAGCATCTAAACTCTTACATCTTTTGCCTTTTTCCATGCTGTGTTGCAGATATTTGCAAGGGCATTGTAAGGCAGCATGAGGAAAGTAAAATGTTCATTCATAGTCTATTAGGATTGGGATTTTTTGAAAGGCTTTTCTTTATTTTTGTGTGTTAGGGTTGTATTTCTCTATTAGCTTGTTTACAGCCATGTTCTGTCAAAAATCAAGGAAGGTGATGAACCAAACAAATACTTCTGGGTGGTTTGACATAAAGTGTGAAACAGATATGCTGTACAGCTTCACAGGCATCTCTGCCGACAGAAAAACTTGGAGTATGGTTCTGCATTTTAATTAGTCTCTGCAGTTACTAACTTTGTATTAACTGTATATGGTATATGGAGGTGCACTTCTATATCAGTGCTTAGTTTGATCTGATAAAATGTTACATTCTCACTTAATCTCATGACTGAAATGAACCCTCTCACCTCAGTTTTACAAATTTTTAAACTCTCTCCATATGTTTTAACACTTTTGTCTTTCTCCTGGTATCAGTGATGTCAGGAAACAGGTTCCATCACAGGTAATGCCAGCGTTGTAATGCTTTTTTTACAAAGGCAATTCTTTCAGAAGTAACCCAGTCTTTGGTCAAGCACAAATTTTCTATGCCCTTTTTACTACTTTTTTACTACTCTGCTTATAAAAGTCTGAGATCTGAAAACACTGCATGATATGCCTATGTAATACTTCTTTTAATTCACTCTCCAGCAATAGGCAATGCTTTTGCAGTTCTGAGCAACCCTGAAAAACGATTACGATATGATGAATTTGGAAGTGACCAAGAGCATGTCAGCACTGGCCAGGCCAGGCACTATAATTACTACACAGAATTTGAAGCAGACATCACACCAGAAGAAATATTCAATGTGTTTTTTGGTGGGCACTTTCCTACAGGTCAGTATCTGTCTGCAGTGTTTTTGAAATGCAATGAACTGACACTAGACCATAAAGGAAGTTCACCTTCTCGGTACAGCTTGGAGAGTCGATTATGCATCTGAAAAGAGCAAAAACGGGTTTGGATTTACTCTCCTCTCCCTTCCTAGATTTTTGTGCCTAGAAAAGCTCCCTTAATGCATGGTTTAAACTTGAGATTCTAATAATGCTGATCCCCCAAAAAATGTTGTCAAAGCCCAGCCTTGCTGTCCTGGAATGCTCCTAGAAGAGAGAGCTGCCAGGGCAGTAATGGCTGTTGCTGCCAGGGCAAGTTTCTAATTTCCCAGCCTCTTCAAAACGTCTTGACAGTACTAGTTAGGGGTAAGAACATTTTAGTCTGGCAAGGAATTGGGTTGTTTGATTATTAGGCAGGCAACATTTTAATACCAGCTGTATCTAAAGACCCTTCCTTTTACTGCTTTCATTCCCTCTGTTGTCTGAAGCCAGCAATGGTATGGGAGGTAAAATAAGGTGTGAATGGGAAAGGAACAGAGGTATCTTTGCTGATGGTGGTGTTCTTCAAACACCTTACTGTGTTCCAGTACAGCATAGCAGCAGCTCCTGGCATTATGGTCTCAGTGCCTGTATAACTAGGAAGACATTAGGAGTTCATTTGGCTTGCAGCAGCTTGCGTACTCCAAAGAAATTAAAACTCTTTTTAGTTTAGAAAGTGATGCCTGCCAAAAAAGGCTGGCTGTTACTGGATATATACAGTATCCGGTAACAGAACAGTAGATCTATACCTGTAGAAGCTCTGTGCATGTCTCAGTTCAGCATTGGCTTTTGTATTTTTAGTAAAAATAGAAGATCCTGCAAGATCAGTGTAACACAGGTTTGGATTAAATGTAAATCTGAAAGATATGGTGAGCTCAAGGGTCTTTCTGACAGTATCTAACTAATTGCTTTAGCGCTGTTGTAAACTTTTTCACTTCCAAGGTTTGGTATAAAGCAACATACATGCCAATTACTACAGCCTAAAGCCACAAATACAGGTAAGTACAAGCTCCCCATAACCTTAGTCTGTGTGGCAGCACCTTGCAGCTAAGGGAACCTCAGATTGTTTTCAAAATTCAATCGGTAGATGTGCAAAGTGAGCCAAACCCAGGATGGCATAATTCCACACTGAGTTCGCAAGTTTTCCGTTTCTGACTTCGCAAGAAATCTCACCTGCGTGGGCCTTTTGCCTCAGCCACCAGTGAAACATGGGCCTCAGGAAACATGACTGCTTTGTAGCTGTGGATGACAGGGAGGCTTAGAGTTGAGGACAAGAAATTGAAGAGCTGCTGGAGGGAATTTGGGTATGGGGCATGGCAGGTTTAACAAGCAGAGTGACATGAAGAAGCAAATGGGAATTTTTATCAAAGTGGCAAAGAATAAGAAAGTAAAAAGATAATTTCATAGTAATAGGTGTTGGTAGTAAATAATAGTTTCCTCACCAAAAAAAAATCATAGAATCACAGAATACCAGGTTGGAAGGGACCTCAAGGATCATCTGGTCCAACCTTTCTTGGCAAAAGCACAGTCTAGACAAGGTGGCCCAGGACACTGTCCAGGTGAATCTTAAAAGTGTCCAGTGTTGAGGAATCCACCACTTCCCTGTGGAGATTATTCCAATGGCTGATTGTTCTCATTGTGAAAAACTTTCCTCTTGTGTCCAGTTGGAATCTCCCCAGGAGTAACTTATACCCATCACCCCTCGTCTTTTCCATATGACTCCTTGTAAAAGGGGAGTCTCCGTCTTCTTTGTAGCCACCCTGTAAATACTGGAACACGGTGATAAGGTCTCGCGTAAGCTTTCTCTTCTCAAGGCTGAACAAACCCAATTTTTCTCAGCCTTTCATCACATGGCAGGCTGCCCAGTCCCTTGTTCATCTTTGTGGCCCTTCTCTGGGCCCTCTCCAGCCTGCCCACATCTTTTTTTGGATCTAGAATGTTTGGGTCTAAATTTTCCTAATCTAAAAGTGAATTTTAAATTATGGAAAATCATCAGTTCGGTAGTTTTCCAAATAGGTAAAGTTGACACAGTTTCTACTTAGTAAGAGAATTACAGTATGAGGGTATCCAGATAGTTGATAGATAACATTTTTTAAACGGTCATAATGTTAAGTAGGACTTGCATGTGTGAGCTGAGGTTTGTGCTAAGCTGCAGTGTTGTGCTGGTTTTTGTTTTGTGACACCTGGCTAATGCCAGGCTTTCTGGAAACCAGAATAAGAAACATTGGTATTAGGGTAAACTCATTTGTATAGCTTCTGTGGGCAGGTTTATGATTTTTTGGTTTTACCATGTGTTTTTCCTCTGTGGATATTCAGTGGAAAAATATTAAAATGTTAAATGTCATAAGTCTAAAAGGAGACTCTCCACGTGGTATAGCGTTGCAGTTGTAATGGGTAGAGGCTACAAGTTGAACTTCCTTCTCATAAAAAATAAATGCACATGGAAGGAAAGAAACTGCTGGCAGAAATTTTTTGGGAAGCTTAGAATTTGGGAAAACTTTTTTTCTAGGCACCCTGCAAAAGCCATTCTTCCCACATTTGCTTCTGTTTTTTCACAGCTTGATAAAATATTGTCTGAGTAGTGCTGAACGATAGAAACAAACTTCCCTTTGCAAGAAAGAAACTCCTTCAAGCCAGTCTCGTTTGGCGCTCTGTTGGAGCCCTAACTGCAGTCATGCCTAGACCGTTGGAAAAAATCTTAAACAAGCAATGAAACAGATGTTTTGACACAATAGCAAAGGTCACTTCTGCCCAGGTTTTTTTCAGAATTCTTTGAGGAATTCAGAGAAAGGACAGTATGAGTGTAAAATAATGTAGCATCTTTTCCAGGGCTTAAAAATAGATTTGCATTTCTGTTGTCATAAGGCAAAAAAATTTCAATTCTCTAATACAAAGACATCCTCAATTTTAAAAGAGGAGAGCACGGCTATTATTAAGGTATTTGTCTGGTGATAACATCAGAGTTAAAGCTTCAAATCGAAACAGCATGTGCGATTCTTT